TTTCTTTTTCTATAACTAACATCACACGACAATATACTAAATTCATTTATTTCTTTTTAACATTTCTTTTAACCTGCACCATTTATAATCATACCATTTCTAATCATTTATAATCACATTTCTTTTGATATTGGATCATAACATTCAACACTACTTGTTGTGTCTTTCTCATTATGAAGAAAAACCATTACTTAAGTGTATAGACTAAGACATGGCTATTAATAAATCTAAGATACCAACAGAATATAAATCATGGAATTACTAGAAGATAAGAGTTCAAGAAAGACATGACCGAGCGGAATTGAACCTTATACGTGACAGGTTTTGAAAATCTTAGTTCTAAAACAAAGATCGATATATTCATTCTAGGTAATAGCAACAACACGCTTGTTTTTGTATGTGTCTTTCACTCATTATGATAGGGATGACCAAAATATCCTTATGGAAATGTAAGGTGTATATATATCGATTATATTAAGTCGACTTTACTAGTTAGTTTTAAAGCAAGTTCAACATCGATAATTTCACTATATTAAGCCCTGGTTTTTTCGAGAAGTTGCCCAGATTATATATAGATATACCATAAATTCACATAGTCAATACATCTTTGATTTTCTAGTGCTTTATTGAAAATCTTTATCAACTTATTCAATATTTTGTACTTATTCTTTATTCAGTTGATTCATATAACATCGGATTAAACGTTTTTTAGGAAAGCGTATACATCTATACACACACCAAACTTAAATACATTTCCACTGATCAATTCTCTTATTATCTACAGCTTTTAGTGACTGTTCATATATAATGGTTATTTTTAAAGCTTTAGTATAATAAATACGCTTTAATGTTCTAATACCGGTAAAATATTTTCTTCAGAAAAGCTGATTTTAGAATAAGGTCAGCATAATTTCATACTTTATCTTATTGATAAGGTTTAATTTTAACAACATCATCATTAGAAATATGTATTTCATTAGAATATTAGACAGAGATACATCTTAGCTGTTCTGATTTAAATCAAGGATGTTTTTACAAGTGTTCCCACGGGGGCCATGTAAACACTATTTTAAGCATCTACATTGAATAACTTTGCGTAGTATTGTAGGATATCTGAACGCTGGGTATATGTTTTAATTTCCATTAATATTGTAGTTCATTTCATCTATTTCACTTTTCAATTTTTGTGGCATATTAAGAATCGACAGCCTTTCTTTGTATTTTGTGATAGCAGTATTCTAAATTTGAGCACCATTTTCTAGGACTGGCAAAACCATACAGAAGTTCGTCACTTGTTTGAATATGCTTTAAGCTCATTATGCAAAGTTAATAATCTTTAAGATTCACTTTTTGTTTTGACTCAACTATACTTTTGAGCATCAGTTAAATCTGTAAGATCATTTGAGTTAGAGTACGAAGATTCTTTCATTTAATATGATATAATATAGTTTAATTATACCTACCTTCGATCACCAAAGTGTAACTAAGTCTGCTCATGTTGTCTCAAACCAGGTTTACTTTTAATCGTTAAAACATTTGATAATTTGATGTGTTAAATCCTTTAAATCATATCTATAGTTTCTCAATTGAGTGTTCTTCTATACAGAGCTTTACTTCTCTATTCAACAGTTGTACACGGTGGCTCTATAACTTCGAACAGTCCGTGAAGCAGATTTGTGTTCGTGAAAGCGCTTAGTGAGCTTGCAATCAGAAGCTAAAGCTGTCGCAATGTAGCATATGGTGTGTTTAAGCTAGAGTTACATAAATTTAATTTTTACCAATAAGCTACCTTTGAATCAGAGTAGTATGTTTAGATACTTGTAGATTATCGATAATATTTTGTGTCTCCTTGTAAAGGAATCAATCTCCTGGCCTACGTATATTAGAACAAAAATGAAAATAGGATTGTTAGTAAGGAATGAATGAATCAACACTGGTTTTGAATGATGGTAATGGGAAATTTTGGAATAAAAATATATAATATGGATATTACAAGATTTCTTATTTATTTGTTTTATCACTAATACTATTATTATACTGGCTAGGTTTCCTATATTATTATACTCAATCAGTCTTAAAATTCCATATAACTATTCTTAAAATGTTGCTTAATTATTTACTGTGTTATTTATTATTGCTTATTTTTATGATTGAAATGATTACAAACAGAACAAAAAATAAGCATATTATGTATTAAAATTATTAAAATTGCTTTTATTAAAATGGCAAAAATGTTCCATTATTATGTATAATTGAATTGAAAGGCTTTTCATTGAAACTATTTGAGGGGATTAGTCAATAGTATTTACAGTGATTGTGTGTTTAACATAAGTGATACCAAAAGTGTTTGAAGTATGAGGTGAAATTTATGTGGTAGCTGGTATAGTATTCATAATCTTAATCTAACGTTCGAAGTTTTGAAAATTGAAAGTTTCATGTCTGAACTCAAAATCCATAATCATTTCCTATTCAAGCTTAAATTCCGATTGATACATGTACTTGAAATTACCAGAGCAGCTATATATAAACAGGTCAATATTTCAGAGAAACAATACAAAGCGCTTTTCATCGTTAAAATCGTACAATATATATATATGCAGTTCTTCAACCATACAGATCCGCTATTTTAAATCAACTGCACAAATTTTAGTAGCATGATGATGTGAAGTTTAAATATATCATCAATTTTACAACCAGTTCCTTCATCTCTGGGAGTTGGTGGTTTGATTCATTCATTATATTTGAACATTAAATCATTTGCATATAGAAAAAGCCTAATTGAAGATGTGGTTGAAGCTTATGATTAATAAGACCATTTTGGCGTTTCGACATTTATAGCTATGGCAGTGACTTATTGATCTGTGATCGAATTAGTGATAATGATTTGTTAAACTTATTTCAAATTCTGGATTTGATAATCTCACACCTTGATCAAAGGTTTAGTTGATTTGATTTGTTAAGAAACAAGGCTAATAAAATGAATTAATTATCTAATGCAAATATTATTCTGGTGTTAAAGGAATTGTGAATCAATATTATAACAGTTCAACTTGGTTTATTGCATCAAACTTTATTTAAGGCATTTACCATTTTACCACAACAAGTGGAATCTTCACATTTTCCAAAACGAATAATCTTTAGTGGTATGGAATAACTTCTGAAATGTTTCATTCATTGACATGATATTCTAGTTGATGAATAATGCGAAAAAAATGATAATTGGAATTCAAATGTCAAACCAAAGACTTCAAAGTTGAGAGCATCGTTATAATGGTAGGCACATTAACAACTTGGTTTAAATACACTAGAATTTATTTCAAGCAGACTCAATTACCCACCTACCTATGCAAATATATGGATTTTGATAAAATTAACATCCATTAAATTCCAAAAACCCCAAACTCAATGACATCAACTCTTTAAATCAAGCCTAATAATTGATAAGATAATGATTCTCAACTCATAGATCTATTGCTGTAAAATAATATGTAAAATAGTTTTTTAAGAAGCCATAATATGTTCATGAAACATTGGCTTAATTATAATGAGAGGTTACCATGCCATAATCACAGAATACAGCTACCATGCCGTAGTAGAGTTATTATGTTTTGACCTTATTGCGGCTTTTGTTGTTCTTCAAGATTAAGATGGACCACAATGAGGACCATACAATAACCTAAAAGGAGTATTGATTGATTCAACATCTAGTGAAATCAGATTTGGCAGTCGTTGCTGTAGCATGAATCGAAAGTATAATAAACCAGAAGCGTCACCATTATAGCCAAATGTTTCAATTAGAGTCACATATGAGTGTGGTGGAACAGTTCTCAATTATAGCATAAACCGAAAAGTGTCTGAAATTCTGAATCTAATCAAGAGTTGGCATCTAGCTGATGATAATGAATAAGGGAAGAGAAGTGAATGAATTTTTTGGAATGAATTTATGAGATCTGCCACAAAGTAAGAAATCACTAGTGAACATAAACAAATACACAAACACAAGCACAAACACAAGCACAAACACAAGCACTAATTCATGATTAATTAACTTGACACAAACCCAGTGTTTATACCTGAAATTTAAAAAATCTGATGGAGCATATAAAAGCAAAGAGAATTCACAATTGTCAAAATATCACCACTAAATCAGCGAAGTGCAGTTAATATCCAACAAAATGCTATCAAATATCCAAGTTTAAGTCAACCAAAGTGATCAAGTGGCAGTGGCCTTATACTTTATACTATGGGTTAACGTAGATTGGAAAGTTAAAAGCGACTCTGAATTCAAAGACATTCATTTGATCGGCCATCTTGAAAACACAAACTTGATCTTTAAACCAATTATTACCTATGACCTATGATCATTATTTGACATAGTTAACTCTATCAATATTTCATAATTGTTTGATCGAATTGTTGGAAATATCTTTTAAGCGAGGTGTGTGACGTTTGCGGCTGGAGAAAAAGGTTCTGCTAAAAAATATTTTTTGATGGGTTCGAAAAAAAGAAACTATACCTAAAGAATAGTAAATTGTAATCATGTTGTTCTTCCCTTGATATAAAATTTAACTTAATCAACTCTTGAACACTTCGACTCGACGTTGTATTATTAACTGAGTACTTTGATTAACTAATAATCTGAAACAAGTAGAATCATGGGGACTTATAATGAAGATTCGGTGTTCACAGGCCGGGATCAACAATCATCACAAAATTTCGTGGATAAAGACGTTGTCGTTGAAAGATTGATTGGAACATTGAAAGAAGTATTACCAGAACCTCCATTGATTAACCAACCTTTACAATCTGAGTTTGCTGAGACTACATTAAAAAGGTCCAAAAGAAAGTCCAAATTTACCAGGGAGCAAGATGAAATGATTGTGGATTTGAAGAGTAAAGGTAAATCATGGGTTGATATAGCACAAATTGCGGGCGTTGGAAGCTTTTTAGCTGCTAGAAACAGATATCAAGTCCTTATAGGTCAACAAGGTGTTGGGTCTTCTATTTGGGGTGCTGGTGACTCTCAAAATTTACAGAGCTTAGTAGATGATGGAGAACTCGAAAAATGGAGGTTTATATCGAGAGAAATGTACAAATTAACAGGGAAACAATTCACTGATGTTCAATGTCGTGAATTAATTAGAGATATATTTCTACAGGATCCTGAAGAATTTGGGGTTTCAGAGGATGCTTTAAACGAAATCACAGAAGTTAAAGATGAGGTTTATGAACCTTCACAATCAGAACAACAACATGAGTCTTATGAAAGTAGTCAGCAACAATCTCAGCCTCATCAAGAAACACAACAGCATGAACATTCCCATCATCACCAACAACAGCAGCAATACAATCAAGATTATAATCGCTCATATGATCAAAACTTCAACCATAATTTAGGTCAAGGTAACCCAAATTATTCACAAGGTCAAAATACACATCAAACACATTTATATGAACAAAATAAAAATCAAAATAATAATTCAGGGTATAATAATTACTAGCTTTTGATAGACTGTTGAAGTTTACAAACTATTCTATAAGGTGTTTCTTTGTAATTCAGGATTGTATATCAATTGGTATTAATGATCGATGATCAATTGACTCGTACGACAACGATTTGATGGTATTTGAATTAATGAATGTTTAAAATATTATAGTTTTTAATTTTTTTTTTTAGTTTATGGGTTTTCATTTTTGTTATAGTTGTTATTTTAGTTGATGGTTATTGTCTTTTGATAGTTGTAGGCATCAACGTATGATTGGTATACAAATCTCTAATCCGATTATTTACTGTACTATAAGTATCAGGAGTGATGTTAAACTAATTTTCAGTACATAGTATACCTAATTCAATAGTACATATGATATTTCACGTTTGGGGCTTGCCGCTTGAAAGTTGACAGTAACGTGGGGCACGTTTAGAATTTACATGATGTCTTAAAAGTTAGTTGGAATTTTGTTACCTCAAAATGCATAAGATGGTAATTCAAATTTCAATATGGTATTCCTTACTTATAAAGGAAAGTTGATTGGTTCAAATTTCAGAGATTTCATAAACAAAACGTTTGAAGTATTAAAATTACACTACATATTACATATTACATACCGGCTGTCACTGATCTTTAACCGCTCAACACATGATGAACCATGACGTTCAGTTCAACTCTTTTATAAACCAGCTATATCCATTCAACTCTATCGATAATTATGTACTCAGCTCAGAGTATATCAATACAACTGTATTTGTATTTTTTAAATTGAAATAAAAAATGCAAATATTGAATAGATTTTTAATCATTGCCTTAAGTTTAACAATTGTTTTAGGTAAAAAGAGAACCTATAATAAATATAATCCTTCAGACTCTGAAATTGAAAAAGATGCACAAACTGCCAAAACTTCACATCAAACATCTAATGTTTCAGGGAAGGCCTTTAATAGATATGTTGTAATTTGGTTAGAAAATACAAATTTTGATAAAGCTGCAGAAAATTCAGATATGGAATGGTTATCAAAAGAAGGTATTACTTTAGATAATTATTGGGGTTTAACACATCCTTCTGAACCAAATTATTTAGCCTCAGTTGGTGGTGATTATTTTGGTTTAGATAATGATGGATTTATATCATTACCTTCAAATGTTAGTACAATTGTGGATCTTTTAGAGTCTAAAAACATCACATGGGGTGAATATCAAGAAGATATGCCATATACAGGATATAATGGAAATGAATATAAAAATCATCATTTATTTTCTAATGATTATGTTAGAAAACATAATCCATTAACATTATATGAATCAGTTAATAAAAATTCAAATAGAATTCAAAATATTAAAAATTTTACAACTTTTAAATATGATCTTGAAAATGAATTATTACCTCAATGGAATTTTATAACACCAAATATGACCAACGATGGTCATGATTCAAATATTAATGTTGCATCTTCATGGTCAAGAAATTTCCTTGAACCTTTATTGAAAAATGATTATTTTATGAAAGATACTTTAATTTTATTAACATTTGATGAAAATGAAAATTATTTTATTAAAAATAGAGTATTTGCATTATTATTAGGTGGATCAATTCCTAATGATAAAAAGGGGACTATTGATCATACATTTTATGAACATTATTCTGGATTATCAACGGTAGAAGTTAATTGGGATTTACCAAATTTAGGAAGACATGATGTTGATGCTAATGTATTTGATATTGTTGCGAATAAATTAGGAATTCAAAATAAAGATGTTGATACTACTTATAAAGCTAATAATAAACCATATGTCGGATATTTTAATGATGATTCAATTGATTTACCAGCGCCTAATGTTAATGCAAAAGGTAAAAATGGATTAGGTGTGTTAGATTCAATTTCATCAGTTTGGGCAGAAGAATATTCCAAACAAGTTTCAAATTCTTATTTTACATCAACAACTACCACAGTTTCAATAAGTTTAGGAGACGCAACTACAACTTCTTCTTAAACTTGATGGATATTTGATGTGATTTATTTTACAGTATAGTGTTGCAAAATACTTATATATTAATTTAAAAAAAATATTATAGTAAGAAATGAATGTAGCAAGATCTCATAGTGAAAGCAAATATTATCAAAAAATTAAACAAAAATTAGTAGCCACATATATATATGTGTATAAATATATATGATAAAGAATTGAACCTAATAAAACTCTAAAAAGAATAGTGATAAAAAAATATCTATAGTGGATTATCTATAATCTAATATAATCTAATAAAGAATAAAAAGTGAAAGAACGTAAATATAAAGCAAAAATTAAAAGTATAGCAAGTATTAAAAAGATTGTTAAAAGAACCCATAAGTAACAATTAAAAATCATTCAACATAAAAATCAGTTTCATCATTAAAAACTCTTGTAGCTTCTTGTTTATTTGAAGCTTTCTCCCATGGGAAAATTGGTGTTGGTTGATAAGATTGATTTTCTTCATCAATTTCATCAATTTTTAAACTATTATCCTCATCCCATTTATTACTAAAATTTTTTGGTAAATTTAATAAATGACCTTCACCTTTTTCAGAATAATCATTAATTTGATTAATTTTAGAAATAGTGAAAATTTCACTTGCAGATTTACCAAAATAATTTGAATTGAAAACATTCCACCAATTTTTATGAATATTTGAAATGATTTCATAATTTTTACCAAAACTTCCTGAAGCAAAAATCGAAGAATCTCTTGTTAACCAAGGTTTATTTAATCCAATGAAATGAATATTTTTAATATCTTTAGCAAATCTATTAAAAGCAGGAATATATTGATAACTTGCAGATGGAGTAACATTAAAAGTGAAAGGTAATCTAAACCATTTACCTAAGAAAAATTCATTTAATAAACCTTGATCAGCACCATCAAATGAAGGAGTTTCTTCATTTTGAATTTTATATAATAATTTATTAAAAATTTCTTTAGAAGGTTTTGTAATGAAAACACCAGAATTGAAAATATCCGGCCAACCACTATCTGGAGATGCAGCAATTAAATAATTTGAATCATTTAATTCAATTTGAGTGAAAAATTCATCAATATTAACTAAAGGTAAAACATCTGAGTCTAAATAAATTAATTTTGAATATTGTTCTTGTGACCAAATTGTAATTTTAGTATAAGTTGAAATTAAATCAAGTCTACCTAAAATTGATAATTCTTCAAATGAATTACTCAAGATTGGATTAACAGGGATAATATCATCATAAACTTCTTTTAAAAATTCAATAGCTTCATCTGAAACATTTGCAATTAAGATAACTAATCTCTTTGTAGTACCTGTTTTTTTCAAAGCTCTCCCTAAAACTAAAGAACCAGGGAGATAATTGTCATTGATAAGAACGGTGATATAAGCTTCAGTCATTGTGGTATATGAACTCTAGTAAATAACTAGCAGAATTAATAAATTGAGATGAATATATAATAAACTGAAGTGAATATAAATACAAGTATAAATATAAATACAACCCTTATTCCCAATTCCCAAATTTCCTAAAACAGTCAATCTTTCGATCAAACATTTACTGATTAAGCGAAATTCAAACTTTTAAGGAACTCCCCAGAAAACTGCCGGTTTGCGCAGCAGAACGTAAACAATTATACGAGTTAGCTAATACATTACGTAAAATAAATTATAAGATCATTTATTCTAATAGATAAAAAAGCATTTTAAAATAACAAAAGTTCATAGTTCCACATATTTTTTTTTAAAAATTAATATAATATAACATAATATAATATAACGTTTGATTAGATTCCAGCTTCATTTCATTATGCACGTTTATAGATATTAGTATTACCACCTTGTTGAACTTGTTGACCATTACCACCTGTTCCAGTAGAAATATTTTGTGCTCCATTTGGTACTTGAGATAAATGTGCACTTGCACGAGCACTTGATGATGCATTTTCTTTTAATGTAGTTAATTGTTTTGATCTAAAGTTTTCATAATGTATTGATGAAGTAGTTTCTATTAAATCTTGTAAATGAGTTCTTGTTAAAAAATCTCTTAAATAAACAAATTCAGATTGATTAATATCTTCAACATTTATTGTACCCCATCTTGTTCTTCTACCTTTGAAAACTTCACCATTAATTGTAATTTCATTTTCTGATCCAATAACTGCAAATGGAATAATTGATTTAATACTATTATTTAATTCTTTTTCTTCATCTAATAAATCATCTGAATCATATGGATATAGATTTAAATTATGATATTGAAATTCATTTTGTAAAATTTTTCTAAAATTTTCACGTTCATCTAAAGTTAATGTATCAGCTTTTGCAATAATTGGAATAACATTTGAAATTTCACTTAATTTTTTTAAAGCTAAAATATCAACAGCTTTTAAACCGACATTATTTGGTTGAATAAAATATAGAATTGCATGAACTCTTGTATCATTAATAAATCTTTCACGTTGTGCAGTTAATTCTTTTCTAAGATATAAAGAATATTGTTCTTTAATATATCTAACTATTGGTTCCCAACATTTATCATTATTAATTTGATCACCAAAACCTGGAGTATCAACAACATTGATATTTAAACGAACATTATTTTCAATTAATTGATGATTTGTTACTGAAATTTCTGAAGTTTTAGTAATTGGTTCAGTACTTGATTTACGACCTAATGAATCAACAAGATGTGATGAAAATAAAGTGTTGATCAGTGTTGATTTACCTAAACCTGAATAACCAGCAACCAGAATATTAAATTGGAAACCTCTTTTCAATAAACGATGTTCAATTTGAGTTGTAATTGTATCAAACCCAACATATGAAGAAGGTTGGAAAACGTTTTGCTGTTGTTGATGTGGTTGTTGTGTAGCAGACATGATTGGAATATAAGTGTGAATGATCTGAATGAATTGAACAAAGACAACGAGTGAAGAATTGTAACAGATGAACTTTTCTTAAAATCTATTTTAAAAGAAATCAAATCAAATTATATTAATTGTGGTTTTTGTGTTTGTGTTAAATCAAAGATCTTTTAATTTTCTAAAATTCCAACACAAAACGAAACGCGTTTTTTTCAAGATTTCACACAAAAATAGAAAAAATTTAAAAAAATGTGAAATGTCCGAAAAGGGTAATTTTATAGTCAGGTGACTGATCAGCTGATATTTTTTCATTTTGATTTTCGCGATTTTTGGTTCTTTCATTGGAAAATTTTGATTTTGATTTGAACAATTCTATGAAGAAAATAGACATTGTTGGTTATTTAAATAAAGAGATCTTGATTTTGAAAAAGTTAAAACTATAACAATGTCTCTTAGTATTGGATTAGGAAGACTAAGTGGTCTTTCATTACCACGTCTTCCAGAAATAAGCATTAGAATACCGAACCCATTTGCATCAAAACCTTCATCATCATCAAAACCATCATCATCATCATCACAAATTCAATCACAAGAATCAGGTCCTTCCCTTAGAGAAAGATTAGAAGAATATTTATCAAATAGACCAATTGAAGAAAGTTTTTTCATAGATAATGGAATTTTAAAAGCTGCACCAAAACAAAGAGTTTCACCACAAAAAAGAAAACAAAAATTATATGGTCCAGGTAGTAAACAATTAAAATTTTTACATCATTTAAATCGTTGTCCTTCATGTGGTCATTTTAAAAGAGCTCATACTTTATGTATGCATTGTGTTTCACAAATTCAAAGAGTTTGGAGAAGAGATTTACATGCAAAAGAATCTAAAGAAACTTATGAACAAAAATTAGATGAAATTGATAGAAGAATTTTATATCCAGGTAAAGTTGAAAGTGAATATGAGAAAAAATTAAAACAAAAAAGTGAATATGTTGATCATCGTTCAAGAACTTTACCAGTTGAGAAGAAGGATAAATAATTAGTTTAAAGTGATAATAACTTGTATATATAAAATTTCATGAATTTAAAAGATTTACCATATATAATACTTACGTACAGCTTTACCATATAATACGTACATTTTAAATTATAAATTATTATAACATTATCATTAATAAAATTAAAAAATTATCTCTAATCTATTTTATATTGTTTTATATATTACATAACAATACATTTTGCACAAACACCACCTTCAGATTTTGATTCTTCTTTTGAAGGTTGAGCTTGTTGTTTTCTAACAACTTGTTCTTTAGATTCTGGAGCTTTTTTAGAATCTTTGGTAGCAGTGGCACCAGTTGTATCTTTAGTATTACCAGTGGCAGTAGCAGCAGCGCCTGAAGTAGCAGCAGCAGTAGCACCTGTAGTAGTAGCACCTGTACCTTGACTTGTCTGTTTAGCAGTTGAATTTGATTTACTTGCTTGTTTACTTGCAACAATTTTTTGAACAGTATTATAAAAAGATTCACCTTGAATTTCACCAATATCTAATTCTAATTTTGAAGGTTGTCTTGAACCATCACCACCTGCAAAAGTACCTGAACCCCATGGAGAGCCACCATGAACTTCATCTAATGATGTTAATAATGGGAAAGCTTTACCATAACCTAATGGAACATAAATTATACCATGATGAGTTAAAATTGATAAAATATTTCTAATTGTTGTTTCTTGACCACCACCTGGAGTACCAGTTGATACAAAAATACCAGCAATTTTACCATGGAAAGAACCTTGAGCCCATTGTTTACCAGTTTTTTCCCAAAATGCAGACCATTGAGCAGGTAAATTACCAAATCTTGTAGGAATACCAAAAAGGAAACCATCATAATTTTGTAAAATTTCTGGAGTTATATAAGGAATATCAGCAGGTTTTGCAGGAGCATGAATTAACGCTAAAACATCATCACTCAAAGTTTCTTCAACTTGAAAAATATCAGCTTCACCACCAGATTTTTCAATACCTTTTTGAATTGATTTTGCTAATGTTAAAACATGACCATAAGTGGAATAACTTATAATCTAATAAAAATTGTTAGTATATATGAATTGTGATCAATGGAAAAGAGGGCTTTTACATACAGCAATCTTGACCATTTTGGAATGTTTTGTATGATATCTTTAGTGTTTTTTTACCTGTTCAAAGATTGGGTATATATAATAGTACAGATGTTTGTTTATAAGGGAATTTGGGAGGTTAAAAGATATTTTATAATTCAATGCATGTTACAAATTGCTTACGTATTATTCACGCGTAAACTTATCTCAGTTTAAGCCTTGCAAATTGTCAATGCTTACTGATCAAATTACAAATTACCAAATTACGAATTGAGTAATAAAGGTGCGTTTTCCTGAACAGATTGGGATATTTCCACAACAGGAATTTTTATTGGATAAAGATTCAACAACAACTACAACAACTACAATTCATTACTCATTATCATGTAATTCACACTAAATATTATAGAGCTCATCATCATATCTTGGTAATTGTAATTTATAATTGATTTGTGATGTTTTACTCATTCCATAGAAATCGGAAATATCAAAATTTGTAATGATTACTCAGTTAAATGCTGGCATTAAACACACTCAAACATACGCAAAGGTTACGAACACTGTGCCCCCTTTTAGTAACATTTTAATAATAATCAAATAAAGCAAATTCCAAAAGAGGTTCATTTCTGAAGTACGTGTTTGTATATATATAAGTACTTGAAGTATTCCTTTAAACTCAATTCAATTCAGTTGTTTTAATATACTATAATATAAATATATATTATAAACATACACAATGGCTCCAAAAGTTGCAATTATCATTTACACATTATACGGTCACGTTGCTAAAATAGCTGAAGCTGAAAAAGCTGGTATTGAAAAAGCTGGTGGTCAAGCTGATATTTATCAAGTTCCAGAAACCCTTAGTGATGATATTTTAAAATTAATGCATGCCGGTGCTAAACCAGATTATCCAATTGCTTCACCAGAAACTTTAACTCAATATGATGCCTTTTTATTTGGTATTCCAACAAGATATGGTAATTTCCCAGCTCAATGGAAAGCTTTTTGGGATTCAACTGGTGGTTTATGGGCTAAAGGTGCCTTATATGGTAAAATTGCTGGTGTTTTCGTTTCTACTGGTACTCCAGGTGGTGGTCAAGAAGTTACTGTTTTAAATTCTTTATCAACTTTAGCTCATCATGGTATTATTTATGTTCCATTAGGTTATGGTAAAGCTTTCCCATTATTAACCAATTTAGAAGAAGTTCATGGTGGTTCTCCATGGGGTGCTGGTACTTATGCTGGTGGTGATGGTTCAAGAACTGCTTCTAAATTAGAATTAGAAGTTGCTGAAATTCAAGGTGCTACTTTCTGGGAAACTGTTCAAAAATTTTAAATTAATTGAATTAATTGAATAGATTATATACTTTTATATTTTGAGAATATTTATGAAATCTTATGAGTTTTTAATTAATTGTAGTGAAAACATGTTCTATGGTACTTGTGATTGTATGGTTCGGGAAGAATTATAAAATATCGCACTTGAAAAATTTAGTGATAGTTTCAACTTTATCTTTATACTTTAATTCACCATACATATATTCATATTCATATTCAAAGTTATTATTCAAAATGAGTAACGTATTAGATCAATTGTTAATAGAAGATGTATGTGAATTGTGATATAACCCTGTATTCAAGTATACTAATAATATTATAGATTGCAAGATATTGTCCACAAAATTTTTTGGCTTATCATAAATGTATTTCAGAAAATAAAGAAAATCCAATGAATTGTATTCCAAAACAACAAGAATTAGCATCATGTATTAAAAAAGAGTAAGTTATATATATAAGATATTGTCTATTGAGTATATTGATTAACCAATGATTATAGAGTTCCTGCTTTCCAAAAAATCTTGGGTAATTGTGGTCAATTATTAAATGATTATAATGATTGTTTAAGGTCAAATATTTCAAATCAACAAGCTTGTATTGAATTATTAGCTCAAGTTAGACAATGTGCTGAAAAACAAGTTGATTTAAATAAGAATACAATGAATAATTTAAATCCTGGTAAATAAGATGGGATTAATTAATCGATATTTGATGATTATTTATTAATGATTACTTGTATATATATAATTTAGAATTATGATATTGTTTTTAATTTGTAGTGTTTGATTAAAATATGTTCTAATCGAATATTTCCAAATAATCTACTACATTATAGTATTTATCATAGTTTTTATCTTAGTTTCATTTCCCATCAAATCTGCGTACAATATTATTTTTTAAGCTTTTGACAATTTGAAAAAAACACATCAACACAATCAAAACTTTATCAAAACAAAAACAATCAATAACAATCACAATCAAAAAAAGGTCAATAAGATCAAATATCAACTCATTGTCTTTAAATTCAAGTCTAGAATATCATCTTTCCCTGTTTGTCTCAGATTTTTTAAACCAAAAGTCATCCCAGCGCAATTCAAAATTGATCAACAAAAGGATTAACTAAAATTCCATACCACAAAAAAAAAAGTTACTAATATTATATTATATTACATATCACAATGTCATCATCTCGAAGTACAAGTACAAATGGATTAAATTTAAATAACATTCCAACTTTCCAATTAGATTCAGGTACACATACACCATCAACAAATTCTAAACTCCATTCAAATTATTCAACAAGATTAAATTCTCCTACAAGACATCAATTATTACAAGAACAAATGTTATCAGATAAACCTGCTTATAAACAAATTAAAATAAATTTAAATAAAATACCATCGAAAAGTCCCAATGTTTTAAAATCTGTTTCATTTGATACAATTTCAAAAGATTATTTAAATATAAGTGATGATGATTATGATGATGATGATGATAATAGTTTTGATGATATTGATTATGATGATTATGAAAAACAAGATGATGATGATTATTTTTCAAGAAATAATAAAAGATCAACATCTATTAATGAACGTATTTCAAGACATGATCCAAATTTATCAAACTATCTAAGTCCCGGCGCTACTACAACTAGTGGTGGTGGTGGTGGATCTTCAAGAGGTAATTCAAGAACTAGAGGTAGATCCCCTTCACCATTTAGAGATTCTTCACCTTCATCATTTACAGGGTTTAAATCATTAAATAGTATTGAAGGTGGAGGTAATAAAATAAATTATAATTCAAATGGTTGGAGAACTGATTATCCATCAAGACCAAGTATTGATTTAGATTCATTTACATTAACTTATCAATCCTCTAAATTTAATGAATTTATTAAAAAAAATGAAAATTATAGATCAATTATTGTTTATATTACAGGTAGAAGACATTCTTGGGTTGCATTAGATTTTGCAATTGATAAATGTTTAAAAAATGGTGATCATCTTGTTGTTGTTTCAAGAATTCCTTATAGTAATGATTTTAGAAATTATAAAACAAAAGATCAAATAAATTTCCGTAAAACTGCAGAAAATTTAAAAAAATATTTAAATTTTTTAATTAATGATGATAAAATTATCAAGATAACAATTGATTTATTTCAATTTAATAGTACTTATACTATATTAAATGAAATTATAAAAATTTATGAACCATCAACTTTAGTAACATCAACAAAACCAAATTTAAAATTTAAAAGAAATCAAACTTGGAAAACTGCAAGGATTACAGATAGATTAATTAAAAATTTTAGTTTACCAATAGTTGTTGTTCCAGCTTTTACAATGAATGATTATGAAATTGAATTTTTCAATAGGAAAATTAATGAACAATGTATTGATGAAAATTTAAATCAATTACAAAATAAACTGGAAAATGTTAATATGAATGATGATTCAATTAATTCAATTGTTTCAAATGATGATGATGGTGATGATGATTCTGATAATATTTCAATTGATTCAAATGATAGTGAAATTAGTGAAAATAGTGGAGATAGTGATTTAGAATCAAATAGTTCATCATTTAAAGATCTTACAAGAACTATAAGTAATTATCAAGATGTATTAGAAAATTTTATTAATGAAAATGAATCAAAAGAAATTAAACAAGATTTTTTTTTGAAAAAACTGAATAAAATTACAGATATTAATCATAAAATTTCATTAAAATTTATGGAAACTTCAAATAATGGAGGTGAAGGTGCTGCATTAGTTAGAAGTTTAACAGGATTACCAGAATTAGAAAAAACAAAATCAATGTTGGATGTGCTATCAGATGAACAAATTAAAATTGATAATTTAAAAAAATCTCTGAATAATAATTTAAGTCATAGTACAAGTCCAAGTGGTACACCAGGTAATTTAACTCCTAATGGTGGTAATAGTACACCTGGTACATCAACACCAAGTAAAACAATTAAATTTTCTAATGATATATCAAATCCAAAAGATTTAAAATTAAAATCATTAGAACATTTAAATTCATTAAGAAAATATAATACACATACAGATCAAAATCCACATCAACAACAACAAAGAAATTTATTATCACCATCAAGATCTCAACCACAAATTTTAACAAAATCATTATCAGAATCAAAAGTTTCAACACTGAATAATAATAATAATAATATTAAAGATGATAAAGATGATAAAAAGAAGAAAAGTGGATTTTTATCTAAAATGTTTGGTAGATCAAAAGATAAAAAATCAAAATCACGTCGTCCAAGTACATGATTATTATGAAATGTTTTATATATAGTTATAGATATGTATTTTAATGATAAGCTTATTTATATTTATGGAGAGATAATTTAAGTAAAGATACGATTAGATCTTGAAGACGATTAAATATATAACCACTAATGATTAATATAGCAAGCAATTTGAGGTGCTATACTATAATATCTAAACTAATATATATATATCTTTATGGTTTTTGACTTATATTGTACTATTGCTCAAAGTACCTCCACAAATATGTACTTCATAGCCCAATATGTATCAATTATGCATATTAAACATCAACCCACAAAATGTATTAATCAAAGCATTACTATAATTCTAGTACTATTTGATAATTTAATGAATAAAAACTAAATCTTATGATCTATATACCATTTTCTTAAAATCTGGGGTAAATGATTATAGTTTTATAGATCTATAACCGGAGCCATACGTTATTTACCGGGTTGTTCTAGTTAAACAGGTGTCCGTCTTCAGTGTCCATGTGTCCGATGGGGTCCGGGCTTTGTTAAGACTCAAAAGATTATGGAAGCGAAGAATCCGAAATGATCATTGATTAATTAAACAGTCATAGATTTATAGTAGGCATAGTCATTGAAGTGTATATAAAGTAAGGAATATCTTTTTTCTTGTAATTAATTAATTGATTGTCTTTAATTTTCTTAATTTCCTTAATTTATCAGCCGATTTTTGATTTACTGATTTTCATTTTCCCACAATTCCCATTTCCATTAATTCCAATTTGATTTCCAATTTTTCCGTGGAGAGAAAAAAACCAAAAAGTCAACCAACAAAAACACTTTTATATCAATAACAACTTACGACTTCAACTACAACAACTTCATCAATTACCATTACCATCAATTCAACTGATTCTTACTCAAGTAAAGTACATCAATTGATTATCAACAGCGAAAAAGATTTGAAAGAAATTACATATATTCAACTTTGCCCCCCATATTATAGAGATCTTAATTACACAAACCCACAATCACAATGAGACAATCCATATTCCAAACTGCTAAAAGATTATATTCAACTGCTGCTGCTCCAGCTGCTCAAGCTGCTACATCTAGTCCTGCTGCCGCCACCACTGCTGCTGCCACCACTGCTAAAGTTGTTTCTAAACCTGCCAAAAGAATTGGTGCTTTTAGAGGTGGATTTTTAGGTTTTTTCTTTGGTGTTAGTTTAACTTCAATTTTCACTTATTCATATGTCTTGGATCAACATAAAACAAGTTCAAATGTTATTATAAGTGATGTCTTGAGTTTACAAAAATCAATTAGAGTTTTAGAAGAACATGTTCGAGTTTTAGAAAAGAATCAAAAACCAATTGATAAATGAATACATTAATTACTAAAAGATATTAAAATTTCAATTCATATTCATTGATTTGAGTACATACATTTAACAAAAGCATGTCTTTTATACACCATCACCAACATCTATATTCACATTTTACTCATTTGTATTTTAACATGTTTTATTTATTTATTATTAAATTCTTGTAAGTGTCAGTATTACTCATCCTCTTCAATTTCAATTCGCGAACACTTTTCGTTAATTTTTGTCGAAAGCACGAAATTTAGATTGAAACAATGAAAAAAACGTTGATTTAAATCTCAATTTTACAAACACAGACAAAAAAGAACACACGATAAAAGTTAATTATACACACAAGGTTACACACACACAAGGACTCATACATCATGTCAACGGAGCGTAGACCTTCAATTGCTGAACGTCGCTCTTCAACAACAACAAATACACGTCCACAATTTGATTCTCATTTATCAACAACTAATGAAACAATTTATAATGATGGAGGAAATCAACAACATGGTCAAGGTCAAGGTCAATTTTCCACTTCAAGAAGACCTTCAGTGGTACCACATTTAGCTGGTTTAGAAAAACCTTTACCGGAATCAATCCCAGAACAATGTGATGTTGTTATCGCAGGTACCGGTTTAGTTGAAAGTATATTAGCTGCCGCTTTAGCATGGCAAGGTTCAAATGTTTTACATATAGATTCAAATGATCACTATGGTGATAATACTGCTACTTTAACTATAGATCAAATTAAAAATTGGGTTGTTAAAGTTAATAAAAATGAAATCATTGGTTTTAAAAATGCTTTACTTTATATACCAAGTGGTAATGAACTTTTTAAATCAAAAGATTTTGGTTTAGATTTAACTCCAAAAATTTTATTTGCTAAATCTGATCTATTATCTTTATTAATTAAATCAAGAGTTTATAAATATTTGGAATTTTTACCATTAAGTTCTTTTCATTTTTTTGAAAATGATAATTTTGAAAAAATGTCAAATACAAAACAAGATATTTTCACAAATCAATCATTATCTTTATTAACAAAAAGATCTTTAATGAAATTTATAAAATTTGCTATAGATTGGGAAAATCAACCACAAATTTGGGAATCTTACAAAAAAAAACCAATGGAAATTTTCCTCAATGAACAATTTAAATTAGAAAAACCACAAATTTGGGAATTAATTTTTTCAATTGGTCTTTGTAATAATTTAAAAATTAATACTCCAGAAGCTTTACTTAGAATTAAAAGATATTTAATAAGTTTTGATGTTTATGGAAATTTCCCAGTTATGTATTCAAAATATGGTGGTGCAGGTGAAATTTCTCAAGGTTTTTGTCGTTCAGCTGCAGTTGCTGGTACAACTTATAAATTAAATACAAAATTAGAATCATTTGATCCAAAAAATAAAATTGCAAAATTTTCTGATAATTCAAGAATTAGAGTTAATGAACAAATTATTTTATCACCAAGTCAAGCTCCAAATAATGCACAAAATATACCAAAACAAGAATATGAAATTCAAAGATTAACTGTTATTGTTAAAAAAACTTGTAAAGAATGGTTTGAAAATGGTGAAAGTGCATCAATTGTTGTTTTCCCTTCAGGTTCTTTATCAACAAATAATTCAGAAGCTGTTCAAGCTTTAATTATGAGTGAAGAAACTGGTATTACTGCACCAGATACATGTGTTTGGTATTTATCAACAACTGAAAAAGGTTTAAAAGGTCGTCATGATTTAGAAAATGCATTGAAAAAAATGGAAAATTCAATATTAAGAGAAAGTTCTGATTTAAATAATGAAGATGAATTATTTGATAATGGTACAGGTATTTTAAATTCTGTTAAATTAGGTCAATCATTTAAAGATTTTGTACCAAAAGAAAAAATTCAATATTTATTAAAATTATATTATATTCAAAAAACTTCAATACCTCATGCAGATGTTGTTAAACCTTCAATTTATAAAAAAAATCTTGATAATAATAATAATACCTCCACTGAAAATAAAGATGCTCCAGATAATGGAGTTATTTATTCAACTTTACCATCAAGTGAAATTTCTTATGATGGTATAATAACTGCAGCTAAAATTCTTTATGAAAAAATTGTTGGATCTGATGATGATTTTTTTGATGTTGATTTTGAAGATGATGATGAAAATGATGAAAACAATGGAATTAATAATAAAAATAATGATGAATTAGCATTTGATGATGATATTTCAGAAACTGTTGAATTTGCTGATGATATGGAATTATAGATTAACTTTCATATTCATCTGTTCATTATATATCTGTTATCGTTTATTTGATATAAACTATTTTGCATCATTTCATCAATTCATAATATAACTACACATTCTTTTAAATACTTTTTTTGCTAGTTTTTTCTTCACTTGTTTCTTCATTTCATTTTATAAATACAATATGGGTATAATTCCCTGAAACTAATTGGATACCATATGTATATACTTTAATTTTCAATTCATCATGGTTTATTAATAAATAACTTAATTAATTAATTACTATATATTGTAATTTTCAAAAGCCCTAACTCAAATCACATGATTTATTTTTCAAAATCGTCACAAATAATTTACCCGGATTTTCATGGTATGTACCACATTTTTGAAATTTTTCAAAGTATTCGCATCGGTCAATGGTGAAAAAAAAAATTAACGTTAATGGTTAACCATATATTCAAAGTGATATATTTTTGAAAAAAGTATAGTACTGAGCAGTTAATTTCCCTGTCGAAGAAGTCTACTATTATAAACAAAAAAATATATTAAAAAATGTCTGACGTTGAACAAGTTGAACAAGTTGAACAAGTTGCTGTTGAAGAACAATCAGGATCAATCACTATTGAAGATGCTTTAAAATCAGTTTTAAGAACTTCATTAGTTCATGATGGTTTAGCTAGAGGTTTAAGAGAATCCTCAAAAGCTTTATCAAGAGGTGAAGGTCAATTAGCTGTCTTATGTGATTCAGTTACTGAAGCTTCAATTGTTACTTTAATTGAAGCTTTATGTAATGAACCAGAAGAAAAAATTCCATTAATTAAAGTTTCAGATGCTAAATTATTAGGTGAATGGGCCGGTTTAGGTAAAATTGATCGTGAAGGTAATGCTAGAAAAGTTGTTGGTGCTTCTGTTGTTGTTATCAAGAACTGGGGTGCTGATTCTGAAGAACGTAACATCTTATTAGAACATTTTGCTAACCAATAAATTATTTAATATTTTAATTAATCATTAAATAATTTTAAAAATGGGTAGGTTTTGTATATTGATGAAAATTTAATGTCAGATTTATCTTAAAAAAAAAAATATTGCAATAGTATTTGTAGCATATATTATAGCAAAATTATACATTATATTAGATGAATATTGGAACATCAATACCTCCATTTTCTTCTTCTTCATATTGATTTTCATTTAAATTGTATCTTATATTATCTTGTTCTTGTTCATGTTGTTGTTCATGTTGTTCAACTTGTTGATCTTGCCTTTCCAATCTTTGTTTTTCATTTTCAGGTATTAAATTTTCAATTGGTTCATCAAAATCTTTTTGTAAAATTTTAAAATCAAATATTGTACCTGTATAATTTTTTGGTAAATCAAATCCATAAAGACTTAATAAATTTAAACTTAATTTATTTGAATCTTTTTTAAATTTACATTTATTTGATAATTTAATACTTTTTAAAAATTTATTAAAAATATTAAATTCATAACAACTTAAATTATATTGATCATTATTATAAATAATTAATTTTTCTAATATTGATTTTTCATTTGGTAAATATAAAGTTGAATTACCAACTTCACTTTTAGAAATCAATGCTAATCTTTCATATGATTTGTTATTATTATTATTATTATCTTGTTGTGATGTAGCATAAATATAAATTTGTTCAGAATTTATATCTTTTAAATCTTTTAATGCATCATATAAAACATCAGATTTTATAATACCTTCAACTAATAAATCATTTTGATTTAATTCAAAACCTATATTATTAGCTTCTAATTCCAAATTTATAAATGTTGAAAATTCACATCTTTCAATCATTTTATTATCTTCAAATATTAATATAAATGGATAACCTGAACCTTTATAAAAAATTGTACATTCAGTTTGTGAATAATAATTATTATTGTTACCATTGAATTGAGTATTATTTTTAGATGCAAGACTTAAACTTTCAGCAATTGGAGTTAAATCAACTGCAAATTTATTTTGATTTGTATTATCAATTGAATTTGAATCTGAATTTGAATCTGAATCATCTGTATCATCATTATTATCTTTATCCTTAGTTTGAGGGTTATATTGATATGTGGTGAATAATGATTTTTCAAGTGTTATCTCAGCTATTATCTTTGTTAGTATATAAAATCTCTTATTACCACTAAAATTACTCATACCTCTACATATATGTGAATATTCAGTGATAAAATTTAATCCATCTTCATCAATTGTAATTAAAACTTGTGAATTAACAGAAGTTAATGAATTCAAAATACTAGATATATGACTTAATGAATGTGTAGTTGCTGAAAAAACAAAATCATCATCCAATCTTTGTGTCATTATACTATATTTATAATTCTGGGGTAATTTGGTGAATTTCTCACCGGGTATTAATTTTTCAAGTTTATTATTTGTTTTGGAAATTCTGTTTTCGGAAAAGTAATTGAATTTTTAATTTCTCACTTTGACATATAATTACACAAAACAAAAAGTACTTAACCTCCAAAAAGACTAAGAAGTTGATCAGTTATTAGTTATTATATTCAAGATGCCATTATCATTTGAAATCAACAAGAGAAAAATCAAAAATCTGGGATTTATTAGTGCTGCTATACTGTTTGGAATTGGTTGTATAACTCTGTACAAATCCATTCAAAGTGAAGAAACTCCAAATCAATCCAAATCAGAAAATAAAGGTGATAAAACCAAAGAAATAGCCAATAAATACACTTCTAAACCAGTTACAATAGTGGTTACTGATTCTATAATATCTGCAAAGTTAAGATTAGGTGAAATTTTATCATTAACTCAAGATGTTGTATTAGTATTAGATCCAAATTTAAATAAACAAGATTTAATTGGAATTGAACCTCAACAAGAATATAAAATTATTGAATGTGAAAGTTATGATGGTCTTTGGTCTATTGTTAAACATTTAAATAGTGAATTAATCTTTGTTGTTAAAGATGATTTAATTGAAGATTTACCAAAAAATTTATCAAGATTTGTTGGAGAAATTATTGAATTAGAACAAAATTTTGCTCATATAAATCAAAAAATAATATCATATATTATGAATTAAAGAGAATTAAATAATTATTTATTTATTGTTTTGTTATATTTCTTTTAGTACCAAATGTTACTTTTTCATTTGATTGATTTGCACCACCAATATAACCATATTCAAATGAACTCCATTTAGAATCATTTAAATGTTTAGGCTTTTTAGGAATTTTAGGAGGTGAATGTTTTGTACTTAATTTTGGTCCAATAACTGGTATTGATTGTTGATTTTTATGAACATATCTTGAAAAAGATACAATAGTTTGTAATACAATAGTTGGATCATTTGATTCATAAAGATCAATTGTTTGGAAAACTTCATCTTCTGGTACACCATAATTTTTAACAAATGTTAAGAATTGAGATATGTTTTCCATCTTGGCTGTTAGTTATATATATATATCAATTGAAATTAATTTTAATACATACTTGAACAAATGGCATTTTACTTTCTTTGTATTTAACAACTTTATCACCATGTATAGCATTTGCAAGTCTTTATAGTTAATAAATGGTCTCGAACAATGTAAATACATAATACTCACTTTCCTAATACAACACCATCTTTTAAAGTTTCAATTAAATCATTTTTAGGATCAGTTTCACCTATTCTATCAAATATCCATATTCTTGCTTGATCTGCTAAATTTAAATCATATTTTGATTTTCTTAATTCTTTTAAATCTTGATCTAATGAAGATACGTCTGCTTTCTTTTGATAAGGGTCTTCTTCCATGGTGAATAACAATTAGCTTCTAGAATTCAATTTTGTTTAAATTCTGTTTTAAATTGTTTTGTACCCGGTTAAATTTGGATTTTCATGGCTATATTAATAAAATCAGCACTAGCCACAGTAATTACCTTATCCGGTAATACTATCTTACATTAGCCACATCTGTTCCCAATACGGATATCAAAGGTGTGGCTAGTGCGACTTTGTTTACTTTTCAAAATTCAAGACAAAAAGATTCACAATTAAAACAAAGAAAGAAATACTAAGGAATACTAAGAACTAAGGAGCTTAAAGGTCTTTGACAAAGGGAAAGAAGGTGTGCTGGTCTTTTGCTTCTGTTACTGTTTAACTTGCTAAGATTCAATTGGTGGCTAGATATCTCAAGTCAAAAAGATCTATAATCTATTAATCTATTGTCAATATAAGGGGACAACCCGATTCATCCATTGTTTTATAAACCTTTATGCATTCAATAAACCATAGATAAAGACAAAAATGGAATTCTTAAAATCATTATGGCCTAATTCTTCAACTAATGTCATTACAATTCCTCAACATATAGAAGGTGAATTAGAAGATGATTTAGATTTAAAAATTAAATCATTAACTTATCTTTTTAAAAGATTAAATATTGAAAATTTACCAGCTTTTATAAATGATGAAAATGGGATATATGATTTGAGAAATGATGAAGCTAATAATGAAGATACTTATTATAATACTAAATTAGATACAATTTATAATAAAATTGAATTTGAAAGAGTTTTAATTAATGATGAACATAGAATTCTGGTTGATTGGTTTAAAAATAGATTCCGTTCAATTTGTATCTTATCAAATTATCCATCAAAATCAAATTTAAATTCTTTGGGGAAACATTTTAAATTTATTGTATTAAAACCAGATTCATCAGATGAAGATTATTTAAAAATATTAATAAATTCAGATATTTATTATGAACATCCAATTGATCCAATTTTAAAAACTGATATACTATTAGAAATTCTAAAAAATCAAAAATTATTAAAACCAAGTTATAAAAAAAATTTTAATAAAAATGATCGTTCAATAATTATTTTAAAATATGTTAGAAAATTAAGTGAAATTATTCAAATTGAAAGAATTTATAAAGCTTCATTATTAACAAAATTAGAAGAATTTAAAAATTCAACTTTAGGATTAATTAAAGAAGATGATCAATATGATGATAATGAAGATCATTCAGATTTAGAACAAGGTGTTAAAGTATTCCCAAATACAATTAGATCAAATAATTCAACAACAAATTTAAGATCAAGATCAAGATCACCAATTCGTAAATCAAGAGATGATAACCAACAACAGCAATCACAACCAACTTTACATAAACCTTTATCAACATTAAAATTAAATCAACAATTACCACCACCAAATTCTTCAACAAAATTAACACCACCATCATCACCAACAAAATTAAATTCATTAAATTCTTCACAAAATTCACCAAAATTTAGATCAAGATCTTCATCACCAATTAAATCTTTAAAAAAGAAACAATCAATGACTTTATTAAAAATGGATAAATCATTAAATAATAATGATGAACAACAACAACAACAATATCAACCTACATCAACTTTATTATCAAATGAAGAAAAGTCATTAATTTATTCACAATCTGAACAAGCTGTATTGTTTAGAGTTGAAAGAGAACGTAAATTATTAAGATCAAATTGATATAAACAACATATTACTTTTATATTCAAAACACATTCATTATACATTATATATACCATATATTTAAACATTCATTTTTCCATTTTTTTTTATTATTATTATTATTATATATTTACATGATTTTATAGGTTGATTTTTTAGGTGTTGGAAATTTTAAATGCATACATATTCAAGAGAAATCCATGTAGTTTTACAATCATAATAATATCATAAATATTGAAATTAAACTATATACAAATCATTACTTATTTTCCCTATATTCTATTGAATTAAATTTTATGTCTATTTTTTGGATCAACATGTAATGGAGACCAAATACCTCTTATACTTTCATTCAAACTTGTAACTTTACCTTTAGTTCTAGTTAATTGAGCACCACTTGATTCTCTCAATAAATTTAATTTTTGTTGAATAATATCAATATTTAAATTTCTAATACAAATTGCTTTTTCACGACCATTTATATATTCACCTTTTATAACTGGATGACCAGCTTTTTCTATAATTTTAAATTCAATTTTTGGATTTGATGTGGCATAATTTTCTAATCTTCTTCTCAAAAATTCTCTTAAACCTTTTGAACTACCACCAGTTTTATCAAATTGTAAAATAATACGTTTACACTGTGGTATTGTTAGTATATATGAAATTATATTCCCCAAAAAGCACAGTTTAACATACTGGTAAGATGAATGCACCGATACCATTACGAATGATGGGTAGTTTCTTGATAGCTTTAATAGGCATGTTATCTAAATCTTCCTTTAATAACCTTTTGTACTGATAATACTAGTTTGTTTTAATTAATACTCATTAAATTTCGAGATTTTTCAACCTTTTTTTAAAAACTTGAATTTTTTTCGGTTTGTGCACACAAAATCATATTCGCGAATTTATATTCAACCCACAAAATATCAATTTAATACTTTTATTTTATTTTAATACTTATTAGATCTATTTATTTATTCTTTCAATTGGATTTATTTATTTGTTTGTTTATTATGTTCACACTGAGATCAATACCTTCACTCTCCAGAACCTTCCACACTTTCAAACCTTTTCACAAACAAAATGTAATGGAATCATTAGATGTTTTATCTGGAGTAAATCCACCATTAAATAATATTCAATCAATTTTACCTAATGGATTTATATTTTCCGAAGGTATCTCTGTACAAGACAAAAGTTGTTTATTAATTGCAAATAGAATTTTAGAATTTAAACCTGATTATAAAATAATCAATGGATTTATCGTGGAATTTACACCAAATTCATTAGGTTTCCTTAAATTAATTAATCCATTACCTGATTTATTTATTATTGGATTAGGTTCTAAAAGTAGATTATTAAGTGAAACAAATACTAGGTTTTTCAATGAATTAGGTATTAAATTAGAAATATCAGATTCAAAAGCTGGTGTTAGAAATTTTAATTTATTGGCAACTGAAAGACCAAATCAAATTGGTGGGATTTTTTTACCACCAAATGTTTAACCTTATTATTATTATTTATTTATTTAAACATATTATTTATTTATTTATTAATACTACAAATACATCAATTATATCAAATTATAGCCATTAAAATCTATATATACAAGTTTATCTTGTACGAATAATACCAGCAGCAATTAAAATTTGAACTTTTCTTGCAACTTCAGGATTTTTCATATGTTCTTGTAAAGCTTGAGGATTATCTCTTGCTTGACTTAAAATTGAATTCATAACAGGATCTTGTAAAATTGCAGCAACTTCTGGATCTTTTGAAGCTCTTTCAAATGTTTGTTCAGGAGTTTCATTTGCTGAAGAACCTTGAAATCTCTGTTGATAAGCTTTAGAATATAATTGATCAATTTCCTTAGCATTGCTACCTTTAGTAACTTCTAAATCTTTTGTTCTTGCTAAATCTAAAGTTTCAATTGCTTTAGCAAAATCTTTTAATGCAATTTCTGCACTTGCTTTACGAATATAAGCTCTAATGAAAGTTGGATCTAATTCCACGGCTTTTGAAGCATCTTTAACAGCTTCAGGGAATGACATTAATTTAGCTAAAGCAGCAGCTCTATTTGAAAAACCTCTTGCATCTTCTGGTGCACGTTTAATCATTTCACTATAAGCTTTAACAGCATTTGGCCAATCACCTTTGGTGAAATATTCTTTACCTTGTAATCTTGCTTCTTCAGCTTTTTCAGGATTAATATAAGCTTTAATTTCAGCGTCTTTAATTAATTTTTGAGTTGATCTTAATTTACTTAAGACATCAGGAGTACGATGTTCAGTTAAAGATTTTTCAAAAAAATTAATAGCTTGTTGATAATCTTGTTTTTTTAAATAAGTTGTACCTATTCTTGCAAATGATTTAGCAATAATTTTATAATCAACTCTTTGTTCTCTACCTTTTGTAATAGCTTCTTCACATGTTTTAATTGTTGATTCATAATCACCTTTTTCAAATTCAGCAGCAGCTCTATTATTTAAATAAGTAACATCTGGATTAATTTCAAAAGCTTCATTATATTTAGCAATTGCTTCATCAAATTTTCTTTGTTTATATAATTTATTACCTTCAGCTTTTGATTCATCAGCTTTTTGTTTTTGTGAAGTTGTTGAATCAGTAGCTTCTTCAATTTTAATATCACCATCTTTATCTTTCTTTGGTTCTTCTTGTTTTTGTTTTTTAGGTTCAGGAACTGAAGTTTGTTCTGATTCTTTTGATGATGATGAAGAAGATGGAGTTGGGGTTGATGCAGCATTAGCTTGAGCACCAACTGGAGAATCATCATTTAAATCAACACCTAATAATGTAGCCATTATAGTCATTAATCTTGGATCAGAAAGCATATCTTGAGCACCAGATTGAGGATTATTTTTCATTCTAATAACTTTATCAACTAAACTTGGATCTTTCATTAATTCTGAAGTTTTTGGATTTTTTTTCAAATTTTCAATTAAATTTGGATCATTAAATAATTTACCTAAGCCTAAATCTGGACCTGGACCTGCATTAGCATATGATTTTGCAGCCTGTACAGATTTTAACCCATCTTGAGCTTGTTTATTTGAAGAATCTAATTCTAAAGCTTTTTGATAAGATTTTTCAGCATCATCCAATTGATTTGAGCCATGATAAGCAGCAGCAACTCTACTATAACCTTTAGCCCAAGTTGGATTGATTTCAATTGTTTTTTGAGCATCTTGTAAAGCTTTATCAAATTGTTTTAAAGAGGCAAAAGAAGCTGAACGATTTGAATATAGGACATGATTAGTTGGAGCAATTTCAATTGCTTTTGAAAAAAATTCAATTGCCTTTTCATAATCTTTAGCGGCAAAAGCAGCGTTACCTTGAGCTTTTAATTCATCAGCAGACATTGTTGTTTGTTGTGTTTTGTTGTTGAATGATTGATGATTTGATTTAATGGTGATTTAATTTTTGATGATGAATTTCTTCACTTTAAATAAAAAAATGTATGGAGAATTCTAGAAAAAAATAAACTGATCGCGAATTTGATAATTTAATACTGGTGGAAGGTGGAATAATAAAATAATAAAATAAGAGTGATAGTATATAATATTTAACAATATAATTAATTTATCATTGGTTTCTATATATATTAATTTCATTTTATAATTATTCAACAATTATTGTATTAATTGATTAAATCATTATTATATATACTTGTTATACACACGACCAATTTAATATTAACTATAAGTTAGAATAAACGATTATTAAAGGTTTAATGGTTGAAAAAATTATTTTTATTATTTATTTTGACTATTATTTAATATAATAATAGTTTTTAAGTAATTTAAAGTGATTTTAAAATTTAATATATTTTTTATTTTTCAAATAACCACTTTAATATTTTTATTTCAATTTTAAAATTGAATATTTAAAAAATCAACAAATTTTAATTAATTATTATTTGTTAATATCCATGTTATTTCATACTAAATACAATATTATGAAATAAAATTAATATGAATAACACATAATATCAAATACAATATTTAATTAATTTAATTACTTATATAAATTACATAATCAATACCATATTAATTACATAATCAAAGCTCATCACTTTAATCTTTTTTTTTTTGATTTGTTTACTTTTCGAGTGAAAAATTCAATAAAATAAATTAACCATATTGATTTACTATATGACTCAAAGAAGAAATAATCTAAACTCATAAGACTTTTATATAATGTCATTCACAGAGGATACTCATAATTTCCAAAATTGGTTAATAAATTCAGGTGTTCAAATTTCACCAAAGATTAAAATTGAAGATCTAAGGTATCTTTCTCAAGGTCGTGGTTTAATATCATTACAAGATATTAATCAAGATGAAATATTATTTAAAATTCCAAGAAATGTTTTATTAAATATTGAAACTGGTTCATTATCTCAAATAAATAATAATAAAGAGAAACTTCTTACAAACTATGATCATTGGGAAGGTTTAATTTTAACTATATTATATGAATTAAGTTTAGGTAATGAAAGTAAATGGTTTCAATATTTTAAAATTTTACCCAACGAGTTCCATAGTTTAATGTTTTGGGAAAAAGATGAATTAGAATTATTAAAACCTTCATTAGTTCTTGATAGAATTGGTCAAGAAAAAGCCCTCGAGACTTTTAATAAATTAATTCCAAATGCCCTTGTTGACCTAGGTATAAATCATTTAAATATTTCTTTAGATTTATTCCATAAAGTTGCAAGTACAATCTTATCATATTCATTTGATGTTGAAAGACCAGATTTTAATGAAGATATGGAAGATGATGAACAAGTTCAATATGATGGTTATTTTAAATCAATGGTAACATTAGCTGATTTATTAAATGCTGATACAAATTTATCAAATGCAAATTTATTTTATGAAACTGAATTTTTAATAATGAAATCAATAAAACCAATCCCCCAGGGACAACAAATTTATAATACATATGGTGATCATCCAAATAGTGAATTATTAAGAAGATATGGTTATGTTGAATATAATGGTTCAAAATTTGATTTTGGTGAATTACCAATTTCAACTATAAAAAAAACTTTAAATTTACATTTTAATTTATCTTTTGAATTTATTGATCAAATATTAGATATTATATCACAATCTGATGTTGAAGAATTAGAAGAAGATATTGTATTAGAAAGTTATGATGTTTATTTAGATGGTGAAATTTTACCAGAATCTCAAATTTTAATTCAATCATTAATTATAATTGCACAAATTAATCAACAAGAAAATTTAACAATATATCCTCATGGAGAATTAATTAAAATCATTAATAGAATTTTGAAAAAATGTTATCAATTAATTGAATCTGGTAATATGACTTATAATGCTTTAATACTTTGGGAACAATGTATTTTAACAAGATTAAATGATTATCCATCTCATTCATTCCGTGATTTCTTAATTCCCCCACCAGCAGAACAATTAAATAAATTAAAAATGAGTGAATGTATCTTAAAATATGAAGTATTATCATTACAAAAATCTTTAAAAAGTTTTAATAATGGTTTTAAATTAATTAATGATGAAAAATTAATTAGAAATATTTTAAAAAGAAAATTACAACAAGATGAAAATAGTGATACAAAAAAAATTAAAAAACAAAAAAGATAAAATATTATGTATATAATAACTACAATAAAATTAATAGAATATAAATATATTAGTGTTCGTAAAATCATTAAATATAGAGATTTAATTAACCTCTAACGGTTGAAGGGTATTATGTTTCATGAATTGTATCTGTTTTAATTTGAATAGGTTTTCTACCCATAACTGCAAAACCTGATTCTTTAACTGTTGAATTATCATCTCTTGATTCTTGATCTATTGATTTTTTAATTCTTGTAAATAAACTATTACTATATGTTGAATTTGTATCATATCTTTGGAAATTTCCATTAATATTATTATTACTTTTTTTTTTATTAATTTTTCTTTTTGCCCATAATTTATGAACTTCTGAATCATTTTTATCTAAATTTGCTAAATATTCATCATCAATTGGACTAACTTTTGGTAAATTTTCATTTGAACTTAAATAATTTAATGATAATCCTGGTAAAGCTCGTGAATCTGTTAATTCAATTATTGAACTTTTACCTGAATTTGAATTTCTTCTTGATAATAATTTTTTTTCTTGATTTTGATTTTGATTTTCTAATCTTGGTCTTGGAAAATTTGATGTTATTATTGGACTTATTATTGGTTTTTTTTCAAATGAAAATTCTGGTTCTAAATCTTTATTATTATTATAATCATTAATTTTAAATGATGGTAAATTACCATTATATTTCTCACCATAATAATCATCATTATCATAAGAAATTAAATCATTAAATTTTTCATTCGTGGTACCACGAGTTTCATTCATAAATTCTTCATCTAATGAACTTTTCCTTGATGGATCATAATCAATCCAATTATTATTATATTTTAATTTTAATAATATAACTTTTGTTAATCTTAAAACGAAAAAAATGAAAAACCCAAGAAGAGATATAACTATAATCAATAATTGAACATCACCAATAATACCTCTCATTGGTCCTTCAACATTTAAATCTCTAATATATGGAATATTTAATCCAACTATAATTGATGAAGCTATTGAAACGAAAATACTCCAAAAATTCCGATTTTTATTGAAAAAAGGTTTTATAAATGTTAATAATAATAAATAACTTAATTCTGCAAATAATAATAAAGATATTTGAACTGTACCATTTGATTGAGCAAATCCAATAACCATTCCTTGGAATAAAATTTTAAATTTTTCAATCATAACAAAATATGAACATTCTGGTTTATACCAATGATAAAGTGAACTCCAACATGAAATAACATTAAATGATGAATATAATTTTTCTCTCTTGGTAATAAGATACATATAAGAAAACCATCCAATACCAAATAACCAAATTATGAAAAAAATAATACAAACTATTGAAGAACTAATTTCAATATTTGGAGCTTTTGTACTTAAACCCAAGATTAAAAAACTTGAAAATGCAACAAATGGTAAAGGGAAAACACAATAAAAAAGTTGTGTTATAATTCCAATTGAATTTGTTATTCTTGATTTTAAACCTGAAATTTTATAATTTTTTGTTAAAAATTGCTTTATACTTATAAAGATTTGTGTAACAATAATTAAAAATAATGTAGCTATCCAACACCATGTAATAAAACTTTTCCACATATTTGATGCAGTTAATCCATCTGGTGCACCAGTTTCAGGGAAAATACCAAATAAACCTTGCATACCTAAGGTTTTATAAACACCATTCTTTGACATTGGATTTATGAAAGCATTAGAAAAAAGATCAATTCTAATTAAACAAACCCAATTAATAAATGATGCAATAGGTTGTAAAAAACCTGGATATGCTAAATTTAAAGCTAAAGAAAATAAAACAAATTGTAAAAAATTTAAAAGCATTGTTAAATCAGGTGTTAATTCATTTAATAAAGGTTCATTACATATACTTGAAGCCATGAAAAGGAAAACATTTGTAGTTTCTTGATGAATACTATAATGGAAAATATAAAAATTTGTGAAAAATCCAAAAATGAAAATTGCCATAACACCAAAACAAATTGAATATGTTATATAAATTGGATGATAAGGTGTAGCATAAACTTGAATACATCCAATTTCTTGATCAGCACTTAATATAGTAAATTTTGTTTCATATGAACCGAAAAATCTTGGTGATGAAGTATTTGCAGCAAATAAAATTTGATATCTAATACCAGGTTTTAAAGGACAAACACTATCTCTATGGAATGATACATCTTGATCTCTTTTAATAATTATTGGTGGTGTTGAATGGGTATCTGATGGCACAACAAATGGACCAGTTGTTAATGATTGATGAGGTTGTAAAAGTGATGTTTGTGTTGAAATTTCATTAGAATTTATAGAATTTTGAGATATTGAATTATTATTATCTGATGAAGTAAGACCTAACAATTCTTCCAAAGGAATATCTTCATCTGGCCATAAATTATGATCATGATTTGTTTCATTAGAAACATTGGGTACTATAGAAACATAATCACATAATCTTTTTTTTTCAAATAAAACAACTCCATTTAAAAAACTAGAATCAATTTGAAGAGTTGTAATACTATTTGTTGTATAATTGATATCACTAATTTCCATACTTGTAACAAATTCTAACCTATATATGATATTTTCATCTCTTATCATAACCTCAGCTATAGGACTTGTTTTATCAAATAAAGGTGAACCATTTTTTTCATTACCATCAATAATTCTCCTATTAGAATCACACGTAAAAGTTCGAACATAAGCAGCCGATATTTGTGTTGATAAAAACCCCAATATCAATAGAAACCAATAGATTGATTTCATTATAGTTTGTTATTTTGATTTTTTTTCACCCAGTGTTTTGACTCAATAATTAATTTGGTTGTTTATAAAATAATCCTTCTTTTATTTTTTTGATCTATGATTTGTACCCAGCCTCCCTTTTATATATAACGAACGATTCAAAAACAAAGTTTTCTCAAGGCAAAGGAGTTGAAGGGAATTTTTTTTTCTCCCAAGACTAGAAAAAAATTAAACTTTATGTCTCAGATGATTCTAAAGATTTGAAACTAGATGATTTTTGAAAACTGATCAAGTTTATACCCAATTTTTTTTATGTAAATTTCAGATTTCATACCATTTTTTTTCTTTTTTAAGCGTGCACCATAAATCGGGCGTAATTTTTTTCCGGAAAAATAAAAAATCGTCCGCGTTAACGTAAACGAAAATCACGTAAAATGTTAAAACCACCAAAATCACGCCAAAAAAATATAACGGGAAATGAAAACTTATGAACAAATTAAGCAATAAAACCTTTTTATTCCGTTTGTTTTCTTCATTCTTTAATTCATTAAATAACTATTTTTTGAGGTTTTGACAATTTTTATCTATTGTTTTTGCTTTGGTTGACCTTCATTATCTCCCAAATATTTTAAAAAAATTGAACTTTTACCAGGTTTAGGAATTTGTGATTCTATTGATGGTGAAGTTTTAAAAGAATCATCACTTGTAGCTATAGCTAATATTGAATTACCATCTTTATAATCTGTATCTAGACATACAACTGATTGATCAAATTTAGGGTATTGTCTTAATCTTTTTTTCGATTTTTGATCCCATAAACATACATAACAATCAGAACCTGCAGTAAACATTGTTCCGAATTTTTTATGGAAACTTAATGAATTAACTGATGAAACTAAATCCACATCTGAACATGGTAATCTATGACATTTGAATGCATATTTTTCAGCTTGAATTTTAGGTGAAGGATCAAAATATTCAATTGCAACTCTACCTTCAATTGAACTTTGTGCATAACCTTTACCATTAGGCATACATTTAATTGATCTTGTTTGATATTTTAAACTAGATTCTCTAATTTGTGAAGGGGAAGTTGGATTTCTTATATCATAAATATGAACAAGTCTATTTGTCATTGCAACAACAACATTATTTTCAGTTGCATCTAAGGCAAGTACTTTTTCAGGTAATTTTGTTAAGAATGCAGTTTGTGAACCATTTGAACCATTATTTGATGAACGACAATCAAGATATTGAATTGATTTATCCCAAGAACCTGATACTAAGATACCTTTTGAATTTGGAATATAAGTTAATGCTTGGATCCCAGAGTCATGACGAGTACCTATAACATTTGTAGCTCTTCCATTTTCCAAATCAATTTCTTTAACTTCACCTTGAACATTACTTAAAAATGCTTTTTTACCAGTGAATCCATCCCATGTTACATCTGTGATGGGTATTTGTGTATCTATTTTCAATAAAGCTTCCTCTCTGGAAGAAGGACTATTTGGATCAGTGCTGTACAGATGAACCATCCCATCCCATGAACTTGCTAAGAGATGATGATAAACTGGTGAGAATTTGATGGATGATATAATATCATCTGGAGAATCTGGCAATTCAACTAGAAAAACATTGTTAGTGGAGTCGTCCTAAACAAAGTAGACCATTATCACTCACTTATACTGCTCATCTCTATTCCAATTGATTAACCGCTGTGTTTGAATGGTTTTTTTTGTTTTCAATGGCAAATTGAAAAAAAAAAGTTTATATTGTTTTTCTCCAAAAAGTAAACAAACACCGAAATAGGAAATACGAGGGAACGTTAAGTGCACGTGATAAAAGGTCGGAATTCAACCCCATCAAAATGGGTACAAATGAATTGTAAATAACGTTTAGTGTCAGATTTTAAACAGATCACAGCCGGTAAATTATATCCAGATACTCAAAAGGGGGGATTTCTTAATTTCCAATTGGGTTATTTCAAAATACTATTAGCTATAAATATCAACTACTGATCTTAGAACTCTATCGTTTATTTGATTTGGTTATCACAAGGTTTGCTTTCAACAGGGTTCAACAGGTCATCATCATCTCCTATTTATATCAAATTTTAATCAAACCAAAATAATGGATTCAGTTTCAAGTTTTTTCCAATGGGAAAATGAAGAAGGTGGTGGTTCACAAAGAAGTCATATCAAGAGTAGCTCAAGTTCTTCATTACCTTTTGATTTTAATTTCTTCAATCATAATAATCCATCGTCGGCTGATGATGATACACAGCAACAAATTCAATCTCAACAAACTGGTGGTTCATCTCAAAATGATCCTGATACATCAATATCATCACCATCAACTAAAATTAATAAGAACTCACCAATCAGTACAAAACAAAAACAACAAAATTATATGTCTCAACAATTAACTGATAAACTTATAGAAAAATTATTTTCAATTGCATTACCTCCATCAAGTGAAGTTGCTGCAGATGCTTTAGAAGGAAGAGTTCAAGCTGGTAAACTACGACCAGGACTTTCCGTTCAAACAATGAGTAGAAATTTTATTCAATTAAATTCAAGATTATCTTTCCCTTTTGAATTAATTGATAAAATAATTAAATTTTTCAATTGGGATAATCCAAAATTAACTTTAACTATTTTAGTTATTTATACTCATTTAATTTTAAAACCAATGGCAATGTTATTTGCATTACCATTTTTCCTTATAGTGATTTATATTATGGTACCAGCTTATACTTTAGTTCATCAACCTGAAAATCATTCAATCTTGGGTAAATCAAATCCTATCTTAGCTGAAGGTCCACAATTAAATGAGATTGAAATTCCAAAACCTGCACATGAAATTTCAAGAGAATTTATATTAAATTTAACAGATTTACAAAATCATATGTTATTATATGTTATTGCATGGGATTTTATAAATAATTTATTAAGTAAATTTGCTTATTTCATTGATGAATCAATTTCAAGTTTTTTTTATCTAAGTTTTTTATCAATTGGTTTAGGATTTTATTTATTTATTGATAAAATTTGGTGGTTAATACCTTTTAAATTTTTATTAATTTCATTTGGTTGGGGTTTAACTATAATTTTCCATCCTTTATATAAAGATTTTTTCTTTAATTTAATTTATTCAGAAAGAACAAGATATTATTTTTTAAATAAAACAAATAAATTTGAATCAATATTAGAGGAAAATTTTGGATTTATTGAACCTCAAGAACAAAGAGAAGTGGAAATTTTTGAAATTCAAAAATTTGATAAAGAATCAAAAGAATGGAATTTTTTTTGTTATTTAAATAATGATTTTACAAAATTATCTCAAAAAAGATTAAATTGTAAATATCATAATCATATTAATAATAATAATTATAATAATTTTGATATGATTGGTACAAATCAAATTCAAAATGTTAAACCACCAAAAGATTGGGATTTTATTAAAAATGATCAATGGAAAATTGATTTAAATCCTGAAAATTGGGTACAACAAAATTTACTAAATGATTTTGTTAAAATTGATAATGAAACTAAATGGGTTTATGATTTAGATAAAAATGATTTTAAAGGTGAATTTAGAAGAAGAAGATGGATTAGAAGTGTAACAAGATTTTCTGAAATTGAATTTAATAAACATCAAAATGAAAATGACGTGGATCAAGATCAACAACAAGCTTCACATTCTCCAACAACTTCACATTTTGAATTAGATTCTTCAAGAACTTATTCATCATGAATTCCCTTAACATATAAAATGAATAAATAATGTTTGATGATGATATCTTAATGTAGTTGTACTAACTCTTCATAAATTCATCTAAACTTAATAAATTTGATTTTTTCTTATCTTGTTCATCTTTTAATTTTTTATCTTGTAATAAATTTAATAAATTATTCTTCTTTCTCTTTTTAGCTCTATCTTTTGCAGAATTTTTCTTTTTATCTTCTTGAGATTTAGGTTCCCATTTAGCAATAAATGGTTCTTTATCTTTAATATCAATCCCTATTTCATTTGGATTTTTTTCAGGTTTTAATAATTCAAATTTTGTTTTATAATTACATAGTAGACAAGTATAAATTAAATTTCGATCTCTTGGTTTCCATTGTTTTTTCACCACCTTCTTTTCTTGTTTCTTTGACTTCTTTGTTTTAGTATATTTGATTTCCATCTTCATATTAATACCAGGTATAAATAATCCATTACAATTTTGACAAAATTTTAATTCATTATTTAATTGATTTGGTAAAATTAAATTTTTTTTTTGTAATATATTTTGGAATTTTTTATTATAAATTGAAGTTAATTCTGATACTTGAGGTGTTGAATGAATTAAATCATATGAATGTTTTATATTTTTAACATTTGTACTTTCCATAATGGTTTATAATCTTGAGTTTTTAGTCACAGGACATTATTGTTTAGCATATTTGATAGTACCTTATAACTTTAAATTTTTTTGACATATAACCGAGTTGGTGTTCGGATGTGAAGAGTATAATGTACATCGATATTGCTTTAATTTTAATGATTTTCGAAAATATTAGAGTCTAAAATCAAATTACATTGTATGAATATAGATTTATATTAAACATGATCATAAGTGATCCTTTATTTGGGAAAAATTGAGCCTTGTATGCAATTCAGAATTAATGTTTATAAAAAGACAGTATATATAAATTCATTAGCTATATTGTAATTTATTGATAATTGGTTATTTATTTAATTGTATAATTTCTTTTGAACATGCAAAATTTGGTATACAAACTCTATACACACAGAGATATATTATTCGTTTGTAGAATTGTCTACAAAGACACCTTCATCACTTTGAGCTAATTTCTCTTTATCCTGATCAAAGTGAGGTCCTGATCAAAGTACTGTGATCTAAAAATTGTATCGAAAAAATTTAATTATAATCTCGATTAATTTTCAAATTCCATCACGCTCAAGTGGTAGCTGAAGTGCTGAAATTTAGTTATTTTATAACTTATTTTTTCATGGTTCAATATGGGTTTTTAATGACCTCATTTTGATTAAGTTTCCATTTCAAGAACTTTGAGTATGATCTTGAGTTATGGTTTCTAAGCCCAAAAGTCTTATCCTAGATTCATTCTAAAAATTTATCAAAGGGTGAGGTTGGTAAATATTTTTCAACCATTTGTTCCTCACCCATTTCTAAATATAATATCCTTCAAATTTTGGATAATCTAGCATTTTTATCTTTCATGATAGAAATCATAAATATTAAATTATTACGTACCTTTAATTAAAAAGGACATTGGAAATTTTATTTTATCTTTGAATTTCATTTCATATTGTAGCTTTTTGGCTCACTTTAGATATAAAATAACCGTTGAAATTATTTATTATGCTTTGATTTTTTTGTGATGTTGCTTTGGTCAAAACTTATATGGCTTGGGTACTTGTCTAGTTGATTTTCTCAAATCTTAACAATAACAATAGCCAATGTTTGACTTTTTTTTTGAAGAAATTTTGGTTCATCTCTATGAAGACTCAAGGTCATTATTCAAAACATGAATGTTTCGAGAGATTGAATCTTTAATGACCCTCAATTGTAAGTTAAACCATTTTTTAGTTGATTTAAAATTTCTTCAATGTGGTGGTTGTGTTTCTTTAATTTGAGCTTTCTGTATGAAATGTGTTAGCAGAAAGATAATTAACTTTCAGCTTCTAAATTATAGTCTTCATGATTTGTTTGTTTGACTTTGGCATATCTGATTAATGCTTGAAGCTCATTATTGTACTTCAAGTCAAATATGGGAGATCCTAAATATATGTTAGTAGGTTAGTAGTATCAGTATAATAGGTGAGATTAAAACATAATTGAAGAAAAATGATCGTGCCGAATCATTTATCTTAATTCTATTTATTTAATCATGAAAGATGCAACATACTAGCTTGATTTTGATATTTGATTTAGTCATATCCTTCAAGTTAAAAGTAATTATCCAATGAAATCCTTTTTAAATTCCTAAAATGATTGTTAGTAGCATCAGTAGTCAATTATTGAAATCGAAACTAAAATCAAAGGGTACTGACCTCAAAATAATGTGCCGTTAAATTGTAATCAATATTTCTTTGAAATATAGCAGCACTCCATTGTATTAAAGGGTATAACATACTTTTTTCATCCTTGAATTCCAAGAAGTATTAATAATCAGTCACATCAATTGATTCTTTAAAGCTCTTAGTTGTATTTCAACAAATGTAATCAATTTTTACCACAAAATTCTTGACAAGTCATTCCTGAAGGTTGTTCAACAGCAAAAAATAAAATCAACAATGAAAAACACAATCCAGTTAAGACGGTAAAGTATAAAAGCTCAATAAACACAATAAACAAAACTATAGTTGATGAATAATTACCCCCAGACCTCCATAAAGTTTCAAAGAATATTCCTAAATAAATGTTAGTAGTATCAGTATGAAATATGAAATTGGAATTCAATATTGAAAGATATTTATCAAATCTGTGCCGAAAATTATCACAATTCTTCAAAACTTCATCCATTAGATTCAAACAAGTGAAAAAACTTACCTTTATTTTGAAATTTTAATCAACATAAACCAAAACTCCCAAAATTATTCTGTTTATTCACAACATCAGATTGGAAATGACATGTAAATGAAAAGCACAGTGACAATGACATAAAATACTAGTTTGAATGATCTATGGAAAAATAAGTTGAATCTGGATACAAAACCAATATGGAGTACTTCCGTTTGAAATGAACAATAACAACAAAACAACAAAACAATGCTTGAAACAACAAAATAAAACATAAAGCCACATAATTGAATAGATGAAACCATAACCTAAGATAACCCATAACAGTTGTAGATGCAGTGGGAATTCAAAAAGATAGAACAAAAAAAGAAGTAAACAAAAAAAAAAGGAAAATTCAAAGAAATTTATATTTTTTGTGAACTACCACAAACCCACCATGACACAAAAGTAACTTGCAACAAAAAGCTAGAATCTAGCATCTGATCTGTATGTAATTTAATTCAAAATTAAATTCAAAGATAAATTAGCACAAAAACAAATTGACACAAAGATGACTAGATCTTCATAATTTGTTTGGTTTCTTATAGATCTGATTACACGATACTACATAATCCAGTGCTACTAATTTTGAAATCAACATCAACATCAACACATCTTCTTTATTAATTACTTAAGCACCACCAAGGTTCCTAAGGTAGTTTGATATTACTATACGAGTGCTTTAACGTATAACATTGTAGTATATATAAAAAGACATAATGATTTAGCTAGTAATTAGTAAAGTCATATGTGCCCCTGACCACTTTCCCCAGATTTTTAAATCAAATTTAATATAATTAAAACAGCTTGTTTCATATGAACAAAATGAATTAAAATATTATAATCTCTAATAATTAACACGTATAACTTATTTGGTATATATCAATCAGTATGAATCTACAGCTGGTATATATACTTTTCTTAATCTAATTCGAAGAAACCATGATAAATTAATTATATGATATAAACTAAAAGTAACGTACGTCTAAAATCAGATTTTCATTTTATTTTCATTTTCATTATATAAAGTCATTAATTTCCCTTTTGATTCATTTTAATTCATTTTAATTCAGTAAATTTTGAATTCTTTTAATCCTTGGAGATCTTCTTAAATCACTAAAATCATGTAATGGAGGTAAATTTTTAATCTTATTTTTATTATCAATATTATAATCAAAGTTTTTCAATGGAATTCTTGGAGATTTTTTATTTGGAGATTCTTCGGGTGATATTAATATATTTCTTTGTTTCAATTTAGTATCATCATCATTATCATTATAAATTGTTAATTTTCTCTTTTTTTGTGGAGATGGAGTATTTAATAAATCAATAATACGGGTTTTCCTCTTTGGAGTTGATGGAGGAGTTTTAAATTGACTTGTTTTATATATTTTTTCAAAATTTTCAAAATTTTCAATAAATTCATCACAATCATTTAGGATTTGATAATCAATTATATTATTCCAACCAGATATAAAATCTTTATTAATTAATAAAATTTTACCACCACGTTGATGAATTATTGATGACATTGATTTAACTAAATTTTTAACACCATGAACTTTTAATGATGTCCCCATTATTATAAATAAATCAGGTTTTGTTTTCAAATCAGAATTTAACCCTGTTGTTATAATATCTGAAAATGGATGATTTTCTCCATATAAAACAATATTTGGTCTTAATCTTCCCTGGATCCCAGTATTTCTTTTCCCCTGTGAAATTCTTAGATTAGTTTTATGAATACATTGTGGACATTCAGGTAATTCACCCATTTGCATTTGTTGAATATATTCCATTGACCAATTTAATTTTTCAAAACATGCAGTACAAATAAGTGAATTTAAATCACCATGTAATTGAATAACATTTAATTTTTTCCAAGTTTTCAGATGAGTAGAATCATTATGTTCATTGAAATCCAAGGATAAACCTAATTGAGATTCTAAACCATCAATATTTTGTGTATAACATCTAATTAATTTTTTTTGATTATTTATTTTTTCAATAAATTTATGAGTTTTAGTTGGCTTAGCTTTTTGAGTCTCTAAATATAAATTTGACATGAATTTTGCAAAATCTGTTATTGTATTTATTGAATTAAATAATGAAATATCAAATAAATCTTTACCTTTTATTGAACTTGAACTATTGGGTATCAAATTATATAACCCATTTATTGATCTAAAATCTGGTATACCTGCATTACAAGAAATTCCAGCACCTGTTAGCATTATAATTTTTTTACAATTTATAATCTGGGTATAAATATCATCTAAATTATCATGATGTAGATTTAAAATCTTTGTTGATGATTCATTATTCCTTATTGATGTCATTTTGTGTATATATCTTTATATCTTAATTAACCGTACCAAATACCAAACGCTGAACTTGAAGAACTTTAATACTATCTATAATCTTTAACCTCTATAACCACTTTCCACTAAAATATTAACCAAGTTCCAAACGTCCAATGGTGAAATACTTTATATATTCCTTCAATCAATTATACTGATCGCGTTTTTTTTGTTTACTTTTAAAAAATCGTCATGGAAACCAAATTTTATATAGATAATTACATTTCCTAAAAGGGAAAGTCTATATGAAAAAAAAAAATTATATACATAAATTGAACGCGTTTATATACTTGTAATTTAAAGAGAAAGGTACAATAACCTAAAAGGTACATTGGGTACATTACATAAGGTGATCAGGATTCAATTTCATTTCATAATTTAATAAATTCATTAATATTTTTTTTTATAAATAATGTACATAGAAATCTAAACCATTTAAAGTGTTTGAAGTAAATAATTATGATCAATTAAACCATTTATGTTTAAATGATCTTTCTTCAAGTTCAATTTAGCTATCGCTAAATTAAACTAACCTCCCTGACTATTAACAGCCAATTCCATAATCAATCTAGTAGCCAAATGTAAAAAAGGATAAGCACTAAAACTACTAATTTCATCATCATTTTTCAAACCTTTATCAACACCACTAATTCCAACATCATCACTATTAAATTCCCAACCATCAAATTTAAAATCAACCAAATAATTATTTGGTTCTAATTGAAATAATTGAATAATCATCTTCATCATATCAGGAATTTTCCTTGTTGTTGGATTTGTATTCTCGGTATTTGGTGAATATTTCCAACGAACTTTTATTGTCCATAATTCATCTTCATTTGGTTTTGTCCATTCTGCTCCTAAATTTTTCAAAGCTCTATAAATTTCTCCCATAACATCAAGAGGATAAGATCTTGATCTAATACCAAAATGCCATCTTGTTTTAGATTTTTTGGTACTTATTGGATTTATTTTGGTAATAGAATTTGAATTACCATATTGAGCCATATTTGCACGATGTAATTGAGGTAATGATGAAGGTAATATAGCAATTGTATTATGTAAACCTTTAGCACCTGAATGATTTGAAGATAATGGTTGTTGATATGTAATTTCTTCTTTATCTTTATGTTGTTGATGTTCTTGGTGTTCTTTATGTTGATGTTGATGATGTTGATGTTGTTGATCTAAATGATCATAAGATGGAGGAGGTGAAGAGCTTAAAAAAGTATCTAATTGATCAGCATCATTCGGTTTTTTTTTCAAATCATCAATAATCATTTTATTTTCTTTAATTAACATATAACCATCCATAATTTCATTTTGTAAATTTTTATTTAAAGTTTCTAAAATTTCATTTTTATCATAACCCATTGTCTTGACTAATATATTAATTAAATTTTCATCAATTTTTTTAGAATCATTAAGGGATTTAGGGACATCATTTGGTAATAAATAATCAGAAATTTCTGTAGTGAACCATTCATCTTGCATAATTTCATGAATTGTAATTCTATTTAATGGATTAACAACAAGCATCTTAGTTAATATGTTTTTAGCACCTTCACTTAGGTAATTTGGTAATGTATAAACACCATTACTAATTTTTTTAAATAGAGCCGGGATAAATTCATCATCAAATGGTAAACGACCACAAAGCATAACATAAAGGATAACACCACATGACCAAACATCAACTTCAGGACCAGCATATAATTTCCCACTAATAACTTCTGGAGCAGCATAATTTGGTGAACCACAACTTGTTTTAAGGAAATTACCATCACTCATAAAATTTGATAAACCAAAATCAGCAATTTTAACATTTAGAGAATCATCTAATAATAAATTTTCAGGTTTTAAATCTCTATGAACAATTTTATGACGATGACAATATTCTACAGCACTTATAATTTGTTGGAAAAATCTTCTAGCTTCTAATTCTTTCATTTTACCCTTTTGAACAATATAATCAAATAATTCTTTACCAGCATATTCAATAACCATAATAATTTCATCTTGAGATTTTATAACATCATATAATTTTATAATATGAGGATGTCTTAATAATCTTAGGTAAGAGATTTCTCTTTCAATTCTACCTTGCATATCAGATTTTGCTAAAGTCTTTCTATTGATTATCTTTAGGGCAACTTTTTGACCTGTTGTTAAGTGATATGCTAATTTAACTTTACCAAATGAACCTTCACCAAGAGTTCTAATGATTTGATATTTCCCAATTTTGCCTCCTGAGGCATGGGATTCAGATTGTTCCTTATCGGACATGGTTATGATATGATATTAATACTATGGCAATGATAACAATGATAATATAATGATGATATCAATCAGTTCTTTGTTTTGTTGATGTTGTTTATCGTTTGTTATTTTTTGATTTTATGGAGTTGAATTTTGATGTCAGTTGTCAAATTGGCCATGAACCACTCATTTCGTGAGCTTTGAGTAAGTGATTAGGTAATCATCATATTAATAGTATTAATTTACCCGGATTTTTCATATCTTGTTTATTCAATTTGTTCAAACTCAATGTTTTAATTCATTCTTGTTATTTTAATTTAATATCGTTATTATTATATCGTCCAATCCTAGAAAGTATTTGGTATAGAAGCAATTGTGAAAGTATTTCGTTAACTTTTATGGCATTCAATTGTTAACTTTAGTTATGATGATTAGAACGTATATCTAATCATCTATAATTAATAAGTTATTAACTGTTTGATACAGTGTAATATTTCTTGTTTATGGATTGAAAAAGTTCATTTCAGAATCATTAACAACTGTTCAATATACATATTTTAAAAGACATTATATATATTATAGTTTAATAGTTCAATTACTACTTTCTACAATGAATAAAATTTATAAATAATGAATAATTGTATGAATTGGAATGGTATAATGATGTTATCATATAACAATAGTTCCAATAACAACTATTTAATTTGTATATCAATTTTATAAAGTATATATTATACATTAGACAATTAAACGTCATCAATGTAATTATAGACCAGTAAAATTATTATAATATAATGTTGAAATGAACCAACTGGTTACCAAAAAAATTTCATAACTCCAATAAAAAATTCCAGCGTATAATATTCAATATATTTCCAGATGTTGTGATATCCAAGAGTACTTTGATACTAATTGAACAGTACATTTAATTTTGGATTATGTACTTATTATTTGAAATGATAATGATTTGATCTGATATTTGTGTAATTCAATTTAACAAAACACAGCGGTTAATTTCAATTAACCTATTAACTTAACCCTTATATATAGCTACAAATAACTACAATGAATAGATTTAAAATAGAAACAATTATTTTATTGGATATATAGTGTTTTAAACCATCAATAACAATTGTAATAATCAATAAATTGTATATATAAATCAGACTAGTATTAAATCTAAACTAGTCATGGATCTTATATATACAAGTTGTAGTAAATTATTTCATCCATTGGGATTATAATATCCATCAAACACAATAATATTGTAATTAAAAGTTTTTGAATATGCTTTGGTAATACAAATAATGATATTTGGCATTAATATTGAACTGATATTGGAAGAAGTAAAAGTAAAAAGTAGAAATTAAATTATTCAAAATTGCTTATAAATATTCTGATTATGTAATTGATTATGTAATTAAAATTATTATATTCAACTCCGACCATTTCAATCACATGATCATACTTTTTTACCCTCGTAGTTCATTTCTTTGATTTTTGTTTACTCAACAAAAAAAATCAAAACAAACACGCTTTAAAAAAAATATCATAAAGTAAACAATTGTACCAACAATTAAATCAGTATCTATATCAACTAGTTTCACATTGGATTATTAATCACAATGGATGAGGCAAGATACTATGAACCGGGTATGATATAATATTATAAGTACTTTACTAAAGATTTTGTTCACTAACATTACCACAGATTTCGATCCAAATAGTTTAAAAGTTGCAGATTTAAGAAGAATTTTACATTTTAATAATATTGAATTCCCAAATTCTTTTAAGAAAAAAGATCTTGTTAATAAATGGAATGAAGAAATTAAACCAATAGCTTCAAATAAATTGAAATTATTAACTTCTGTTGTTGCTAATGACGATGGTATTGAATTTGTTGATAATAATAAAAACCAATCAACAAAAACAAAAACAAAAACAACAAAATTAAAATCAAAATCTTCCAAAACTGAAATTAGTGATGATGCTGATGATGAAGATAGTGATGTTAAAGAAGTTATTAGAAAATCTCCAAGAAAAACAAGTAAATCATCAAAATTACAAGAATTTGAAGAAAATGAACAAACAACATCACCAAGAAAATCATCAAAATCATCAAAGGCAACAAAAGTTACAACAACTGATTTAGGTAATATCCCTTCACTAAAAATCTCACCACCAAGACAAAGAACAAGATCTCCAAGAAGAAAATTGAATTCTGATAATGATGATAATTCTGATGTGGAAGAAATTAAAGAATTACCAAGAACAAGATCTCCAAGAAGAAAAATTAATAAATCTAATTCTGAAGAACCTCAACAAATTGATGAATTTAAACCAAGAACAAGATCTCCAAGAAGAAAAATTAATGAAACTTCAAGAGAAAGATCTCCTTCTAAATCTAAAAAGAAAGCTAAAACTCCAGAACCAAAACCAGAACCAGAACCTGAATTAAAAGAAACTTCAGAAGAAGAAGATGATGATGATGATGAAATTGAACAAGTTACAAAATTAGAATTTGAAAATCAAGCTAAAGAAGTTAAATCTTCTCCTTTTAAATTTGGTTCTAAAACTTCTTTTTCAAATGATAATATTTTCCAATCTTCACAAAATTCTTCACCAAATAATCAACCAAAAAAATTAATTCCAAGAAAAAGATCATCTGAAACTACGTCAACTTCAACAAAATCTCCAATTAAACAATCAAATACTAAAATACCAAGAAAAACTGCATTTTCTCCAGATCCTTTACCAAATAAATCAAATAAAGTCGATTCAATTAAATCTCCAGCTAAAAAATCTTTAGAAATTTCAAAATTTGAAAGTTCTCCACCTTCAAATTTTATTAAAAATGAATTATCTGGTGATAACTTATTTGAATTTGATCATCAAAATGAAGAAAATGAAGAAAAATTTAATTTTGATAATGTTACTGAACAACAAGAACAATCACAACCACAACAACAACAACAAGTTGAAATCCCATCATCAATTAATAAACCTTCAATTATTGAAAATGATCAATTTGAAACTCCAAATGATGGTAATGCAAGTAGATTTACAAATTTTAGTTCAAATAATTCAACTCCATCAAAATCAATAGGTAAAAAGAGAAATTCAATTTTACCAGATTTTTCAAAATTTAAAGTTAGTAAAGAATTTGCTAAAAATTTAGGTATTACAATTCAAGGTGAACCTGAAGATCAAGAAGAAAATGAATCAAAAGATGAATCAAAAGATGAATCAAAAGATCAAGATGATGAATTGATTAATGAAGATGAAGATGAAGAAGAATCAAATGAATCAAAACAAGATGATGAAGATCAAGATCAAGATCAAAGTATAAATGATGATTCTGTTTTACGTCATTTACAAGAAGAAATTGACACTGCAAATCAAGATGTTCAAAATGAAGCAAATAATGCTATAAAACAAATTGATGAAATTTTCAATGAAGATCCAAAAAATGAAGAAAAATTAAATCAATCAACAACAACAACAAAACCATCATCATCAACACCATTATTATCAATTAATTTTACATCAATTTTAAATTTTTTCAAACAAGTTTCAATTTTCCTTTTTTTTACAATTTTAATTATTTCATCACTTTGGTATCGTGAACAAAGAATTTTAATTGGTTATTGTGGTTTAGAAATTAATGATAAAACTTTCCCAAATACTGATAATGAAATTTTAATTAAAATTGATGAATTTTTAGATCAAAATTTAAAACCAACATGTTTGGAAGCACCAGAAAATTCAATTGCTTTACCATATTTACAAATTAAATGTAAACCTGATTATATTGTTTATCAACCATGGTATAAAATTCATGGTTTATTACCATTTAGTGATTATTGTATTAAAGATACCAAAAAGGAATTAATTATTAAAGAAGTTGTTTCTAAAAGTTTAGAATTATTAAGAATTAAAAATGCAAATGTTCAATGTGGTGATTGTACTAATGATGAAATTGTTGGTATTACAAATGATGAATTATATGAATTTTTCTTTAATTCAAAATCAAATTCAATAACTGATGAAGAATTTAATGAATTATGGGTTAATGTTTTAAAAGATTTACAAAATGAACCTGAAATAACGGTAAGGCATGTTTTATTAAAATTTTTCGATAAGAACAAAATTTACTAACATTTATTAATTATAGTTACGATATACCGACATTGTTGACTCAAATTCAACCCAAGATAACTTATCCACCAATGAAGTTGAAGATGAGACGGACGATATTCAACAAACAACCGAAAGATCAATTATTTTTAGATCAAATTCCAAATTAAAATTAAGTATTAAATGTAAATTTCAAAAAGAGATTTATGATAATTTTGAAAAAAATAAAAAAATTTTAATTAGTTTTTTAACAATTTCAATTTTAATATTAATTGGATATAACAAAATTAAATCAATTCAAAAAAGAAATTTAAAAATTAAAGAAATTTCTGATATAATTTTAATTAAATTACAAAAACAATCTAAAAATTCTCAATTAGATTCAACTGGATTAACTAAAAGATTTTTAAGTAATATTCAATTAAGAGATGAATTATTAATTAATTATCATAACAAGGAAAAATTTAAAATTTGGGAATTAATTTTAAATAATTTAGAAAAAAATTCAAATATTAGAATTTTAACAAAAGAAATTCATGGTGAAATTGTTAAAGTTTTAGAATGGATTGGTGATTAAAACTTTCTACAAGGACATGAAACAAGAACAAATCAAGAAACAATTTTTTAAAGATACACTAATTGATGTTGTACTATATTACTAACTTTTTTTTATACAAATTTTTTACATAACTATTTTTACTTTTTAAATATATATAATTTTAATATTAATGTTTTATTCTTTGATGTATATGATTATAAGATGTATTAAAGCTAGCTGCTGATTTAATTTCACTTGATAAACTGATATCGCAGCTGCTGATCTATATATACTCTATTTGAAGATGGTGCTAATTATGAAGATCAATTAACGTCAATATAATAATAGAATTACTGGTTAAATACTATCAACTACGTCAGACGTTATTAAAGTATAATATTTATAAATATCATATATCATAAATTTTATTAATTTCCTAGGTAATGATTAAAAAAAGGTTTCAATTTCATAAATTAGACCAGCATGATATGAAATTGTACCATATGGTAATATAATCTAATAAGAAACTTCTTTACCATTTTCATCAAAAAATTTACCATTTGATTCTTTTGATAAAGTAGTAATTGTTTTCAATAATCTTTTAGCACTTTCTTCAGGTGTTAAACTTTCATAATCTTTCATTAATTCTAATACTTCAGGTTTATTTTCTTTAAAATATTGAAATGCATTTATATTCATATCAGTTGAAACAACACCTGGATGTAAAGCAACCACAGTGAAACCTTCAGATTCTAATTCAAAACTGAATTCCTTAATAGCATAATTTAAAGCAGCTTTTGATTGACCATAAGCAGATGTACTAAATGGAACAAAATCATTAATTGAACCTGCTAAACTTGAAATGAAAGCAATATGTTTAGTTTGAGATTTTTGTAAATATTTGTAAAGAGCTTTAACCAAAAGAATTGGACCAACAGCATTAACATTAAAATGATTAACAAGTCTTTCCTTTGGAGTTTCTAATAAAGGTTGGAAAGATTGTGCAATACCAGCATTTGAAATTAAGACATCAATACCATTTGCAGCAATGTTTTTCAATTGATCATCTAATTGTTCAAATGAATGCTCATCAGCAACATCAAGCTTAACAATATGAACCTTAGGATTTGATTTAGCTAATTCTTGTAAATCAGTGGCTGAAGCAGGATCACGAGCTGTTGCAATAACAGTATTTGAAGAAATTGATGATAATTGTTTGGCGAAATCATAACCAATACCACGATTGGCACCTGAGATGAAGTAGACTTTTCCGGACATTATATCGATTTATATATTATATTTGATTGATTGTTTGATAGTGAGCTCTAACCATGAAACTAAAACAATCAAAGTGAACAAAATGAACCATTTATATACATTTTGATCTCAATGTGATTAGATTTCTAAGCATATAATTGTGCTTACCAATATTGCTTACCAATTGTCCTGGATATTTCGGTTTTAATGGAGATGTCAAAGACAAATTCGGACATAGTTTATAAGCAAAACACTTTGATGTTAATATTATATATTAGATTTACAATATACAATCGATTTGTAATGATTTCAAATGTGAATATAATCAAGGGTTTGATAATCAGAAAAACCATTGGTGGTGGTATAATTATGGTATATTGAATTACCAGTGACGTTTAATTCATACCAATCTAAACACTTTCATGATCTGAATTGAAGACATTTCTAGTGACACGATCAGTACCTGAGGTATAGCGAGCTTTGATTTTTGTCTCTCTGTCTTGCTTCAATTGCTTGGAAAGTAGTTCGCTCTGCTTGTCTCTCTGTTTGTGGAAGATCGAACGTTTGATTGAATAAAATGACGGATGACAGATTAATAGGGCCATTGTAACAACTAACATTGGGATACCATCAAACACAAGTGTAAAAATAACATGAAAAAATATATATCCAAAACCTTCAGCATATTCAACTAATCTGAATAAATTTCTAATCATAAACATTATTGAAACAACGTACATTGTGTAAAAATAACCTCTCCAATAACGATTTGTATCAGGATAATTCTCAATCTTTTCATAATTCATTCTTTTGTGAACAATAATGGTTGTAGTGAAAAATGAAATAAACAATAAAATCTGGATAACAAAACTAATAATAACCATGATTCTACCAGTTTGTAAATTAACAACAAATTGAATAACAATCCCGGCAATTTGTAAACCCAAAGAAACAAAATCCCCAATAACAAATATTACTGAAAAAGCTTTAATAGGATTGAGATCTTGAGTACCATAAGCTTTTAAAACTTTATTCATTGACATATAAAAAGTAGCTGCTAAAAATAATGGCGCAATAATAATGCAAACAGATTGAATTGTACCATTTGATATCTGTATATAACCAACAATTTCTAAGATCAAACCAATGATAAACCATAGGAAATACCATGATTTCCTCCAGACAAAAATGATACCATGACATAAAATTCCAATGACAAAAATAATAGCTATTGCTTTTGCTCCTGCTGGGTTCCCTGAGAATTGTGTCTCTTCGAAATTTGCTTTTGCCATATTGCACTATAATGATCTGTAATTTGAGACCTTGAGATTCAACAGATTATTCAACAGTCCAAAGGGAATTCACCATTTTAAATACTTTGATACTGAATATACTCTTGTGATAAATATAGAAACCACGTCCATCTCATTCATGGCTTAATTGATAATTCAATCTTCAATGTTTTCAATTATATGTATTGCATTTTCTCAACGGAACAACTTTTGTATAGTAATTTCGGAACAGAACAAGATTTTTCCACGGAACACGAACAAAATGATTTTTTTGCCCATTATTCCATTCCTTTCACTAACTCTTCAACAGTATTAATGTTCACCAGAGAAACAGATACGGTTAATAACATATGACTATTGAGGGTAGTAAAATGTGCTATTTTTAATGGCTACTCGACCTTGGTACTACGCTTAACTCGCATAAAATTTCAAAGAAGACATGGTGTATTGTAGAAACATCTATATGAGAAAGTCATAGAATGACTCATTATTCAAGTTATCTGATCGGAAAAAGCTATCAACATCTGACATGTTCACACTGAGGATTTGCTCCATCAAAGCCTGGTGTTGATCGGATTCCTTGTTCATCAACTCTTCAAATTGTTTTACTTGGTGCCTGAAATTTTGTATCTCGTTAATCAAGTCAAAATTTGTATCTGAATCTTTAACTCTTTGACTTTTGATCAATTCAAATATATCGACACATGGCAAAATCATGGAATTTAACATTGAATTAACCATCTCCCAATGATCATAATCACCGTTCTTGATACTATAAGAATATATGATGGAAGAATATTTTAAGATGAATTCTAACAACTTGTTTGCAAAATTGGCATCATATGGGTTTTTAATATAAGAATATATCAAATAGCATGCTGAACTCATTGTAAATTTGACATATGATAATTTATAGCTTTCACTCAACGTACCAAAAGCAAAAAATATCTCGAATATTTTCAAATCATTATTCAATACCCTATTTTGATAAACATTATCCAATGCATCTAATGTATTTCTCAGCAGGAAATTAAGTGTCAAATAATAGAATAAATGTAAATGTAAAGCCTTCATGTGCAGTTTTTGTCTTTCACTTTCATTAATCTTATAATCGTCCAAAAGTTCGATCGAACTTCCAGGCCGAAACTGTGGAATTATAGCCAGTTGAAGCTTTTCTAGCTCTGCTAATATTTCCAAAACATAAGGTTTGGAATATTCATAATCACCTGTATTGAAAACTTTCAAATACATTTTGGAAACAATTTTGGAAATCTCAATTTCATAATACGAAAGGTAATTTGTTAAGGTTTCATAATTGAAAATGTTTGAGTCAAATTTGACCATGACATTGTGGATTTTTGAGGGTAAAAATGTTGAAACTTGTGAATGAACAATTCTAATATCTCTACCATCTGCTAAATAATTCCACTTATCCATCACAAATAATTTCCAAAACACTTTACGTCTCTCATTAGAGTCTGCTTCTGTATGTCCAACATAATATTCCATGGAATGTAAACCATCTTTTTTAGCAAAATCTAAAGCACATTTTAAAATTGTACTGGGGAAAGAAGCAATATAAGGGGATTCTAAATATTCCATGAGTTGAACTAGACCTTTTAATGAATTGTAACCTCCTTCAAATGAAAACATTAGTCTTTGAAACAATCGAATACCAAACTTTATTAACCTGGATACCTTAATTTTGGGTAAAGTATCTTTAGGATTATTAATGTGTTGTTTCTTGAATTTTAAAAGTAAGCAAATTAATGGAAAATATTCAAGATCAATTAGTTCAATGTCACTAGATAATCTCTCAACGATCTGCAAGAGCTTTTCCTTTGTGGTAAAATGACGAATGGCTAGTTCATTATCATTCATACTGATAACTATCTGTTTAATTGCATTAAAATCCAATTCTGTATGAATAATTTGGAACCATTCGTTAGATGATAATGTTTCACTCCATAAAGCAACATCATTTCCCATAACCTTATTTGCAGCTAGAGCTGAATTATTGAAAATTTGGATAAACTTGTCTTGGTAAAATTTGTCTTTTATATCGTATTCTTTTTCAAAATTTTGAAGTCTAGATAAGATCCAATTTCTTCCACCAATACTAAATATTGAAATGGTATTATGTAGTCCAAAAATTGGATCTACAACTCTTTCACCATTCATAAATTCCCAAAACTTCCCCTTACGACATTGTGAATGATATTTAGTCTCCCTCGAGTATTTGATCACTTCTTCTTCAGGCGTATTTGGTTTTGCTCTATGACCTAAAATATTATTTAGTGAATCAATCTGTTTAGAGATTGTTTCAAACGATTCTGGTTGACGTTCCGATTCCTCATAGTTTGTTAGCTTCTGAGCCAATTCCAAAGCTTTCTTTTTCAATGCTCTAGCTTTTGAAAAGTCTATATTGGATCCTGGTGGTTTATTATTTGCTTTGGTGGTGTAGTAACACTCCACATTATAATTGATGCAACTGATACATGGATTTTCACCATTACACTTGATCTTTTTTTTCCGACAAGTTTGACAAGCATTATTCACCCTCTTCACCTTTGTACTCTTTCCAGTGGATGATGAAACACCATTCTTTTTATGTGGTGGCATGTCAATTCAATACAGAGGTTTGTTCAATCGAGTGTTTTACTACATCTATTTTCATCAGGAAATTATAAAGCTGAAAAAATGTATACGCGAAAGCTACAAAATCAAAACTATATACTGGAATAACAACTTTTGATAAGCCCTTTTCATAATAAGGAATTGTAAAATGAACCATTGTTCAAACCAACTGATTGTAAAAATCCATCAACGTCTGTTAAATCCATGTTCAATATTTGATCCAGGGCGAACAGATGATCTTGACGCTTCTCATTAGCGATCATCTCATCAAACTTCATCAATCTGACTTTAAAGCTTTCAATCTCTTTTACTAGATTTTCACTTTTATTTGAATTTTGATCACCTGCAGCAACTTGGTTTCTTTCAATCATCTCATATATATCAACACAAGGTGAAACTAAAGTATTAAACATGGCATTCGTCATTTCCCAGTGATCATAATCTTCCACCTTGATACTTTGGGAGTATAAAATTGATGAATATTTGAGTATATATTTCAATGCCTTATTTGAGTATTGAACATCGAAAGGATTCTTAATGTATAAATAAACCAAATCACATGCTGATGCTAGTGTAAATTTGACATATGATAGCTTATAGTTGACATTGAAAGAGCCAAATTCGAAAAAAACATCAAGAATTTTCAAATCATAATCCAGAACGGTACTTTCATGTACATGGTCCAATGAGTCTAAACTATTTCTCAGTAAGAAGTTTATTGAAAGGTAATAGAAAAGGTGGAAATGCAAAGCTTTTAAATGTATTCTCTGTACCTCAGATTCGGGAATTTGATCCCCTGTGATTTGAATTGGATTTCCAGGTTTGACTTGTGGAATCATAGAAATTTGAATCTTTTGTAACTCTGCTAAAGTTTCGAGAACTAAAGTTTTGGAATATTCAAGTTCTCCCGTACTGAACAAATTTTGATACATTTTAGATACTATTTTTGAAACTTCAATTTCGAAAAATGAAATATAACTAATCAAAGAATTATAGTCCCAATTCCCTTGATCAAAATGAATCATGACATCATGGATTTTAGATGGAAGAAATGTTGATACTTCAGTATGTGGTATTCTCAAATCCTTACCATCTGCCAAATAATTCCATTTATCCATCACAAATAGCTTCCAAAACACTTGTCTTCTTTCGTCAGATTCTTCCTCTTTGTTCCCCACGTAATATTCCATGATGTGTAACCCATTATTCTTCCCAATATCTATAGCACATGTTAAAAGACCAGTTGGGAAAGTAGAAATGTAAGGAGATTCCAAAGATTCCATAAACTGGACTAAACCTTTCAAAGATTCGAAATTCCCATGAAATGAAAACATTAATCTTTGGAAAAGACGAACACCGAATTTAATTAAAGTTGATGATTTAATTTTCAGTTTCACATCTTGGTTTTTATGGAGTTGAACATTTTGTTTATTGACTCTAATTAAGAGACATATGAGAGGAAAATACGCACAATCTATAAGCTCAATATCACTTGATAGTTTCTCTAGTATTTCTAGCAAGCCCCTTTTCGTTGAAAAATGACGACTTTTCAGTTCATCCTCATAAATCCCCTCAATAATGAGCTTTACTGCTTTAAAGTCCAATTCTGTGTGTATAATTTGGAACCACTCATTTGACGACAGCGATTCACTCCATAACTTCAAGTCCGCACTCAAAACTCTTATTGCTGACCTGTAAGACTTTGAGAAAAACTCCGAGGATTTTTTTGATAAAATTGGTTCTTCAATTTTAAATTGCTTCTCAAGAGTTGCCAATCTTGAAGACATCCAAGCTCTTCCAGCGATGCTAAATATTGATATTGTATTATGGAGTCCAAATATTGGATCCACAACATGTCTACCTCTCATAAATTCCCAAAATCTTGCCTTCCTACATTGTGTGTAGTAGCTTGCCTCTCTTGAGCAGAGTTCGACTTCATTTCCGGATTCTTTTGATGTGGATTCATGATCTAAAGTATTGCTCAATGAATCGATTTGTTTGGATATCGTTTCAAATGACTCAAGCTGATGATCTGATATTTCATAGTTTTCTAAGTTTTGGGCTAAAATCATGGCTTTCTTTTTCAAAGACGTCACCTTTGTCTTTTCATCATCAGTATCCGATGGTTTATTATCTGCTTTTATAGAATATTGACATTCTACATTATAGTTGACGCAATTCATACATGGATTCTCTCCATTACATTTGATCTTTTTCCTCCGACATACTTGACAAGCACTGCTAACACGCTTTATTTTTTTCTTCCTTTGTCCATCACCAAGTGACTTCCCAACTCTTTTCTGTGGGTTCATGACAAATACAATTGGTGTATTGTCTCTTGATTGTGTGGTTGATGTGGTTTTATAGCTGCAGTATTGTTTTTTCTACGATCTGATAATATATTAAAGCAAAATGCGCGATCACAGTAATAATTTTAAACAATACTGAATAATATCTTTATCTCCAATCTAGAGTATTATAGTTATGATTATTCATATATTCATAGTCGTCCTGCATGATTTCAATTGCTAAAACTCAACGCTAATAGAACTTTTTGTGAGGAATTCATTAATATATTACTAGTTGTTGAAGAATAATCGAATTAGTGCATAATTTACCTCCATTCGAACCCTCAAGGTAGAACTTATTATACACAAATTTCATACAGATATTAGAATTCTTTAAATAAGATATCCTTCATTTGTATCACTACAAGAAGTAACAAACTAGATATAATGTCTAGTTATATCAAAGAGCTGGGTAATTTTGTACGTCCAATCGAATCACTTTTTGGTTCGATTTGCGATAGTACATAATCTTCTATGGAAAAACTTACGTCGATAGAAGATGGAAGTCTTCAAAGTAGATGAAATTATGAAATTATTTATCATATATTATATTCAACTTCTTAGGGACGTTTCAATAATTTCAAAAAATCTGTTATGATATTTCGTTTATATAAATTGATACTTTGATCTAAAATGAAACTTCATTACCATTATCATCAAAAAATTTACCATTTGATTCTTTTGATAAATTATTAACATTTTTCAATAATCTTTTAGCACTTTCTTCAGGAGTTAAACTTTCAAAATCTTTAAAAGCTTCTAATATTTCTGAATTCTTTTCAACAAAATAAGAAAAAACAGTTTTACTCACATCAGTTGAAACAGTACCTGGATGTAAAGCAACAACAGTATAACCTTCAGATCCCAATTCAAAGCTAAATTCTTTAACAGCATAATTCAAGGCAGCTTTTGATTGACCATAAGCAGATGTACTGAATGGGAAATAATTACTAATAGAACCAGCTAAACTTGAAACAAAAGCAATTTGCTTAGTTTGAGATTTTTCCAAATATTTATAAAGAGCTTTAACTAAGAGAATTGGACCAACAGAATTGACATTAAAGTTATTGATGAATGATTCTTTTGAAGTTTCTAATAAAGGTTTAAAAGCATCTAAAATACCAGCATTTGAAATTAAGACATCAATACCATTTGTAGCAATGTTTTTTAATTGATCATCTAATTGTTCAAATGATTTTTCATCAGCAACATCAAGCTTAACAACTTGAACATTAGAATTTGATTTGGATAATTGTTGTAAGTCAGAAGCTGAAGCAGGATCACGAGCTGTTGCAGAGATTGATGATAATTGTTTGGTTAATTCATAACCAATACCACGATTGGCACCTGAGATGAAGTAGACTTTTCCGGACATTGCTTATAATAATTATATAGTAAAATTGTTTGATTGAATATAGTGAAATTTAACCATGAAACAAAGAGTATTAAATTGAACAAACTGAATGATTTATATACACTTTTTGAATGAAATAATTTATAAGAGTATTCCAAAGCAATTGTAATCAATATACAAACTTTGAAGTATATTATAAACTAAATGTCTCATGTATATACAGTCCGTTTAAATCCGGAGACATTGATTTATAAGCACCAGTACAATTGATTACAATTGATTACAATATTTGATTATAAATATTATATATATTATACTTAAAAATTGAACAATAGAAATCATTATTGTTATTATCATTAAGTAATCATCATAGTGTATATTCTCAAGACTCCTTAATCAGCTGATGTTGTATAAATATGTCGATACAATCATATATACGATTACATAATCAATTAATGGTACAACAATTATTAAGAGATATCATTTACGTCAAAGAAATCACAATAACCAAGAAACCAGCATATGGATAAACTCTGTGAATTGAAGGAGTGTATGCGCAATCATATATTGTATAAGATGAATGTATTGGTCATTAAATGCCTATCTATAAACGTCGACGTTCATCATAGTATGTTAAGTCATTCCGCGTTATCGGTTATATTTTGATATAATTAACTTATTAATTCATGCAAAATTTAATAGGATCTAAGTTATATATTGCTCGTATGGAATCAATTCATTCATATGAGCATGACACTTCTATGTCATATAATCCTGAGTTGAATGGGTGACTTAACTTGCGGGAATTATTGGACAAATTTGCATGATAGAACTCAAATATTCTTCTCAATTTTAGTATATTCTCATAATTTTGGCCAGCAGCTAATTATACATAAAACTGTTGATGATTCTGTTTGAAAATTTTTAAAAGTACATATGGTACTTGAATCACAACTAAATATATTTAAATGGTTTCAATGTTTAAAAGCCTGCTTTTTGGAAATATAAATTCATCTAAGTTGAATGATACATATTCAATAGCACAGACAATGGGATATAGAGCAATTTTAAAGTTAACAGATGAAGAGCTTTTTGGAACGTTATGCTTGGAGCCATTAGCAAATGATGATAAACATGCAAAGATGTATCAAAGTTGTCAATCTGACCGGTTTATCGCTGCTCTATGTGACCCAAGAACGTCTTTTGAATACAAATCAAATGAAGTTTTTCAAATTGTTAAACCTCAAAATGTTGAATATGAGAAAATTTCTGTTAAATTAAAAGTTAAAAGTCATCCTACCAACTCATTGAGTAAAGAAGATATCAAAAATGTTAAAGCTTATCTTAATTCATGGACTGGATCAGGATTTTATATGACTATATTCATGAGGCCAGACTTGAATCTTTCAAATGTTTTAGCTTATTTGAATACAGTTGGATCTTTAAAGTCTGATAAAGCTATTACTGATGATGTTTGCAAGATTAACAGTGAAAGACTACCAAAGATTCTTATATATACTTCAATACCTGATTTCTTTGGAATTTTCAATAGACTATTAAATTTCTAGTCAAATTCATTGGAAGCAAGTTGTTCAAGATATATATTGATGGGTAAAATGATACAAAAAAAAAGTTCAAATTATATAAGCATTGAAGGAACAATACCTCATCGTAATTGTGTCTATATGATCAGACCACTCAATTCAAATGATGAAAAATATATTAATGAAGTGTTTATCAAGGGATATTCATATCTTTTTAAAAGTATTGAGTTTGAGGATCCCAAATCAACTAACCACGCAATCTATTCAATATATGATTTAAACTGTGCAAATGATCAGATCAACTTCAAAAACAATAATAACTTGTATGGAAATGAATCTTTACCAAAATATTCTAGGTAATGAATGAAAAGACTGAGGTAAAATTATATATATTACACCGGAACATGACCTAAATATACATGAGTTATTACTTTAACGTTTCATAGTGCACCAAATTAAAGCTTAATTGTTAAATATGTAGAGCTTGGGTATAAGTGAATTTATGTCATCTTCATTTATTTATTGACAGAAAGATGTATTATAGTATGTAGGGTTAACTCAAATCCCACATTTTGTGCTTTTGGGTTTAATACGTACCTCTTGGGAAGATAACCAAAGACTCAAAAAAGATTGTTCATCGACATCCATAACCTTACATCAATATAATTGTATAATTGTATATATATTTAATAATTCATACAAATACTAATAAATTATCGTCCTTTAACAACAAAAAGCAAAAAAAAAAAAGCACAACCATATACATATAAATTTGATAATTTTAAATAATCAATCAAATAATAAAACAAATCAGTTTTAACCGAACTGAAAACAAAACAAAACCAGGACAACAAGAACCATAAGATAACAATAAGAACATCAAAACAAAATGAATAAAAAACTAATAAAAACATCATTAATCATAACATATCAAAAGAAAATACTTTTTTTTTTCATAAATAATTATAAAACTAACCCATTGTGTTAAAAATATTTATCATTTTCTAATAATTTTTCTGTATCTGATAAAATTTTTTCATCATTAAATAAATTTTCAATTTTATTATTTGATGAAGAATTTATTGATGAGTTTATTGAAGAATTTATTGAAGAATTTATTGAAGTATTTTCAATAAATGAAATTGAAGTATCATCAAATTCATTTGTTGATGTTGATGTAGGTTTTAATGGATTTTTTGGAGTTGGTGTTAAAGTTTTAATTAGTTTACCCTGAGGTTGTGACAATGATCTTTTTAATGAATTTTTTTTGGAAACTGAATTATTTGAAGTATTTACAGTTGTTGAACTTCTTTGTAATTTTTTCTTTTTTGGTTTTGGATTCTTGGAATTATTTGCAAATGTATTTACATCTGTCATTATAATTTGAAATTTATTTTGACCATTATTTGATTTTTTATTATTGTTTGAAGAAGATATAGAAGTTGTTGGTTTAGGTTCAGGAGTTTTCTTAAAATAACCCATTTTTGGAATTGAAGGAGATGGAATAACATTTGAAATTTGTTTATTTGAATTTAATTTTGAAATTGGAGTTGGAGAAGGTGGAATTAATTTATTATTTCCATTACCATTATTTGATTCATCAGGTTTCATTGCCGAGGAACCAATTTTAATTGTAGTTGGTGAAGAATTTAAAGTTGTTGAATTTTGTTTATTTAATTTTGGAGTTTCAAATAATTCAATTTTTGATGAAGTTGAATTAAATAATTGATTTTTCAATGGAGTAAAATTTTTTTGAGTTGTACTTGTTTGAGAATTATCAATATTTTTCAAAAAATTTGGAGTACTAAAATTTATATTTAAATTTTTCAATGGAGTTCTTCCAAAATTTGGAGTTTTGGAAACGATAGGAGATTCATTAATAATATCTCTATAAAATCTTTCAGGTGAATTGAAAAAAGAATCTAAATTTAAATCACCCATAGATAAATTGAACCCATTGTTGTTATTGTTATTATTAGCACCAGTTGGACCAGAAAATGAACCACTAGAACCATTTGTACCACTAGGACCACCAAAATTGATGTGATTAGCATTTGGATTCATTGGATTCATTGGATTACCATAGTTATTGATATTATTATTGATTGTACTTTGTAATATACTATTTGATAAGGGAGTATTTTGGAATAGACCATCTTGAATATTACCCAAGCTATTAACCCATTGATCATAGTCCAAAGGTTGATTTGGATTCATATTGATGTTTTGATTCTGATAATTTCTATTTGAATCGTTCATATTTTGATGCTGTGTTATTAAATATCAGCTAATATTGGGGGCCACTTTTGATATGAAGCAATAAACAATAGAGCAATGAGAACAGCAGTGAAAAGCAGTGAAAGCGAGCGACGAGAGCGTAGAAAACCAGATGAACCTTGTAACAGCAGCAAATAGAACCTATACCTTTGATACCTTATGGAAACCCTTCTTGTTCGAATGTCAATTGTGGTTTGCTTTTTTTCCTTTTGCTTTTGTTTATTGTTTTGATTTTAAATTTTGATTTGTTTTGATTTTTTGAAAAAAAGCGCGAATTTGAAATTTGAAACGAGTTCCGACTGATCATGTGACTGAAAACGTGATCGAAACGCGTCAATTTCAAAGTTCCGAGGGGTAAACAAATAATAAACAAAAACAAAAACAAAACAAAAACAAAGAATTTTAGTGAATTGTGTTACTAAAGATCAAGAAGAAGGTGGTGAAGAAGAAGTTAAAGAAGGTATAAGGTATAAGGTATGATGAACTCTCCTACCAAACAGATCACAGAGGGTTTCCAAAAACTACATTTGAGCTCATCAGATGAAATTAATATCAATTTAAATCAACAAAAAGTATCAAGAAGTAATTCAGAAACATTGACTAGTGCTAAGAACCATTTACATATTCCTAAATTGATTTTTAATAAGGACTTTGCTAATGAGAGCAAGGTTGGTGAACTGTCAGAGAATATGCAATTGAAGAATGGTGGTGATGTTGGTGATGATGGTAGTTTGGTTTCTGATGATACCGTTGCAGGAAAGAATGGTGAAATTGGTTCTGATGATACAGTGATACACAACGAGGACAAAGGTAATGATACAATCCCAGAATGGCTAGCTGTTAAACTTCAAATAGAACAACAAAAGGGACAACAACCACAACATTCAAGAGTAAAACCAAAATTAATTAATAGAAATGATGATTTTGCTTCACATCATATTAAACCAAAATTAGCAAATAGTATAAATGATTCAATTGATGATAATGAAACTTGGAATGAAATTAAAAAACAATACAATATAAATGATATAACTGATCTTATGGATAAATTAAGTGATTTTGATGATGATTTAAGTGATGAAAATAATGATATAAGATTAAAACCAAATACAACAACAACAACAACCCACAAAGATCTAAATGATACAAGTGTCTTCAGTTTCCAAGATTTAAATAATCTGAGAGTTATATCTGATGCTCAATCTTCTTCAAATGGTACTAAAAAAGTCACTTCATTTAAATCAAATAATTTTATTGATTCTCCAATGTCTGAACCCAAAATCATAAAATCAATTAAAAATTTATCCAAGAATGATAATAAACAACCTCTTTTAAATAGTGATATCTTGGAGAGCTTAAATCCACAAAATGATAATATTCAATTACATCTGATAACTCCAATTGACCAAAATATGAAATTTGATACTGATTTAGGTAAATGGATTTATCCAAATGATTCTAAAAAATCAGGTTCAATAAAATATGATGATATACTGGAAATTGATGATGAAGAAGATGAAGATAAAGATGAAAAACATACACATAAACATACACAAAAAATTTCACATAAAAATCAATTATTACAAAATACATTTCAACCTGATGAATCAATAAGAAATTTAAATTCAAATTCAAATAATTCATTAACAATTGATCCTAATCAAGTTACAAATATTTCACATTTAGATATATCATTTTCAGAATCACAAAAAACACTTATAAAAGCTTTAACAAGTTCTATAAAACCAAATTCTAATTGGGATTCAATTGAAAATGTTGATCTTTCAAGAAGAAATTTAATAAGTGTTAAATGTTTAAATGAATTTATACCAAATTTAATTTCAATTGATTTAGATTATAATAATATAACAACAATTGAAGGATTATCATCAAATCTTACCAAAATTTCCATTTCACATAATAAAATTTCAAATAATTTTTTAAATTTTTCCAAGTTCCAATATTTACATAAATTAGATATAAGTTTTAATAAGATTGATAATATGCAAGTTTTCACAAATTTAAGAAATTTAAGAAGTTTAAATTTATCAAATAATGAAATTAAAGAATTTATTGAATTAAGATCCTTACAACATTTAAATTTATCAAAAAATAAAATTAAAAATTCAATAGATTTTACAAAATTTGAAAAAAATTCATTTTTAGATTTAGAATCTTTAGATTTAAGTTATAATGAAATCCCTAAAATAATTTTAACAAATTTACCCAAGCTAAGATCATTAAAAATTAATAATAATAAAGACTTTTTGAAAACTTTTGAATTAAATGAATCAATTCCAAATTTGAAAAAATTAAATTTAATAGGAAATGCAAATTTGAAAAAAATTGTTTTTTTCAATAAAATTATAAATTTAAAATCATTATCATTTGATGGTGGTTCTACAATTATTAATGGAGATTTACCTCAAATTGAAGTGTTGAAAATTGTAAATGATTTTAAATTAGAAAATTTCTTGAAAAGTATTGATAATAATAATTCATTAAGATTAAATAAACATATCTTAAAATTATCAATCAAGAATTGTGGAATTGATTCTAATTTCTTAAATTCATTGAAAATTATAAATTTATTCCCACATTTACAAAAAATTAACTTGGAAAATAATAATATTAAAATGACAAATATAAATTTAATTACATTTTTGAAAAAATTTAAAAATTTAACTCAGGTTAAACTTGATAATAATCCAATTATAAATGATTTAAAAGATGAACAAGATAAGAAATTGTTTAAATTAATGATCAAGAAATTGCTTAGTGAGTTTTGATCAATATATCTCTAATATAGATTGAGTCTAGATTAATGGGATGCTTTGGATGAATGATATTGTTATGTGATCTTTAATAATATGTAGTATATATTTATGAAGTATCCAGTACTATAAAGTATAATAAGTATATGACTCATCTATCAGTACAACCATGATATAGTAGAGATTACTAATATTATCAAACAAGATCTTTATTTCAATATATTTAATTGGATTTCAATTAAAGTCTAATTATCGATTAATTACATAATCAAAGTCAAGTATCATGATTACTAAACCGCGAATTTTATCCCCTTTGTTTACCATTTTTTAAAACTGAGAAATTTTTATTTCTTTTACAATTAAATTGCCTTTCAATATCCACCTTTTTTGCAAGTACAAGCTTTCAACTTTAAATACCTTATTTTTACAGACTTTGCATTTTATCACAACTGACCGTATATGAGTTTACAATACTTTTGTATTTGTACATGCTTTTACTCAGTTTCGCCATAAGTTATGTGGTTATCTCTGAACTTTTTCAAGTTATCTATTGTTCATATGAGATCATAGAATTCAATATTGAAGTTAGTTATTGACGTTTTAAATCGTTGTGATACTAATTTTTATATGATGTCTGAAATATTGAACATCTATACTAATATTTATTTGAATTTGGTTATTTAATTTTAAACCATAATTAATACCATTTTCTTTAAAATAAATGTTATCATTCATTTTTCAAGTTATACACTACTCAAGATGTCTTGATTAAAAATAATGTAGTGATAAATTATTGTATCAATATTCCATATATGTCGAAAAGGAGTACTATATAAATGATCGATTATTAATGATGATCTGACTGCAAGCATTTCAACTAATTATAATACATATTTCATATAGTAATATTCACCACAAGCTGCACTCACTGTACGTCACTCATAATTTAATTACAACAGATCGAATGTTCATATTTCTAGCTTCTGCCTAGTCCGTAACGTAATATGAGAGTACCAAGGCCACTTCGTTCATAAGTCTAGAAGTATGAATATTATATGACGCGTTTTATTTCATGTTTGGTTTATTTTCTATTTTCATCAAATTCCTACACGGCTATTAACGGCCTGCTGAAATAATACCTTTCAAGTGAAAAGCACTTACCCAACTAATACGTGTATACGTCATGATCAGTGATCATGCTATAAATTATTAGTGCTGCAGCTAAATTGTGTTCAAGATTTCTCTAAAATACGCCTCGATCAGCTGTATCAAATTATTATGTATACTTTATGTATATAAAACATGTTAACTTATTATAAGGATCGATCTGATCGGCGTCGACCTTTTTTCTAATTAGACGTGGAATATACTTCAAATTGTTCATAGGCTATAGCTGTGTCAGAACTAAGAAGATTAATAATTTAAATTCCATGGATCATATATACATTTCTAAAAAATCCCAAAGCTCTGCTGCTTGTTTATAATGCCAGGTGCCATGTTATATCAAGGTGATTTCATGAATTTAAAGTGCATAAAACTTCGTGGATTTAACGATGTACGTACTATAGTCCATCACAAATAATGCCTCAAAGTTCATGCCTACATTCTTCAACAGAACAATTGAAATTGTATTTAAACATCTCATGTTCACCAAAATTGCATAGGTACAATCGTTTACAAAACCCTTAAAACTTTCAATCATGATTAATCCATATACATTAATCAACATTAATACTCATGAAGTGATGCGTTTCCTTCTCTTGAATTACAACGAAAATGCTGTATACGCTTTTCAAATTACTACAGGGGTTTTCGTTGGTCTCTACCTCCATCTGTTGCTTCCATATATTATTTATGTTAACTTTATGAAATTTATTGAATCATGCAAAAAATTGTATACTCAACTTTCTGAACTTCAAGCTAATGAATCATCAGCTCAAAAATCATGAATTAATATTTATTATATCGAGGCTCAAGTTATAATGGAATTATATGTTCAATTAGATCAAAGTTACTGATTACTCATGATTCAGCTTTAAATATTGTCGCTAATTAAATATTGCAAGGATTAAAATGATCCACTGATCTTACAATTCATATGATACACACAATATATAATAGGAGTATACTTAATTAGTCCATCTTTCAGTACATGATCCATATAAATGCAAACCGAATTCTGCTATAATAATCTGTAAATTTCAATTTTCAACTATAATTGTTTGATTTACTATAAAACAGATTCATAATATAGTTGACATATATAAGTTTTAATATATGCTTATATAATCTTTTTCGTTGAAAGACTTTTTGTAATTTTGATTGTAATTTCTTCGTAATTTTAAAATTTTTTTATATTGTAGTGGATAAGCAATTTGACCAATCAATGGAGCTAGGAGATTCTTAATTGTAACCATTATTAGTTGATGATGAATTAGTGATGGTTTTCTTCTTAATTCAACTCAACGTAAAATAATTTGAATCAACGTCCTTAACAATATGAAGGAGTTTATGAATTGTTTCATGGAAATTAAGAAGATTTTGAAATATTAGCAACTGATGGAAATTCTTTCAAAATATTGAAATATTTATATTGATTAGCTGCTGATCATTATATATAAATTGGTGTATTCAGAGATGCCTATAAGCATGTTACCATCTAATATAGTGATAAGAATTATAAGGTAATATTACTATAACATATTCCATATTTTTATTAACTCATAAATATACTATACACTCATATGTTTATTTAAAAACTGTTATTTAATTTTAAACCATAATTAATTCATTTTTAAAAATAAACATTGACTTTTTTCAACTAAAGATAATTGTAGATCTCACATTAATGCATCTCTATATCTATTTAAAGTTTCTTCTCTTGCCTTCTTTCTATCAACAATTGGTTTAGGGTATCCATTAGTTAATTTTTCCACCTCTTTATGATCAATTTTTTCATTATAAGGTTCATGAACATTATCTAATTTTGATAAATTTGGTAACCATTTTTTAATAAATTCACCTTTCGAATCAAATTTTTCACTTTGAGTATAAACATTAAAAATTCTAAACCAAGGTTGAGCATCTAAACCAGTACTTGATGCAAATCCCCAACCACCATTATTTGAAATTAAATCACCATCAATTAAATGATTATAAAACCAACGTTCACCAATTCTCCAATCTATAGCTAAATCTTTTGTTAAAAAACTTGCAACAATCATACGACATCTATTATTCATATAACCAGTATTTAATAATTGTTTCATTGATGCATCAACTATTGGGAATCCAGTTTCACCTAAACACCATTTCTCAAAATTCTCATAATCCTGGGACCATTTTAAATCTAATGAACTAAAATTGAAAGGGATAAACATCATTAAAAATGGCCAATTAATCATAACATGTCTATAAAAATCTCTCCAACCAACTTCTTTAATGAAAGTATCAATACCTGTATTACCACCAACACGTTTCCCCTTATTTAATTTCATACTTTCTAGGACAATATATCTTGGTGATATAACACCCTGGGTTATATATGGACTTAATCTTGATGTTGAAATTTCACTTGGGAAATCCTTGTTAGATTGATAATTTTTAATTTTCTTAAACCAATTGGTTAAATGAGTTTGAGCTTCACTTTCACCAGATTTATAAAAATCTTGGGTTTGCTTAATATCTTTATCTGAAACTCCTAAATCTTTTAATGAATTTAATTTAAAATGATTATATGTTAAATCATTTTGTTCCAAAGTATTATCATGTGAAATTTGGGACCAATCCCATTTTGAAAACTTATCCTTTGTGAAATCTAATTCTAATAATTCAATTGGATTGGTTTTCAAATATTCATCCCATTTTTTATAAAATGGTGAAAATTTTGAAAATTGTGTACCTTTTAATGTTGTTAAAACTTGTGGTGGTACAATACATTGATCATGATAAATATGAGATTCAAGTTTAGAATTCTCCAAAATTAATAAATCTCTATTAAATTCATCAATTTCATAATTTAAATTATAATAAATTGTATTGGATTTCAAGTTTGTCATTATTGATTCAAGATATTTTACAAATTCATTATTTGATTTATTATCATCATCAAAATAATATATGAATAATGGAATATTTAATTTTAATAGACTCTCTTTTAAAGATTTTAAATTTCTTAAAATAAAATCAATTTTATATGAACTTTCTAAATGAGAATTCCAAAATTTTGTTGATATAATATAAATACCAATTGGATTAGCATTAATCTTTTGAGAATCTTTAATACAATTATAAAATGATGTATTATCATGAATTCTTAAATCATTTTTGAAAAGATGGACCAAGAATTTTTCATCCTGGTTTAATTTTGGTGGTCCTTTGGAATAAATTTTATTAAAATAATCAATTGGTTTTGATTTTTCACCATTATTCCATTGATTTGCATGTTTAATTGAAACTTGCTTTGGGTAATATTTTGATTGGAAATTTGTATATGAATTAAAATCTAAATGATTATTTAGTTTTAGCTTTTTAGTGATGTTGCTTGTTGATGGTGATGGAGATCTTTTAGTTGGCATATTGATATAATTGATGTTTGATAGTATTTTAACATACACTTCTTATTTTCAATGGGACATAATGAACTTATATAGATGATTTTTATTTATTGTTTGCTTTTAATGCTTGACATGTTAATTAAAGTATTGATGTAATTATATGTATAATGAATTACGATTGAGCAAGTTGAACAGTTAACGTATAACAAGATTGGATGAGCAACTCGTAAATATTTTAAATGGGTAGCAAAGAAGTTATGGAATATACCTTGAGAATTTATTGAACATGTATGAAAATGACAGAGAACATGAAGTCATGTGATATTTTAAATTACAGCCCTAATCAAAAATAGTTACATAATCAAAAATAAAAAAAGTAAAAATTAATGGAGTTTGAATTTTTGAAAATTGAAAAGGCCTTTGAAAAACAAAAAACAAAAAATTAACATCGGGGTTTGCAAAGGAGAACACAATTAAAATATTTTCAAAGACCGTTATCTGATTGTATTTGACATTTGACATCCACAGTTTTAGTTTTTGGTTGAGATTTGAGATTTATTGGAAATTGGAATCTATCTGTGCAATGGGTTGTTAGAGATCTGGACAGACAATGTATACTACTATACTATATACCATATACAATACACTATATACTATACTATCCATCTACTACCTACTGTTTATCTATACTCTATCTATACCACAACTCTGAGCGTTAGCGAAGAGTTGTTTTAAGCCAATCGGAACACTGATCAAATTGCTTACACCAGGTCACGTGCACTTGCGCAGATATTCATTAGCCACTAATTTGCACAACCACACAATAAATTTACATAAAATTAAGCGCTGAGTTGATTTATTTAAATATATTGCAAAAGTATCTTATTTCTTCAGCGGTTAATTTAACAAATCATCAAAAGGTCAACCATGTCCATTGCCACCGTCTACCAAAAGTTGGACACAGCGGTTATCTTCAACACTTTGGAAACTAAAGCAAGTACTCCAATAGTGAGATCTCATCATGATTTATTAAATTCTTCAGATCCTTTCCAACAAATTATACAGATTCAAGAACAAATAGGTGAACTTATTTCTGCTATCTTTACAAATGATTCCACTTTATTACAAGCGCTACCTCATTTAGATCATATCAAACCAAACACAGTCATCAATATTGCATTATCAAATTATCAAACAATCATTGCATTAAAAGATTTAAATTTCACAACATTAGTTTCAAATTCAAATCAAGATATAATAAATCATTCTGTATTGGCTCATTTATTAGTTCAAAATAATATTGGTAAACCGGTTTTACATTTCATCAATTATGAATTAGCTACTGGTAGTATTAAATTCAATGCAGATGCTTTTGATAAACTATTATCTCTTGATTTAACTCAAGATGAAGATTTATTTCAATCAGCTTTAAATCATGCAAATAAACATGGTTTTAAAATTAATCATATTGATTACCATGCTGGTTCCAAATCTGCTAAAACTGCTATTGTTTCATTAGGTTCTCATTTCCATGATTTAACTAAAAATTCATCAAATTTACCAATTATTGATATCAAAATTTTTAAACCTTTCCCAATTGATCAAATCTTATCAAGTTTACCATCTTCAATTGATTCTATTGCTATATTGGAAAATTCAATTAAAAAACCATTCACAAGATTTTCTCCACTTTTATTAGAATTTTTCCAATCTCCATCTGCTTTAATTGAAAAAAATATCTTGAAAATTACTTCTGCTTCAATTGGTGATTATGATGATGATTTTAATAAATTAATTAATATTATTTTATCAAATTTATCAATTGATAATCCAATTCAAAATTTATTTTTCGGTAATGAAGTTGAAAATTTCAATAATTTATCTCAATCAAAATTAGATGAAATTTCTAAAATTAATAAATTAGAATCAAGTTATATTACAATATTAGATCAAATTTTTGGTTCAAATTTACAAATTTTTAATCAATTTCAAAAAGAAAATATTAATTTATCTTCACCTGAATTTGGATTTGGTTCTTTTATTTATCAATCTGAACAACAACAAAAATTAACAAATTTAATTCATAATTCTCTTGATTCTCCTGAATTAAAATTTAATACTCCAAAAGTTAATGAATTAGTGGAAAAATTATCTAAATGGTTAGTTTTCAAAAGAGATGGTTCATTATCACAAGATCAATTACAAAAATTTAATTCTTTATCATTAGAAATTTTAGATATTTTACATAAAGATGATTCTGAAACTTCCAAAAAATTACTAGAATTTAAATCTTCATTTTTAAATAAATCTTCTTGGTTAATTGGTTCTGATTCTTGGGCTTATGATTTAGGTAATTCAGGTGTTCATCATGTTTTAGCTTCAAATGAAAATATAAATGTCTTGATTATTGATAATGAAACTTTTGAAGAAAAAAAATCAAATCAATTAAAATCTTCAACTTTAAGAAAAAAAGATATTGGTCTTTATGCTATGAATTATACAAATGCTTATGTTGGTTCAATTGCTATTTATTCTTCTTATACTCAAATGTTAACAACTTTAATTGAAGCTACTCAATTTGATGGTCCTTCAATCATTTTAGCTTATTTACCAATTCAAAATGAATTTGATACTCCATTAGAAATTTTAACAAATACTAAAAAATCTGTTGATTCAGGGTTTATACCATTATATCGTTATAATCCAAAATTATTAAAAGATTCTGAAATTTTTAAATTAGATTCAACAGTTATAAAAGAAAATTTAAAAGAATTTTTGGATCGTGAAAATAAATTAACTTTATTATCCAAGAAATCTCCTCAATTTGCAAGAGATTTAAAACAATCTCAAACTTCAATTATAAAACAAAAACAAGATAAAAAAGCTCAACAAGCTTATGATCAATTATTAGAAGGTTTATCAGGTCCTCCAATTTCTATCTATTTTGCTTCTGATGGTGGTAGTGCTGAAAATTTAGCTAAAAAATTAGGTAAACGTGCAAGTCAAAGAGGTTTAAAGGCAACTGTTTTATCAATGGATGATATTATATTAGAAGATTTACCATCAGAAGAAACTATATTATTTATTACTTCAACTTCAGGTCAAGGTGAATTTCCTCAAAATGGTAAAAATTTTTGGGATTCAATTAGAAATTCTGGTGATTTAGATTTAGAATTTTCTTCAATTTCTTGTTTTGGTCTTGGTGATTCATTATATTGGCCAAGAGCTCAAGATAAACATTATTATAATAAACCTGCAAAAGATTTACATGAAAGATTAAAATTTTTAAATGCAAAAGAATTAATTCCTTTAGGTCTTGGTGATGATCAAGATGCTGATGGGTTCCAAACTGGTTATAAAGAATGGGAATCTAATTTATGGAAAGCTTTAGGTGTTGATAATATAACAACTGCTGATGAACCTCCTCCAATTACAAATGAAGATATTAAAATCGCATCAGATTTCTTAAGAGGTGGTATTGCTGAAGGTTTAAAAGATGAAAGTACTGGTGCTATTTCAGCTCATGATCAACAATTAACTAAATTCCATGGTATTTATATGCAAGATGATCGTGATTTAAGAGATGCTCGTAAAGCTGCTGGTTTAGAACCATTTTATATCTTTATGGCTCGTGTTAGATTACCAGGTGGTATTACTACTCCAGATCAATGGTTAGTTTTAGATAAATTAGCTGATGAAAGAGGTAATGGTACTGTTAAATTAACTACAAGAGCTACTTATCAATTACATGGTATTGTTAAACATAATTTAAAACCATCAATTAGAGCTATGAATTCTGTTTTAATGGATACATTAGGTGCTTGTGGTGATGTTAATAGAAATGTTATGATTAGTGCTTTACCTCATAATGCAAAAATTCATTCTGAAGTTGATAATATTGCAAAAAAAATTTCTCAACATTTATTACCACAAACTACTGCATATCATGAAATTTGGTTAAAAGGTGATGATCCAGAAGATGATGATCCAAATTGGCCAGAAATTTTTGAAAAAAGAAAAGATGGTCCAAAAAAAATTAAAACTTTAGTTGCAGGTAATGCTTTAGTTGATAATGAACCATTTTATGGTCCAACTTATTTACCAAGAAAATATAAAATTAATATTACAGTTCCACCTTATAATGATGTTGATGTTTGGTCTTCAGATGTTGGTTTAATTGCAATTGTGGAAAATAATGAAGTTATTGGATTTAATGTTTTAGTTGGTGGTGGTATGGGTTCAACTCATAATAATAAAAAAACTTATCCAAGAGCTGGTTCTTCATTTGGATTTGCACCAATTGATCAAATTCATTTAGTTTGTGAAAAAGTTATGTTGGTTCAAAAAGAACATGGTAATAGAAAAGATCGTAAAAATGCAAGATTAAAATATACTGTTGATACTTTAGGTGTTGATGTTTATAAATCAAAAGTTGAAGAATTATGGGGTCAAAAATTTGAACCTGAACGTGCTTATGAAATTAAAGATAATGTTGATCATTTTGGTTGGGTTACTGATGAATTATCAAGACATCATTTCACTTGTTTTATTGAAAATGGTCGTGTTGAAGATACTCCTGAATTACCACAAAAAACTGGTTTGAAAAAAATTGCTGAATTTTTTAAATCAAATCCAAATTCAAAAGGTACTTTTAGATTAACTGGTAATCAACATGTTCTAATTTCAACAGTTTCTAATGAAGAATTACCAACAGTTAAACAAATTTTACATGATTATAAATTAGATAATACTGATTTTAGTGGGTTAAGATTATCAAGTGCTGCTTGTGTTGCTTTTCCAACTTGTGGTTTAGCAATGGCTGAATCTGAACGTTATTTACCTGTATTAGTTGGTAAAATTGAAGAAGCTTTAGAAGAATATGGTTTACGTCACGATTCTGTTGTTATGAGAATGACTGGTTGTCCAAATGGTTGTGCAAGACCTTGGTTAGCAGAAATTGCTTTAGTTGGTAAAGCTTATGGTACTTATAATCTGATGTTGGGAGGTGGTTATTATGGTCAACGTGTTAATAAGATTTATAAACAAAGTATTAAAGAAGATGAAGTTTTAGCAATTTTAAAACCATTATTTAAAAGATGGGCTTTAGAAAGAGAAGAAGGTGAACATTTTGGTGATTTCTGTATTAGAACAGGAGTTATTGCACCAACTTTAGAAGGTAAATATTTCCATGATGATGTTCCAGAATGGGATTAATTACAATAATTATTTAATTATTTAAATTTGTTTTTTTCAATTTTTGTTATTAAAAAAGAATCATGATTTAAGGTTCTGTTGTATTTTAGTTATTTTGTTTTGATTTTTACAAATTTAGTTACACACATGGTCATTATATATATAAACATTTATTTATATTTAATTATAATAGAAAATTATTTAATTATTTGAATTCAAGTAGTATAATCTTATATGATATAGTGCCTATATATATTAGTATTTGTACAACTTATAATATAGACGTACACCATATTATAATTATATTATTTATATAATTAGCTCATGCTAACTTTTGACTGCATCATGCCTCCAGACGTATATTAATATAATTAGCCCACCAGCTTGTATAAATTGATATATGCACCACATATTGAGAATTAAGTACACCTACTTAAAGCGCGTATAATTATATTGAATTCACGCTGCAGCTGGACCTTCTTTTACAAAATCAGTGTATAATTGGCGTTGAATTAAAGTGTACTTCATATATTTTACGTGGGCGTAACGTCCTATCCTATACCTATTTTTCCTTTCTTCAACGATTTTTTTTCATTAACACATAAATATAAAGATGTATTAATGCTCTTGTGAACACATGGTAATGGTGTTAAATGAACAATCTGGGATTGAAATTTCACAGTTCAGTTCGATCAACTCATGAGTTTATGGATTGCTAGCAGCTTTGAAACTTTATTGGAACATAACCATGAATCGCTAAAAGACCAGATATAATGAGTTATAACCATTAAAATTGTTTTCATCCTATCTTTTATTTGATTAATGAATTCAACGTATTGATATCAATTAAGGGTCAAACCTAGATTGAGAGATTATGCAATAATATATTATCCATTGGTTTTCATTATGTATATCATATTGTCTGTATGAAGTTTAATTATTAATATCATCGACATTTGATTAAAATACATAATTTTATTTGTTTACAATATTATACTTAATGTAGTTTTACAATATATACTAATATGACAAAACTAATAAATATATATTTCTTTTATTCAATTTAACAACAATGAAACCGTACAACTATAAACTTGGAACTTCAGCTCTTGGAGTAATTCTAAATAAATGACGTCTTGAAGGTTTTGAATCATCCCAATCGAAAACCCAAGTATGACCAACAACTCTATTATCAAAAACAACAACTGTTCCAGGTTTATAAGTTGTTTTGATTTGTAAGTCAACACTTGATTTCAAATGGTCATATAAAAAGTTTAAAATTGCATCAGATTCTTGTTTTTTCAAACCAACAATTTCTAAAGTTAATAATTGATTAATAAATAATGACTTTTCTCCAGTAACTGGATGTTTTCTAACTAATGGATGAACGTAACCATCATAACCTTCTCTTCTAATGAAAAATGGTTCACCATTTGTTTCATCATAAATTGGTTCTAACCTTTTATGTAAAGCACTTAATTTTTCCAAAATTGATTGAAATTCAGGTGATAACCTTTTATAAGCTTGTACTTGATCAACATAAATTGTAGAGCCAGCACCATTTTCAGGACCTTCTAAATAAGCTAAAAAAGTTGTACCAGCTGGTTGTTTTTCATAAGTTATATCAGTATGCCAAAATAAACCATTTGTATGTTTTGCAAATCTTTTTTTAGAAGGTGGATCTGTTGTTTTAGGTCTATAAACCAGGTGTAAAGCTGGAGCATCTTTTGGTGCACCACTTGTTGGATGAATATGTAGAGGACCAAAATATTTACCAAATTCAGTTGCAAATTGTGGGCCTTTTGAAGCTAAATCTTGATTTCTGAAAATAACAACACCTCTTTGAGCAACATACAAAGCTAAATCATCTTTAGCTCTTGGTGATAATGAAGATAATTGTAAACCATCAATTTCAGAACCAAAGTTAGGAGTTAAATCAGTTTTTTGCAATGATTGATTGGTTTTGGGGAATAAATTTTGTAAATAAGGATCAGCTTTATGACCAGGATCTTCATGTTTGAATTCTTCTAAAGGTTCATATTTTTCAAAAGGATCCCATGTTGGTAAGAAATCCGGGAATAATGCATCTGATGATTCTTTTGGTAAAGTGTTGAAGATATAATTTGAATCAACTCCAACTTCAACATCAAGAAGTTTTAAATTTGAAGGACCAGTGGTTTTGGTGTCAATTTCATGTTTAATTCTTGCAATTTCCTCCGAGGATAATGGTGATTTCTTGAAAGATTCTATTGATTCTTGAGCAGCCGATCTGATAGTCATGTTAAACTTAGAACTGATTGATATCTAGTAAAGATTGAAGCCATGAAACAATGATTATGTCCCATATTGATCTATTTAAATACCCCATAACTCAGCAGCCTTCCTCGGGTAGAACCCCATTTCAATCCAATTAAGCGACAACCTGTGATAATCCCTTGCCAATAAAACACTCAATTGATGAGATCAACCAAAGAATTCACCATTGTAAATTTAGTAGTAGTTGAAGTTTAGCCACAATAAAATAAGAGATTATGTAAGGTTATATCAACACCCACACACCACCCGTGAATTTCCAATTTCTTTGATCTTTTTGACCCAAAGGAATTCTATAATCTCCAATCAACGGGCATCCAACGGACAAATCTCATCTAATCAACTCTTTGGAGTACCTGACAGATAAAGAAGAGGTAACAGATTCACATATATAACATCAACACCATCACCAACTTTTCAACCATGGATATCAAGACTCTTCGACCACAAACTGTTTATTCTATATCATGTTTGGAATGTAGAAGAAGAAAAATTAAATGTGATAAAGCTTCACCAACTTGTGGGTTTTGTTTGAGTAAAAAAATTCATTGTGAATATCCTTCAAATGCTAAAAGAAAAATTATAAATGTTTCAAATGGTTCTGATTCTGAAAATGTTGATAAAGATCAAATTATTAAAGATTTATTACAAAGAGTCGCTACTTTAGAAGATTATTTAAAATCTTCTCCAAATACAAGTATATCAAGTACTTCAAGTTCAAGTACAAATACTATGGGATTACAAGCAAGATCTGAGTTAAAGGCAAATGGTGGGATAACAAATGGAAATGGAAATGGCTCATCAAGTTCCAATGTTGGTGGTAAAGATTTCTTGGAAATTATTAATCATATTGATTATAAATTAAGTGATATTGCAAGAGATACTGGATTATTAGATGAATTAGCCCTAGCTAAAAGAGAATTCCCAACTATTTTACATGGTAAAGAAGCCGATGAAGTTTTATTAAATAATATTATAAGAACAGTTTCTGCAAATTATAAAGCATTTAATTTTTTCTTGGATCAAAAAGATGTGGATCTTTTCTATGAAAATTTTAAACAAGAAACTCTTGAACCTATACATTTCCAAGATTCATTAATTATGCTGTTATTAATTTCTATCTGTATAAGATTGAAAAAATTTACATGTGCATGTATTCCAATTGATAAAAAGGAAAATTTAATTCAAGAAATTTATAATGAATATCAAAATCGTTGTAATTTGAAAATTTTACCCAAGGATCATAAATCTTTACAAATTGGTTTATTAGAATTAGAATTTATGTTTGGATTAGATGTTCATAAAGATGATATATTATTGAAAATTCATGAAGTTATAGGGATGGCAAAATTAATTAAATTGAAAAATCAAAATAAAAAACATTTAGATGAAGAATTCGAATCATGTTGGTTGGAATTAGTTAGAATGGATTCTATATTAGCTATATCATTTGGTACAAGTCCAGGGATATTTGAACCATTAAATTCCAAGAATTTACCAAATTTTTCAAATGATCAAAGAAGATTTCAAATTGCACCAATTTTTATAAATACTATAAATATTTTACAAAGATATAATTTTTATGGTTTGAATAGTCTTAATGAATTTGAAATTCATGAACAAATTAATAGAATTATTGCAACAAAGGATTTATTCTTCTTTTTGGATCTTGTTACTTTATATAGTATTCAATTACAATTATTGTTCCATAAAAGAGATTTTTTCGGTTATACAAAAGTTTTAGAAAATTGTCTTGTTGAAGTTTGGAGAGTTTCATTAAATGATGATTCACATATCATTAGAAATAAATGGACATTACAATCTATATTCAATTCAATTTTACTATTTATCTTGGAATATAAAGAAATTAATAATGAGTTAGCATTAAGTCTCTCCATAATCATTTGTTTAAATAATTTATTTAGTATTGATAATCATGATCCTGATTATATTTCAAATAAATTAGAAAAATATTGTGCTAAATTAAACTTGGAATATTGTTTTGAATTAGTTTCAAATTTTGAAAAACAAAATCCACAAATTTTTGGTGATGCAAAATATTGTGGTTGATTGAAAAGTATTCAAGCTCATAATATTTTATTTCCGGTGGAATTTTCGGATTTAAATAAAATCCGAATTTTAATTGCTCATACAAATTTTATTATTCAATTCACAAAAATAATTTAACCAACCAGGTTTTAATTACAATTACATTTCCAATTATTATTTAAACAACAGGTTATTTCCTATCTGACAATGATCTTTTCATATAGTTCTTGTATAGTATCCACATATTCAATTCATAGTTCACTTGATCAATCAGCTTATTCATTATGAAATCATTTTACGACGTTATAGTTATTGGAGGTTCAGCTTCAGGTTTACAAGCTTGTTTAACTTTTGGTAGAGCTTTTATTAATGTTTTATGTATTGATTCCAAGAAACCATGTAACAGATATGCAAATGAATCACATAATTTACTTGGTAATGATGGTATAAACCCTTTGGAAATTGTTTCAAAAGCAAAAGAACAAATCAAGAATTATCCGACAATTGAATTTAAAGATGATGTTGTTAAAGATGTTAATAAAATCAATGGAGATCATGATGGATTCAAAGTTTCAATAGGTTCTGGTGATATTTTCCAAAGTAAAAGAGTCATATTTGCTTCAGGAGTGAATGATAATATTGATAAGATTCCAATCAAAGGTATTGAAAAATATTGGGGGAACTCTATTATTCATTGTCCATTTTGTCATGGAACAGAGTTTAGAAATGGTAAAACTGGATTATACTATGGGAGTTCCATTTTTTTGAAAATGATGTTACCAACATTGTATAATTGGAGTAAAGATATAAATGTTTTCTGTTCAGAAGATATTTATAATGAATTAGATTCTGATTTAGTTTCCAATTTACAAAGAAAGAATATCAATGTTTTCAAGTCATCAATAACTGAAGTTAAAGGTAAATCAATTGGTCATGGTAATGAAGAAACATTGTCACAAGTAATTCTTCAAAATGGACAATCTGTTGATCTTGATGTTTTATATATTATACCACCTTCAGTGATCAATAATAAAGATATTTTAACCAAACTAGGTGTTGAACTAGATGATAAGGGATTGATTAAAGTTACACCATATCAGAAAACCAATGTTGAAGGTATTTATGCTTGTGGTGATAATACTAACTTCCTTAGAGCATTAGCCGTAGCTATAGCACAAGGTTTAACAACAGCAGCATTAATTACTCACGAAATATCACAACAAAGATGGTCAAAATGATGTTTGATCTACCATATATAGTAATTAATTTGAAAATTGAATAACAATTATATGACTTCATATCTTTATTTGTAGATTCATTTTAGTGTGAAGAGCTTAAAAGTGCCCGTCATGATTTACGGGGATCAACCTTGTAAAAAAGATCCAAGATCCACAAAGTGATGGCAAACTCAGAAAACAATTCACAGAGAAACTGGTGATTGAGCTATCAAACAAATAAAGTGAATAGAATTCGGTGAACGTGATGGTGCTCTTGATCATATCTCATTTTTTTTTTATCTCAAAATGTTGGTTTGACGATGATTTGTGGTTGATTGGAAACTTAGATTTGAGTCTTCAAGACAAAACATGTGCAGTAAATCAGAAGTTCCTTTGATCTTTTTGTGATGGAACAAACTGAGCGAATGAAGCACAGGAAGATCAGATCTCCATCTTTTAAGGGTTTGGCTCCTGCTCATATGGTGTATAAATTATGCCAGAATCCCCTTTGTTAGAGGTGGCAAAATGGATATCAGATACCAGATACACTAATAGATCCAAGAAGAAAGAATGAAACTCATTGACACATTTTCACATTTGTTGCTGTATGGTGGTTGTGCTCTAGCTGGTAGCTTCAACATATTAACTTTCAATGTTGCTGGTCTTCCTCAAGCGTTACAAGGTAACGGGATACCTATTGATAAAGATATCGCTACAGAACATATTGGCAAGGCTTTCAAAGATCTTAAGGATGATTTAGATGTGATTCATGTTCAAGAAGATTTCCATTATAATGATATCTTGTATAAATATGATAATCATCCATACAGATCTCAAACTTCAGGTGATGTCCCCATTGGAAGTGGATTAAACACTTTATCCAATTTCCCCTTTTCTATATCAATAGAAATAAATGGGATGTATGTTCAGATGCTTCAGAACTTGATTGTTGGACACCAAAAGGTTTTACCACTACAAAGATCAGAATTGAAGGTGCTATAGTTAATTTTATAAATTTACATTCTGATGCTGGAACAAAAGATCAAGATAATGATGCTAGAAATAAGAATTTACAACAAGTTGCCAATTATATTGATCAATTCTTACATGATGAAGCTGTTATAATATTTGGTGATTTTAATTCAAGATATTATTATCCACCTGATAATATTGAAGTTTTCAGATTACAAAATGGTTTGAAAAATCCGTGGGTTGATTTAGAAAGAAATGGAATTGAACCAATTAAAGGTCAACCTGTACCAAAATGTTCTTTACCTGCTACAAATAACTCATGTGAAGTTGTTGATAAAGTTTTCTATAGAGGTAGTAAAACTATTGAACTGAAAGCTGAAGATTTTAGATATGCAGATGATCTATTTACTTATGAAGGTCATCAATTATCAGATCATAATCCAATATTAACAAATTTCTCTTATACATTATCACAAGATTTCAAAAATTCAAATTATAGTGGTGGGTTTTATGGTGCCTATTTTAATGATTTAGGTCAAATTTCCAAAGGTGTCAAGACAACAAGACTTTCTTTTAAAGGTAATGTTGGTTTAGATTTAGTTTCATTAACATTGGATGATGGTACCTCGTTTAATCATGGTGGTAATGGTGGATTATTAAAAGAATTAGAATTACAACAAGATGAATATTGGACAAAGTCTTATCTTTGTAAACGTGAAGTTGATAATGAACTTAAAAATGTTTATATAAATGGAACAACATCTCTAGGAAGTACTATTGAAGCTGGTTCACCTACTAATGATTGTCAATATTTTGAAGCTCCAGATGGATATCAAATAACAGGATTTTTCGGTCAAGGTGATGATAGTGTTAATTTATTAGGTTTTATTTATAGTAAAATTGAATCATGATCAGTGCCAAAACCCAGTACATCATAGTTGGAGAACCGTTGTGATTTTAATAATATAGATGATATAGATACAATCCTTAACCTCAGAATCATCAGAAAAAGCTCACAATATGCTTCATAACATGATATGCACTAGTTTTACTTACATATCTTCACGGTCATTGCGTTTTAATTTTGGAATTTATAGCAATTAATTATAATGAGAAGTTAGACTCACTCAACGAAGCTATGAAAGATGTCATTACATAATACTAATTAATCATCCAATCTGCTTATGTCTTGAATCAAGTTTGTAGTGAAGTCGCCCTAGTATCTAGTCAGTGGACAGTGCCCATAGTGACTTTCTGGGAAAATATAAGCACCAGTGCACCAACGGACGTCTTCGAAAATGCACAACTATGCAGTTTTAGAATTTGAATCTATGAACTATGAACAACGTTTTTGATATTCAAAGTTCCAATCTCAAACAATCAAAACCAAACAAACGTGGTTACCAGAAGGTAAGATCAAGGAACATGGCTCCACAAGTATGAGCTATCCAGACTTTATCGTCAAAAGGATTACAAAAGCTCAGACAGCTCAATCTCGAACTTATCATATATCATAACCCTCTAAGATGCAGATGCTCGATCCCTGCTCAAATTCTTCATAGCTGATGCGAGATCTCTAAATCTGAATATTTAAGGGTTCAAATTCTTCATAAAGTCAAGGAATTCACATGGATGATTGACTATCATTCCAAAGTTCGAACCAATGATAATCGATCGAATCATCTATTGCATGGTACACGGTTATGGTTAATTTACGGAATGAACGAGGTTATGATACTATAATTTAAGGTATAAATAGGCCCCAAATGGCTAGATCTGGATTAGATTAGATCTGATAAAGTCTTACAGGTAATATAGAATAAATCATACCCATCAACCACATAATTTATAATGAAATTTTCAACTAAAATCCTGGTTTCAATATTATCTGCTACACTAGCTTATGCTGGTGCTTTTAATGCTTTATCATTTAACGTTGCTGGTTTACCTCAAATCTTACAAAATAATGGTGAAGAACTAGATAAAGACATTGCAACTCAAAAAATTGGTGAAGATTTTGCCTCAATGAAAGATCAATTAGATATTATCAACGTTCAAGAAGATTTCAATTATCATGCTAAACTATATGATTATGATAATCATCCTTATAGAACTGCAACTTCAGGAGGTGTTCCATTTGGAAGTGGATTAAATACTTTATCAAATTATGAAATCTTACACACAAAAAGAATCAAGTGGAATGAATGCTCAAATGCTTCTGAAAATGATTGTTTAACACCAAAGGGGTTCACTGTTTCAACTTTGAGACTTGATGGTCATATAGTTAATGTTATTAATCTCCACACTGATGCTGGTACTGAAGATGATGATAATGCTAAAAGAAATAGTAATTTAAAACAAGTTGCTGATTATATAGATTCAAATTTATATGATCAAGCTGTCTTAGTATTTGGTGATACAAATTCAAGATATACAAGAGCAAGTGATGATATTGCCATTTTCACAAATCAAAATGGATTAGAAGATCCTTGGATTGTATTAGAAAGAAATGGTATAGTACCAGAAAAAGGAGCAGATTCTATCATGTGTCAATTACCATCTACAGAAAATAATTGTGAAACTGTTGATAAAATGTTTTATCGTGGTGATAAAACTATAAGTTTTAAAGCAGATACATTCCATTACGCTGGTAATTTATTTGTTCATGAAGGCAAACAATTATCAGATCATAACCCAATTTTGGTCAGTTTCACTTATACTTCTTCAGAAGATTTCAAAACTTCAGAATTAATTGGGGGATATCATAGTAATTATTTCAATGATATTGGTAAAATTAATAAAGGTGTTAAAACAACTAAGATCTCACTTAAAGGCGCCAACAGATTAGATTCAGTTGGGTTAACTTTGAGTGATGGTACTAAATTTGTCCATGGTGGGTCAGGTGGTGAAGAAACAACTGTTAATCTGTCCACTGATGAATATTGGACAAAAGCATATTTATGTACTGGTAAAAAGGATGATCATACAAGAATTTTTTATATAAATGGTACTACAACTACTGGTAAAACATTCCAAGCCGGTACTAAGACAAGTGATTGTAAATACTTTGAAGCGCCACAAGGGTATCAAATAACTGGTTATTTTGGTCAAAGTGGTGATAATGTTGATTTGTTAGGTTTCATTTACATAAAGCAATAGATTAAAGTGTATAAATATAAGTTATTTATTTGAAACACAAAACGAGCTTGTAATATCCTAAGCTCTTCTTACTCTTGGTATATAAGGTTCCTCCAAATACTTAATTTCATCATTTGTCAATTGTAAATTGGCACCTTCAACAGCTTCTAAAACTCTTTTTTCAGAACTTAATCCTAAAATTGGAGCTGCTCCTTTGGAAATTGACCATGCAATAGCAACAGCAGCTCTTGTTGAATTTTTCTTTTCAGCCAATTCACCCACTCTATTTATAATAGATCTTTCTGATTCTTGAGATGGATCTGTTTGAGAAATAATATTTGCTGCAGTATTTGTAGTTCTTTGACCATAAGGTGCTTTTTGACGTTCTGTAAGTTCATCTTGATTTGGAATTGGTTTTGCTAAAGCACCAGCTGCTAAGGGAGAATAAGGGATCAAACCAACACCTGTTTTATCTGCAAAATAATTAAGTTCCTGTTCATCTTCTCTATTCAATAAATTATAATAACTTTGCATAGATATAAATTTGTGCCATCCATTCTTTTCAGCAATGAATTGCAACTCAGCAAACTGAACAGCTTTCATCAAGGAAGCACCAATGTATCTTGTATAACCAGCTTCAACAACATCATTCAAAGCCTTAAGTGTTTCCTCCACAGGTGTATTAGGATCAAATCTGTGGATTTGATAAACATCAACATATGTGCCTAACCTCTTAATAGAACCTTCGATAGCATCAAATATGTGTTTTCTTGTCAATCCTTGTGAATTTTGTAGATCAAGCTCTTGTTCAGGTGTTCTCTTATTGAAAACTGAAAAATCAACCAAATCTTCATCCACTGGGAAGTAAACTTTTGTTAAAATCACCACTTTATCCCTTTTGATATTATATTTCTTTAAAAATTTACCTAATAAAACTTCCGACAACCCATTTGAATACACATCTGCAGTGTCAAAAGTTCTAATGCCATGATCATAAGCAGTATTCAAGATCTTAAAGATTTTTTCTTCATCATCCTCGACCCATGGTAACCAGCTTTTTGATCCAAAGGACATACAACCAACGATAACATTTGATATTTTCAGCCCTGATTTACCCAGGTTCTTCCAAGGAACAAATTGTTGAACCTCTGACATTGCCTATAACTGATTGATATAAAATATTGAGAGCCAAGGAGAACGTCTCAAATGATCTTGTTCTGTATTTATATAGCATCAGCCTCCAAGGGTTATCTGATATTTATCGGTATTGGAAACATGTACAGGTCCGCAAAATCCAAACTACAAAGTTGAAATTATTAAATCAAAACGCGCATATAGAATTACTATAAAGGGACATCAAGTCCGCATCTAACCAATATGAATAAATTATAATGGTTAGCTTTTTAACGAGCATAATCAAAGAAATTAAGCAAATGCTGATTGCTGTTGGTGGAAAAAGATTAATTATCATCAAAAGTGATATCGAAATCCCAATAGAAAGTGGTATATTGTGGATAAGTTTCATTGACACCACATGCTTCAACATAAGTGGTATTACCTAGTCTTTCATCCAAGTTTTTTTTGTAACCGTCTAATGAACAACTAAAACCAGGACCAGATTGACATCCAGGAATTGGAATAACAGCATCATTAGCTATCAATCTAACAAAATCTTCAGTTTCATTTGTGAAAACATCTTTACAACTTAATTTTTCAGTACTTAATCTACCACCCATTGGAATTATTTCTGAAGAGCGGAAAATTGAACCAAATTCAATTTCTTCAACTGATAAATCATAATCTGGCTCAAAAATACCTAATGCAGTGGTATATGTTAATAAATCACTATCATGAGAAAATGAAAAAGTTAAATTGTATGGATATTCTTTACCTTGTTTTAATAAAGTATAAGTATTATTAGCAAAAACATGACCCAATGGAGTTGATAAGTCATAACCAGGACCATTTTTATAATAAAATTCTAAATCTTTTGAATAAGCCCAATTTAATAATTCTTCTTGTGTGAAAATTTCGCAAACTGCTGATTCACCACGAACATTTAATTCAAATCCACAATAACCTAATAAGTTATAAACATCATCGCCACTAATGTTGAAACCCCGGGAAGCATTGTTTAATCTGATTGCTGCTCTTTCAAGATATTCAGATGAAAATTGACTAGTTAACGCATCATTGAAAGAACCATTATAGTTAACACAAGCATCATGTGTTGTTAATGTGTTAGCACCTTGAGTTTCATTCTCTGGGATAATTTGAATAGAAGCTAAATTTGTATAATTATGAGCAAAAAACCCTTGAGCGAAAGCTCTAGCACTTTCAACAACTCTTTCTTGACCTGAAACGAAAACAGGATGAACAGTTTCACCATCAAATAAATGATCATATTTAGCTCTAAATTCAGCACCAAAGGAATTTAAATCAGCTAAACCTGAATAATACCCTTTATAAGATTCAAATTCCAAATAAGAATCATCTTCAACGAAAAATTCATAATCTTTAATGAATGCCAATGGACCTTTAAAATCTTCAACTCCAGCATTCTTTAATTTTGTAAGAATGCTCTTTTGTGCTTTACCAGTACCTTTTGTTGGATAACGTTCACCATGTCTCATAAATAAATGTGCTTGAGTAACTTCACATTGTTCTGGAGTTGAAGAATCAATCCCAAACCCTCTATGTGCAATATAAGGACCAGTGGTACCTGTATATCTTAACAATTGGAATTGCTCCAATGAATCTTGTGAATAAGGTTTAGTCTTTGGAGTTCTGACTGATGCGTCAACAACAGCTAAGATTGTTGATAAAATTGATAAACTTAATGTGAATTTCATTTTGAAATATGTTTAAGGGAGATGAAGTTTAAATGATAAACAAGAGATGATTGTGTATAAAAATGTAGATCTTGAGAATTCATGGTGGATTTATACTTTAATTACCATATTTGGTTGGTGATTATATTGGAATGCAACCACTAAAACGTGTGTGATGAAGTATATTGAAGTATCAAATTTTTAATCCCAGAAGTCTGAACTTGAGGTACGCAAAGCAAGACAAGAATAAGCAAAATATGCAGTACAAAACACTTGATGAGGGAGAAAATAATCTAACCAATTGAATCTCAACGGTCAGAAGTACTTAATTAACCGTTTGTTTCTTCAACGCTTCGAAAATTACCTTAAATGGACCCTGTTTGATTTTTTTTCACCCACGTTGATGATTGAAGCATTGAAATATTGAAACCCAACAACGGAATTGATTAGAACTCCAAACTGTGCTTCATTAAACCAATACCATATTCGTAAACTGATAAAGTGAATCTTTATTTAGTGACCAGCAAATCTACTGAATTAATAATCTCCAGATTTCTGTATGCGTTTAATATTATTTGTTAACTGGAAAATACTTTGATCAGATTTTTAAGGTTTCGAGGAATTCGAGAATCGGAAAAACCGTTGACGCTTATCGGTTTTATATTCAATTGTACAAAACAGTACCCTTATTTTAAAAACATTAATTTCTATAGAATATGCACAAGAATATCAAAATCATAAAGGATATATGAATGCTTTATTTTCCCAATCAGTCAAGTCCAAAGCTGCAACATTGACAACGACTTCATTACCTTCTTTATCTTGAATCACACCAACTTTTTCATCTTCATTCATTGCTTCTCTTCTTTTAATATTACGTTTTCTCAAAATGAACCAAATTAAAATACAAATAGCTGGAGCTGCTGTGAAACTTAAAACAAGTTGAATAATCCAAGCAACATAGAAACGTGGAGCACCAACCCATAATTGTGGTGAAATTAAATTACCAACTGAATAACCAGCCATTAATACACCATTTCTTGTAACTTTTTTAGTATAACCTGAACATGATGTGAACCCCCAAGAAATTGTTAAAATCATTGGAAGACCGAAAACTGGTGCAGACATACAAACAACAGCCAAGAGACCAACTTTATTATCCCATGGTAATGCAATAGCTAAAATTGAACCAATAAATGATGGAATAATCCAAATAACATTTGACCAAGCAGACATGTTATCAACTTTTAATAAAATAACTGATGATATTAAACAACAAACAACTGAAAACCCACCTGAAGCAACACTAACTAAAGTGGAATCTAAATTAGAAACACCACCAATACCTGTAAATAATAAATTTTGTTGGAAAGTTAAATTATTTGCTAAATTATAAAATAACATCGCAGTAAAGAATAACCAAGTAATTGGATCTTTTAAACATTCAATAAATTGATATTTTTTGAAAAATTTCTGTTCAATTGCAGATCCAGTTGTTTTTTGAACTCTTCTAATTGTCCAAATTCTTTCTTCTAAAGTTAAAAATTTAGCAGTTGCTGGATTATTTGGATAAAAGAAAAACACTAGGATAGCTAAACAAAATGTCATTGATGCAATAATAATTGTGAAAATTTTCCATAATGCAACTGAACTTTTAATAAACATAACACCATAAGCAATAAATCCAGTTGGAATTGTAACACCAAGACAAGTACTAAAGAAAAGTGGACTTGATGCTGCTTTTTCATTTGCTGTAAGAAATTGAGCTAATGTAACATTTAATAATGGAATAATTGGTGATTCAACAAGACCTAAAAAGAATCTTAAAACTAAAATACCTGAATAATGTAATGCAACACAATTTAAAAATAAAATAATAGTCCATACACAAACCAATATAAATAAAAATCTACCAACTGGTAATTTTAAAATCAAATAATTACCAGGTATTTGCCCCACAAGAAACCCAATATAAAATAATGTATTAATATTATTATATCTTCCTTGATCCAATCCAACATCTTCCCAATAATTGAATAAAGATGCATAAGATAAAACAGCTTTATCCATATAAACCAATAAATCAACCAAAGCAGCAAATGAGATGATGAACCAGCATACTTTTCTTGATAATTTTGCTTCTTGTTGAGGTGTAATTTCAGGTACTTGTGAATCATACTCTTCTTGAAACTTTAAAGTAGCATCAGCATCTTTAGATGTAATTTTTTTATAACCTTGATCAGATTCACTGGTTATCTGGTTGTTTTGTATAGCAAATGGTTCTTTATTAACAGAACTTGAACTTGCAGAGTCAACCATAATTGTATATTATGACAACTAACAGTTAATAGATTTTCCAGATACAAAAAGGATAATCAAATGTAAAATTTCCATTGTGAAAAAAAGTTCAATGCAACGTTTATTCTCTTATAATAGTTAAATCTATACCTAGTATACATCTTATCAATAGGGTGACGGGTGTCATTATTAGTCACAGTGCACAAGAACTTTTTTTTTCACTTTTTTACCGTTATCAAGCATCCAAGATTCAAGGGTGCATAAATTATTTCATCAAGTTTTATTTATATATCCGATAACGGGATGATTATTACACCGCTAGCGGGATGATATAGTGATATAAAGTACGCGAGCATAACGGGTTTATCAGGAATTCAGGGTCCTAGACTGCACCAGGGTTTAAACTTTGACAAAATATATTATATATTGAATAAAAGTAATAAATCTAATTAGTTAGCTCAGTTCCCTGTGTTTTATTCAAATGTGCTTTCACTTCTGGTGGAATATCTCCAGTTTGTGAATTGTATAAAACAATACCATTTTCTCTAGCTATTCTTTCTTCATCTCTTTTATAATAGTATAAGGTGATTAAAGTGACAATAATCAAATAAAAAACAAAAGCTAACGTAGTACCATAACCAACAGTATATCTTGGTGCATCAACAGTTGGCCAAATCAATTTGACAATCCAAACATTGGTTGATTGAGAAATTGAATATAATAAAATGAATGTGATTGCTCTTTCTTGAGGATCTTTTCTTAAAATATCATTACAGAAACTATATATAACTGAAGCAGATGCCCATCCAGCATATAATATTGCAAAACCAAACCATTTTGCGCCCTCTGGTACATCCCAAATCAATAAGATTAAACAAGAAACAAAATTTAAAATAGAAGAGCAAATGATTGCACCTGATCTTGATCTAAATACATCTGCACCACCACAAACCAATGTAATAAGAATGATACCAATTAAAGGAGCAATAATAGATAAATCATTAACTTGTGGAATACTATATCTTTTCAAAGATTTTAACCACAAGATATAACCAGATCCAGCAGTTGTTGAGCTATTCCAACATCCAATACTAAATAAAGTTAAAACATAAAGCTTCCATGTCTTCAATACACGTTTCCAAAGATCTTTATCTAAGAAATTTGGTGGTTTGGCACTTGGTGGTGTTATATTTGCTTTCTTCAATCTTCTTCTAGCTAATCTAATTTCATCATCTGTTAACCAAATTGAATAACATGAATATGGTGTTCCAGGTACAAATAAAAATCCAATTAATGCTAATGGTAATGTACAAACAGCATCAACAATAAACATCCATCTCCAACCTGCTAATCCATTAGCACCATCTAGATTTCTAAACACCGCAGCTTGGAATAAACCTGACGATGCTGCGCCAATCATTTGACCACTGTTGAAAAATTGATAGTTAGTATAATTGATTGAATGAATATGATGAGAATCATACATACTAATAATATATCATTCCTCTTCTTGACAACTCATGAGGTTTATACCATGAACCCTATTTCAAATGGTTAGTAAAATTACTTTATAAACAAATTGAAATCCTACATACCAAAATATAATGAACAGCAGCATAAAATCCAGATTCAAAAGCACCAACAAAGAATCTCATTGCTTGAATTTGACCAACATTTTGAACTTTATAGGAAAATAATGTAAATAACCCCCAACCAGCATCTAATATTGGGAAATATAAATGTAATGGGAATCTTGGAAATAAATACATTGCAGGTATTTGGAAAATAACACTCGAAACATTGAAAACAGTAACGGTATTAACATAGTCATTACCTTGAAAATTTAAATCTTCCTTCATATTGGAAACATAAGCATTTGAAATATTTGAAGAATCTAAAGATTTAACCCAATAAACCATGAAAACATAACCTGCAACTAAGATATCTAATTTAAATAACAGTTTTTTCTCTTCTTTAGAAGTACCTTCTTCAAACCATAACCACCATTTATGTCTTTTAGTTTCATATCTATTATACCTATATTCATATTCATCGAAAAATTTCCACCAAGGTCTATTTGCTTCATCTCTATATTCAACGGGAGTAGAATCATTGTCGGTATCAACAGATAACACCGATGCATCAATATCTAATTTTTGATCATTATTACCAGCGATTTGATCTTTATTTGAAATTTCAGCACCAATATCTTCTGGATAGTCTTCTACATGTCTAAGAGTTGGATACCATTTCAGCAATGAGTCTTTAAATGTCATTTTGATCAATGATTATCATTAGCTTATTCAAACTAGAAAAATTTGCACTTTGAAAAGTTTTATGAAAAGTTTTATAAATTTATAGCAGACCCTGATATCCACAGTATTCAGTTGTCAATTACCGTATGTTGGTATTCACTGTGGCTGTTGGATCATTCCACTGGTATTTGAACAGCACATGAAGCAGAAAGCAGAGCAGCCAGTTGAAAACCACTGATTAATTAGCTTTTCAGGTGCTCTGATGAAACATTCTATGTCTATGAATTTTGATATTGTGCTCTACTTTGATCAAGAGATTTCAAGACAGTTGAAGTTGATGTGATTTGATAAGCTTAAAATTTTGAACGTTTGACACTTTTCCGGATTTTCATACATCGGAAATATGAATGAATGTTTTATACTCATTTCCAGAAACAGTTCAGATTTGAATATTGATCATTTGAGTGTGATGGATTCTATCACTATGCAATGAACCCACAATGCTTCTCACTCGCTCTCTACAAGCATCTCATAGAGCGTGGGTGACTCCATTCCCCCATAAAAGGTCCTTTTCCACTAAATCACAATCACTATACAAGTTCAGACTTAGGCCAAAATTTGATACAAGTATAGTCAGAAAACACTGGGGTTCACATCCAAGACAATATGTTGAAGTGTTTAAATATGATCCTTCATTTCAAGAAACAATAATTGCAGTTCATGGTGGTGGGTGGATTGATTATACTCAACAGGCAACAGATCTAATACATATTCAAAAAGGTTTAAAGTCAAATATCAACATGTTCAGTTTAGAATATAGACTATCCAAACCAAAACATAGTCCGTTAGAAATCTTTGATTCAGATGATTATTATGTTAAGGATCCATATCATTTGATTGATACTCTACAAGGTCTCAAAAATATCCTTGATAATTATAAAGTTTCGAAAATTCATTTATTAGGTCATTCAGTAGGTGGGTTTTTGGTTTTACAAATTCAAGATTTCCAAAGAATTATTCCAGATGCTTTAGAAGAATTAGTTATATGTGGTGAAATAACGAAGGACGAGTCAAAAGTTCAATTAGATTTCATTAATAACTTTGCCCAAAAATATGCACCAAAGATTGATTTGATCAATGTATTTTATCTTGGAGGTATTTATGATGTTAAATTATGTATTGAAAATGCAAATGAATCAAGATGGAACTTTTGCTACATTGATGATGCTTTTGTCTCTAAAACCCATTATCTTCATTCTTCACCTTTAACTACAACATCTAAAGGATCGATATTAGGATCACTGTGTGCTAGACGTGAGCATGTGATAATCAATTGCTTCCATGATGAATATATTGGAAATTATTCACCTTTAAGATTAATGAAATGGTTGAATTCCCAAGGAAAGACAACCCACTTGAAGCTTGGGAGTTACAATAGACATTTTGGAATGTTGAGACATAAAGAAGTACACAAGATCATTGATGATACACTTCATATCAATTATACTGACTAAGTCTTATACCGGTAACCAAAGATCGGTATTTCATTAAATGGTAAATGCGCTCGGAGTCCAAAACATACCTGGTATGACTTTTAATAATCGGAATGATTGTAGAGAAACAATGATATATATAAATATGTTACATTATCATGGTTCATCTTTTTGGATTGAATTTTCTCACTTTCTCATAAAATTCCAAGATGCCTATAAAGAGACACCAATGGGGGTCTCATACTAGACAATATATTGAAGAATTGAAAATTAATCCACAGTCAAAAGATGCAGTTATTACTATTCATGGTGGTGGTTGGGTGAGCCATCAAGAAGCTGCTAAAGATTATTTTGAAATGTCAAATACTGTGGATTTTGATGCTAATTTCTTTGGTGTTGATTATAGATTATCAGCTTCAAGTTTTGAAGGATATGTTTTACCAGATCCAATAGATTCTTATGTTAAGGCTCCATATCATCTGTTAGACATTTTACATGGTATTGAATTCATTTTTGATAATTATGAGATTGAAAGAGTACATTTGATTGGTCATTCAGTTGGTGGTTGCACTGCTTTACAAATTCAAGATTTTGCTTCTTTGATTCCTCATGGTTTACAACAATTAGTTAAACATGGTGTGATTACTGAAAGTGAAGAAAAGAAACAATTGAAATTTGTTGAAGAAACCTTGAAAAAATGGTCAAAAGTTGAATTACTAAATGTTATTTATTTATCGGGTGTTTATGATTTCCCATTAGCTTTATCAAAAGTTGCTTCACTTGGTCCACCAAAAGGAATCTTGGACAATTATATATACATTAATGATGCTTTTGTTTCTGAAGAACATTATACCCAAGGTTGTACCATTACATCTACAATTCTGAATCCTCCATTAGACACTTTGAAAGCAAAGGGGAAACATGTTATTATTCACTCTTTTGAAGATGAGTTTGTTGAGTCTTTTCAACCTTTAGGACTTGCTAATTTTTTTTACAAATTAAATGTACCAGTTGAAGTGTATATCGATGACTTTGATCTGCATCACAAGATCTTGCTAAATGGAAAGGCTTTCAAGATAATTGAGAGAATTTTAAATGATCATTGAGCTATTTATTTAATAGATATCATTAGGTATAATGATTTCGATAATTGTAGGAGAGTTCTTTTGAGATCTTTTACTCTTTCGGTTTACCCCAGATTTTGAATCGGTTATTTCAACCGGATGAATAATATATTACATATCGCAATGATCGACATAAAGATGGATTTTTTTGATATATACTTATAAACTAAAGTAGGTCCTACTATAACCTTGGATAAACCTTATCTTGCGCTTGAACTTAAGTAACATTTGGCATATCTAAAATGGCTGTCAGACACTACTACGGAAATCATCATAGACAATATATCCATGTGTTAGAATATGATCCCAAAGTCAAAAATACAATCATCACAATTCATGGAGGGGGTTGGGTTTCACATTATGAGTTTGCAATTGATTTCTTACCTTTTGCTCAAGGTATCAATTATGAAACGAATGTTTTCAGCATAGACTATAGATTATCAGCTGGTCATCATAGTCCAATTGATATTATAGATCCAGTGGAAGATTACGTTAGAGAACCATATCATTTAATAGATATATTGCATGGCTTCCAATATATTCTTGATAATTTTAACATTGAAAGATTAAGTCTATTAGGACATTCTGTGGGCTCATTTATGACATTACAATTTCAAAACTTCTTGGAAGTTATCCCACCAGGATTATCAGAACTTGTTAAACATGGTATTATCACAGAAGAAGAAGAGAAGAACCAATTGATATTCATCCATGAATTTGCAAATCAATACATACCAAAGCTTGACCTGGTAAATGTGTTTTATGTTTGTGGTGTTTGTGATATCCCTTCAGCTCTTCATACAAGTAGGGAGGTTTTCAAACATGGTGAAAGAGAAGCAAATGGATTCTGCTATATTGAAGATGTCTTTGTTTCCCCAAAGCACTATACAGAATCATCACCCGTGACATCAACTCTTATAAAATCACCATTTTCAATGATAAAATCCAAAGGTAAACATGTTGCTTTCCAAACTGTCCATGACGAGTTTGTTTATTACGATCAACCATTAAGTTTCATTAAATGGTTCAATTCCTTGCAAAAACCACTGGAATTCCACCTTGAAGACTTTGGAAAGCACCACAAGATCTTAACAGACACCAAGTTCTTTTCCATTATTTCCAGAGCTCTAAATGAAACCAAAGACTTATGAGATTCATGTTTGGTGAATATAATTTGTATAATTGATTTTAAGTGATGTCTATGAAAACGAATTCGCGAGTAGCTAAGCTGCCAGAAGCGGAAATTTTAGCACCTATTCACAATTTGCAATTCATCATGAACCTTCATTAATTAATTTTACTTTATGGGTTATCAAACAATACAGTAGTGATATTATAGATGACACAAAAAGGCCACAGTTTGAGTTATTGGAGAGGTATATTGTACGATCTCTACCAAAAGAAGGATTAAATCCTTAAACTATGGCTAGACTTGAGACGTATATAAAAGGGATCAACAATATCATATGTTTATGTTCTATTTCATGAGTGAACATATATACTTGTGATCAATTAAAGAATGCCAAATCCATTGATACTAAGTGTTGCTACAAAAGCTACTTCAACTACTGGTTGGAGAAGTCCAAATGACGAATCTAGATTTTTACCAAATGATATTAATGCGTTAATCAAATTTGCCCAAACTGCTGAAAGAGGAAAGTTTCATAACTTATTTTTCATTGATCATTTGAGTTGGTTTGATGTTTATGGTGATAGCCATGAAGCTAGTGCTCGTTCAGGAGCCAATGCTACAAGAGTGGACCCTTTAATTACCATAAGTGCATTAGCAACCCATACTGAGAATATCGGGTTTGTTGCAACTGCAAGTACCGTTAGTGAACACCCTTATCATTTTGCTAGAAGAATTGCATCCTTGGATCTTCTTACCAAAGGTAGAGTTGGTTGGAACATTGTTGGCTCGTATATTCCAAGTATTGGTAAAAATTTGTTGAATGGTGAACCATTTCCTGATCATGATGATCGTTACTCTAAAACTGAAGAATATTTGGATTCTCTTTATGAATTGTTATTGAGCTCATGGAGAGATGATGCCGTTGTTTATGATAAACAAAATGGAATTTTTGCAGACCCAGATGCCATTAGAGAAATTAATCATGAAGGTAGATTCTTCAAAATTAAAGGACCAGCTATCACTGAACCAACTCCACAAAGATTCCCATTAATTGCACAAGCAGGTAATTCTGAAAGAGGTGTTAAATTTGCAGCAGAAAATGCTGAACTAATTTATATTGGATATGATTCTTTACCAAAGATCAAAGAGATTAGAAGACTAGCAAGTGAACATTTCAATAGAGATCCTCAAAACATTAAATTTATTACTGGTATCTCTCCAGTTTTGGGAAGAACTCATGAAGAGGCTCAAGCAAAATATGAAGCTTTTAAAGAAAAAGTTGACCTTGAAGGAAATTTGGTTTTATTTGGTGGTGTAACTGGGATTGATCTTTCAGGTTATGACTGGGATGATGATGTTGATTTACCAGATAAAACCAATGGTATCAAGTCTGCTTTGGAAAATATCAAGAACAAAAGACAAAAGATTCAAACCAAAAGAGATATTGCAAATAGACATTGGGCTAATTTCCATTATGGAACTGCAAAAGAATTAGCAGATGAAATTGAAAGATTACATAAAGAATTTGGTATTGATGGTGTTAATTTTAGCTTGAATAACTTTCCGGAATCTTTAGACGATCTTGTTGATTTGTTGATTCCAGAATTACAACACAGAGGATTAGCTCAAACTGAATATGCTGTTGAAGGTGGTACATTGAGAGAAAACTTGAACAACAATCCAGGTCAAACTTTCCTTAGTGGTGATCATCCTGCATATAACTTGAGATGGAGATCTGGTGTTTCACAGAAACAGTTTGAAGCAGAGTTAGAACTTTACAATAAGTTGAAAGAAGAAAGAAGAAGAGGTATTGCAAATGATACTGTTAGAGTCTAGAAGTTTCCATAAAGATCACTTGAGCTTCGAATAGAGAAAAAGTTCCGTTTAATTGCGTTTTATTAATGATGTTGTACCTTGATCTGATATATTTTCTCAACCGTAGCTGATATAGTCGGTATTATTGTTCGGCCGAACTTATATGGACTTAATCGGTCTTTGAAGGACGTAGATTATTATATCAATGTGCCATAATGAAAATCATGCGAAGCCTCTTAATAATAATTAGTCAATCGAGCGCAAAGTAACGTGTAATTGTAATTTGTTCTGTGATTTCTTAGAGTTCGAGCCAAATCAATTTTGCGCAGGTACTGCCCTACTATTGAAATTGAGTTTCCTTTGTTCAAAGTTGCTCTATGCTTATTATCCTTTCAAACCTTAACAAAACACTAGCTGGGATGAAAAATTATATAAAGAGTATCAAGTTTCCCTCCAGATGCTGCCTTAATTGTATTCATTAAAGTCACTCAATTGATTATCAAACAATTAATTAAGAATGTCATTCAAACCAGTTAAACACACTTACGGATCCCACCCAAGACAATTTATTGAAGAGTTCAAGTATGATCCTTCTATCAAGGACACAGTCATCACAATCCATGGTGGTGGATGGGTTCGTTATGTTGAAAAGCCAAGTGATTATTTGAAGTTGACTGAAAATTTGGACTTCAAGGCCAATTATTTCAGTCTTGATTATAGACTTTCAGAATCTCATTTATTAAGAGATACTGATGATGAAAACCCAGACAAGTTATATGTCAAGTATCCATTACATTTATTGGATATTTTACAAGGTTTGAAATTGATTTTTGATAACTTTGATATCAAAAAGGTTCATTTCATTGGTCATTCTGTTGGTGCTTTATTTGCTTTACAACTTCAAGATTTTGCTCAATTAGTTCCAATCGGGCTTTCAGAATTGGTTAAACAAAAATACATCACCAAGGATGAAGAAGCTAAACATTTAAAATTTGTTAAAGATTTTGCTGAACAATGGAAAAAAGTTGAGTTAGTCAATGTTATCTATTTATCAGGTGTTTATGATTTACCTCTAGGTCTTAGAAAGACTGCAACTGCATATCCAAGTGATGATCCATTGAATCGTTATGCTTTTGTTTTAGATGCTCATGTTTCTGAAGAACAATTTACTGAAGCTTCAGTTGTTACATCTACTAAAATCAAGGAGCCATTTCAAACAATCAAAGCTACAGGAAAGCATATTATATTACATTCATATACTGATCAATATGTTGTTGAATACCAACCATTAGCTTTGCTTGAATATTTCTTCAAATTGGGCAAACCTATTGAATTTGTCTTGAAAGATTTTGGTCTTCATCATGATATTTTGAAAGATGAGAAGGCATTTAAAATCATTTCTAACTTTTTAAATAGTGATTAATGAGCTTTGTGGCTGATGACATCATGCCAAATTAGCCTCTTTTTGTGTTCTTTCGATGATTGAACAATTTTGTTTTGTGTTTACCTTTTGATCAAGAAATATATCTATAGTTGTTGTCTTTTTTAATTTTTTCAAGACGTAGCAAATGAGTTAAACTTACCATCTAATTGATTGAGTGTATGTCTGAGATTCTTTGTAGTATAGCTTTAAAAAGTATTTCAAATTTTTCATGTTTTGCATACTTCAACCTTTTCGCTATGCTTTTCCTCGAACGGGTCAAGGGTTAAGGGATAAAGATAAGGATCACAATATAATGATCACAATGAAGTGAATAATTTGAAGCTATAAAAGATACACAGAGTCCATGAAAATAGATTTAGATCAACAATGCTACAACTCATTCGATATTATGACATTGACAGCGTCTACTAAACACCCAATAAAGCATATATGGGGGCCTCATTATAAGCAATTTGTCGAGTGCTACAAATATGACCCCGAAGTAAAAGAAACAGTAATCACAATTCATGGAGGTGGCTGGGTAAACCATAGAAGACATCCAAATGATTTTGTTCCATTGGTAGAAAAAGTTGACTTTAAGGCAAACTATTTCAGTGTTGATTACAGAACTTCAGCTTCAATATTGAGTGATTACGGTAGACCTGATTCTTTAGAAACTTATATTAAGGCACCTTTCCATTTAATTGATGTTCTTAAGGGTATCCAATTCATCTTCAACAACTATAAAGTATCTAAATTACATCTCGCTGGACATTCAGTTGGTGCTGCTTTAGTATTTCAAATTCTTGATTTTATACCAATAGTTACCCATGGTTTATCAGAGTTGGTTAAACACAAGATAATCACTAAATCCATCGAACAAGAGAATTTGGACTTTATTCATGATTTTTCAAAAGAATGGTATTCTATAAAACTGTGCAATACTTTCCACTTAGCAGGTATTTATGATCTTCCATTAGCTTTAAAAGAACATGAAGAGTTAGAAAAAAATGGTGATCTGGAATGGACTGAAGGATTCATTTATATACTTGACTCACATGTTTCTAAAGAACATTATTCAGAAACATTACAGACGACCTCATCAATAATCAAAGAGCCGTTCCAGACAGTTAAACCCAAAGGTTTACATGTTGTTCTTCACCCAATAAACGATGAACATATCTTCATATCACAACCTTCAAGCCTCATCAACTGGTTTTACAAGTCAAAACTACCAGTCGATTTCCATTTAAATGACTATGGTTTACATGGGGGACCTTTGAATAACGAAAAAGCCTTTGAACACATCACCAAAGTGCTTAAAGACACTGAAAATGTATAGATCTTTGAATTGAAATAAATCATTATACTGTCTGCCACGATATAGTGTCACTAATATCCCTATTATCCCGCGAATTTCAAACAAGGCCTTGTTCAACAACTACAAGGATCTAATCGGCAGTAAGAAGTGAAAAGAAGTATGTTTGTGCAAAAACTAAAGAGGATAAAGTATATTTGAAAATGTTGATTTTGTCTCTCTTCAACCATATCTCAAAGTACCTTTTAAATCTAGGTTTCACATCATCCTCAAAGCAAGTGTCATAAATGATTCACTTGGGAAGAAATTTAACATTATGTATGATTCTAATCAGTTCAAACTTTCTCGCAGTTTCAGGTCAAATAAAACCAATTGCTATATTAAATGCCGGTTGGAAATATGATATTACAAAGGATATAGCTAAAGATCCATCAAATACTTTACAATCACCCACGAAGGCGTATTTGGAAATATCTGATGACAAAATTTATCATGAGTTGAATAGCAATATCAATTTTGTTGGAGGTGCTACACCTTGGGTATCTGTACTTTTATATCTTTTAACTGCTATATCTCAAATTATCGCTAATAGGAAATTGGAACAATCTTGTGGATATGGTCATAGATCTATACAAGGTGTAAGGTATGCTTATTCAACTAAAGGTTATGGTTGTAAAAATCCAAATAATTTAGATAAATCAGGATCTGATATGGAGAATGTTGTTGAATTATTACACCGGTCAATATTCCACTATGATATTTTAGAGCAGAATGAACAAGTTCTTTGTATTTCAATAAGTCCACCAGATACAGAATGGACTGGATGGTTAGCTATTGGGCCTTCAAAAAGTTGGAACAATAATATCTGGTGTGGTCCAAGTGATAAACATGATGCAAAAGGTAACAGAGATGATGTGAATGAACAAGAAAAAAATCATTTTGAGATCCAAAGATTCGTAACAGATAAAGATCTTAATAAAGATGGTGTATCGTTTGAGTATGACGAAGGTGTTTTGTTTTTAAGTAATGATCAAGAAGATGGTTCGAATGATTTGTTATTTTGGTAATTTGGTGAATGGGCTATTTTGCATTCTTGGATGCTTTCATAAGTATGTATTTTATATTGTATAAATTCTAATAATTAATTGCTTGTTTTTCATATTAAATTATTCTTTATAATACTATCTTTTCATTTTTCCGAATGTGTCTCTCATTTTTCCGATGGTATTGAAAAAATCCAAAAAAAAATATAAGCAGATCAGCTTCTCGAGATTTGAATTATTGTTACCAACAAAAAAAATAATCCATCAATATGACATTAAACTATTATACAGAACTATTATCAAGAATAAGGAGTCTGTCAATCGTCTTGGAGGAAGAGGACTCTTCAAAAACCCCTGAAATTATCACAATATCTCAAGTTGATTCTAAATTGATCAAACTCTTAATGAAAGATTATGATTCACCATTTTACATTCCTTTACCATCAGATGTACCACAAATACCCAATATCACACAATGTATTTTAAAAAGAGGCAATATAATAAGTATAAGGTTACCTCTGGCCGATATCAAATTGGATAGATCAACAAATCAATCCATGACTATGTCAACAAATTATAAATGGAATTCAACATATCTTAAAAGGAAAATCGGGAAATATTCATTCAATTGTATTAAATGTGATTACAAATTATTAAATTCAAATGATATAGAGACTGTTTTAGATATGCCTTCTTCATTGTGGGCTGAAATGATGGATTTCTGGCATTGTCATAAACCAGAGACTGATGATTCACCACTAGTTTTAGATAAATTTAAACAGTTTAAACCCAAACAAAATGGAATTTTAACTGGACCTTTTTATATCGCAATCAATTTTGAAGATGATAATCATAAACTTATCAAGGATGAATTTAAATTGAAATGTAAGAATTGTGAAACTTTTATTGGTGAATCATGTGAGGATCCCAAAAATAAAGAAAATTTAGATCGTTTATTTTATTGGAATCTAAAATTGTCACATAACAAAGGGAATGAGATATATAAACCATATTATCAAACAATGGAAACTATATTAGAGAATGTTAATGGAAGTGCTACTCGAATCATTGAATTCAAAAATATTGAAGAGACTAAATCCATACTTATTTGGGTCTTTAATATCGGACTTGATGTTGTTGTGAAGGATATTGGAATTTTGAAAAACAGTATGAAGCTATATTATACCAAAGATCCAAAAGAAATCGAGGAAGAGAGAACAAATAGAGGTGAAATTGAAATTGTCGACACTGAAGATTTCATTTTAGATGCTACAATTGAGAGATTATCAGAGATCAATGCTAAACTTCCGAAATCGATACGGTCAATGGGGAAGCACTGGAAATTAGCCTTTCTTTCGAAAGACGAAGAGAGTACATAATTTATTGAATAGAATAGACATAAAACAATCTTCAAAAATACAAAATTGACAAACCATCGTCTTCGCTGTGGATTACATGTAGAATAGTATTAAGCGTTTCTTCACAGGGCTGCGTAACGTTCGGGAAAATGACATAATTTTCACGGAAATTTCAACACTTTTCTTTGAATCATCTTTTATACCCTTCAAACTAATATTCAATTGAACATTGAAATCTCATACAAAATGGCCAAATCAGTCAATCTTGCTATCATTGGTAAGTTAACAACAACTTGAAACACATTGGAATGAAAATCTAACATTAATAATTCCAGGTACCGGTGTTGTCGGTTCTTCTTTCCTTAACCAACTTCAAGCTTTAAAATCACAAATTACTTATAATGTTATTTTAATTGCCAGAGGTAAAGGTTCAGTCATTTCAAAAGACTATAAACCATTAGACATCTCTAACTGGAAACAATTAACTGAAAATTTGACCGATAAAAACTTATCAACTGAAGGTTTAGTTGAATATCTAACTAAATCTCCATTACCAACTATTTTAGTTGATAACACTTCAGATGGTACAATTTCTTCTTCATATGCTGAGTTAGTTAAAAATGGTATTTCAATTGCTACTCCAAATAAAAAAGGTTTCTCAAGTGATTTGAAATCATGGAAAGAATTATTCACAAATGCTCAAGGTGAAAATGCTGGTTTAGTTTATCATGAAGCCACTGTTGGTGCTGGTTTACCAATCATTGGTACTATTAATGATTTAGTTGGTACTGGAGATGAAGTTGAAAAAATTGAAGGTATTTTCTCAGGTACTTTATCTTATATTTTCAATGAATATTCAACTGCTGATCCAAAAGATGTTAAATTTTCAGATATTGTTAAAGTTGCCAAAGAATTAGGTTATACCGAACCAGATCCAAGAGATGATTTAAATGGGTTAGATGTTGCTAGAAAAGTTACCATTGTTGCTAGATTATCAGGTTCTGAAGTTGAATCACCAACTTCATTCCCAGTTCAATCATTAATTCCAAAAGATTTAGAATCTGTTGAATCAGCTTCAGGATTTTTAGAAAAATTACCAAATTATGATCATGAATTACAAAACTTAAAAGATGAAGCTGCTAAAGAAAATAAAGTTTTAAGATTTGTTGGTAAAGTTGATATTCCAAATAAACTTGTTTCAGTTGGTGTTGAAAAATACGATTATTCTCATCCATTTGCTTCATTAAAAGGTTCTGATAATGTTATTTCAATTAAGACAAAACGTTATCAAAATCCATTAATTGTTCAAGGTGCAGGTGCAGGTGCAGATGTTACTGCTGCAGGTGTTTTAGCTGATACTATTAAGATTGCTCAAAGAATTGCCAAATAGGTTATACTCTGAAAATATATGCACTTGAGTACTTTGTTATGTGTTTGTAGTAAAATCTACAGCAAGATTTAATATAGCTATTTTAGCTGTGAATACCAGATAAACTTAGCAAATAAAATAAATCACATCAATCATAATAAATAATAAATCAGAATAAATAAATAAATAATAAATAAAGGTAAATATCTGCTATTCGTTGACATGTGATCAAACAGTGTAATTATACAACCAAGCTTTCAACATTTATATTTGAAAAATGGTGATTTATCACCCATTCTGTAAAATTCTTCATCTGTTGTGTCATCATATTTACCATTTGAAAGATCCTTTTCACGTTTCTTATTGATTCGTTTATAATTAAGGACCAAGACAGTAGATGAAACAATACCCATAGCTGCAAACCCCAATGATAAACCATGACCCATTGTATAAGCACCAGTTTTATAAAAATTTGAAGAGAATGCACCACCAAAATTACCAATTCCAATTTGAATCGCCATAGCAATAGCTCTTTTCCTTGAATTTGCTAAATTATTTGCACACCATGTGGTACAACCTGGGAATGAACTATAAAGCCCCAAAACTGCTAAAAAGCAACCAGCATAGATAACACCAGGAGTTCCAGTTTCTTGACCGACAATATTCATGATGAAACCAATAATAACCAATAGCAAATTTCCACAGATAAACAATGATCTTATACTAAATTTATCAGAGAAATAACCTTGAATAATAGCACTAATGGATGCAGTAATATAAATTGGAATTGTCATTAACTGAGCTCTTGAACTTGAATATCCCATATTTTTAACAACACTTGGTAAAAACAATGCAACTGCATAAGTTGGAACACAAATTGCAAAAAAATTCAAAATATGGAAATAAATTTGCCAATCTTTTACTGATGTGAAGAAAGCTTGTTTCATTGTAATATCATGTTCTTTTTCATTGAATATTCCAAGATCTGGTGCAAATCTTCTTGATGATGTAGTAGACTCAGAATGAACTTCAATTTCATCATTTTTAATTGTATTATCATTTGCTAATCTCCACAAAACAAATTTACGTTCTCTTGGTGTTAGGAATTTAGCAGTATCAGGATAATCTGGCATAATGAAATAAACAACGAAAGCAACAATCACAGTTAATAAACCTTCCAAAATGAAAATCCATCTCCAGCCTTCATAACCACCCGTACCATGCATTTTGGCAATTGCAAAAGCTAATAAACCTGAAAAGGCACCTGCAATTGAAGCTGCACTATAAAACATAGCTTGTCTAAGTTGTAATTCAGATCTCAAGTAATAAATACTCAATCCATATGAAATACCTGGAAACAACCCTGATTCAAATACACCCAAAAATAATCTTGTTACTAATAATCCATGATAACCTTTAACTGTACCCATAGTAACCATAATTATACCCCAAATCAACATGATTGTTGGTAAATAAATTGATTGTTTCCCGATTTTCTTCAACAAAATGTTTGAAGGAACTTCAAATAGGGCATAAGGAATGAAAAACATGGTTAAACAGATATTATATTGATTATCAGTCAACCCTAAATCCTCAGTTAAACCTTCAATTTTAGCATTACCAATATTGCCACGATCCAAGTATGCTAAAAGATACAAGACAGAGACGATTGGTAAAAGGTGCCAATCAATCTTTTTCAACACGGCTTTCTCATCAACATCAGAGAAATCTTCAGGTGATTTTTCATCTTCAAAAACACTATAATCATTTGTGGTGGCGATAATATCTCCTCTATTTACATCATAAATGAATGAACCGCGATCTAATTCTTCTGGTTTGGTGATGCTTTTATTGGAGCTGGAAGTCATGGAGTATATTAAATAGCAGCAGTATAATAACAATCAATTGAGATCAGGAGCGACATTGGGAGGGAAAGTAAGAAACAAGAATCAAAAATTCATGGATCCAGCGCTGTATTTATACATATCTAAATCCCCCTCTAAGCTTAAATAATTCTGTCAAAACAATCGTGATGTTTGAAACTTGTAAACAAAGATAAAAAATTGATAAGAGGAGAAGGAAATTGAAATTCATATTGTTTAGGATGACGTAATATAAGCAAAAATTAATTTTAAAGGGTCCAGGCTCAAGCCATACTGATATATACACCGAATATGCGTAAGTGTAGACACCGGAAAGCGAATAAAGTATATACAATTATTCAAACATAAAATAAATAATTAGTTCATTAAATTAATCATGACAGTGTTAGATCATCTTGAATTGGACTTAATACTGCACTATCTACTTGACCCCTAGAGACCCAACTGTTTTTGGCTTTGAGAAATACTTCTTTCAATCTAGAAGAATCAAGACATGTTGCCCTGAATTCTAGCATGATCTTTTGAGAATCCAAAAAGAAGCTTGGTGCTTGTTGTTGAGAGCTAACATTTCCCACATTTACACGAGCTAAATGTCTGTTATTTGGTGCTAAAAATAAATCACCTGTATCTCTAATCTCTGCAATATATGCACCAGTCTTATGAATATATTGTGCATATTTAAATTGTGGTTTACCCCATGAATATAAAACTTCCAATTCTTCTTCAGTTTTAAAAAATAATGAAGCCCTATTATCTAATAAAAACCCAGAATACTCTAGCAAGTAAATATGATAGTAAAACTTATGCCTGGAAATAATATCAGAAACGTTAAACTCTTTATCTTCCCATGGATTTAGAGCTAATTTAATATCAACAAATGAATGAAATGGACTTAATCTTGGAATTTCACACAATTCATTCCATGGTGTCTCAACTAATTTCAAACCATATCTTTCACACATTCTAGACCAACCATTGATTGTATCATCAATCAACTTGGGTGTAGCTGTTAACCATTCAACTCTAACATGGAAACAATGATTTGGATTATGAACAGTATCATAATGAACTGTAATTACTTCCCTTTTATATGATTTCCTACTTGGATCAATATCAAATTTAAGCATTTTACTCAAAACATAAGTTTTTTTACTACCATTTCCAACCAATTCTGAAGCTTCTGATTTAGTTTTCTTCATAGATGTATTATCCCCAGGTCCACTTTGTGGTGCTATAACAGGTGTAATTGCAGATATTTTGGAGTTCTTGGAACCGATTGAATTACCTCTTGAACGTGTCTTTAATGTTTCATTTATAGAATCTGGTTTAGAAACAAATTCTTCAATAATTTGATAAAAATAATGACCATCCAAAAATCTATGACGTTTCTCAACATGAGCAAATAAACCTTGGTCTAATAAGAAATTACCATACTCAACAGCTTCTTCTCTTGTATTAATATCTTCAAAGTTTTCAATCAACCAACTAACCAATTCAAGACCCAAGAAACAATTAGAATGAACTTTCCAATGCCATCTTCTATCTATAAGTTTAATACCTTTAGATCCTTGAATTTCTTGTATCAATTGATTTGTAGGAATCTCTTTGGTTAAGACCTGTGTTCCAACAGAGTTTTGTCTTACTGAACCATCATCCATTACAATATTTTGATCTTTTAAAAATGAAACCAAATTACCAGTATAGAAATTAATTTCAGGGAAAATTTCCTCTTTTTTAGATTTTTTTCTAATCGAATTATTATCAGGTGAAAATGTTCCACGATGTAATGTTGAAATTAATTTACGTAGACCTTCAACTCTTGTTTCTTCTTCACTTAGTTGTTCTGGTTTATCATTATTATGAGATGTTGTTAAGTAAGTACTTTTTGGAACTTCAGTTGGTAAAAGTACAAATTTCACCCTATTCATAAGCTTATTATCTTTAATAACATCATCATCATAACCGGCTAATAACTGATCATATTGATTCCAATTATTCAATCTAGGTTTAGCGACATTTGGATCTGGTTCATAACGACCAAATCCAAGTTGATATCTTGTTTTGATTAAAACATTCTTAGCAACATCTCTAAACATGTTTTCATTATGGATTCTATTATATCTTTGAACATTCACAAGACCATTATAATCACATGAAATTCTATGGATCTCTTCATCAAGAGACATATATATTCTTAAACCATTAAAATTGGATTTTGGCAAATATTTCATCAATAGTGAAGCATTACCTTCTGATTGTCTCTTATTTTCAATTTTATCAACTCTTGAGCCATAACAAATTTGAAATCCCAATACTAATCTTAAATGAATCATATCTCTCATCAAGTCATTTGAGTTCATAAACTTTTCATGCTCAGGACTCAGTGAAATAGAGTGCGTTTGAAATGTGAAATTATTTTCAAAGTCATCAACAGTTGGAAATAAAGGCGTTGATATAGGTAGCTCTGAGGGTGATACCAATGATCTCCACTTGATTTTTCTTCTTTTGACATTTTTAGGGAAAACATCTTGCCATTTACCAACACTAAGAGTTTTCAATTTGTGAATATTTATACTTTGCGAAGGATTACCAATCTCCGTCCACATGACAGTTTTCAAAGTATCAGCTGCAGTTATTTTTTCCTTTTGTGGTGTATTGGAAGTTTCTGAAATAGGAGAGCTTGAAAGACCTTGAGATTTTTGTGCTTGATTACTGGATGTTCTAAAATTATTTGATGATGCTGATAATGGTCTTGAAATAGGAATTCTTTTTGGTGTTGGTGGTCTAGAAAATAATGATGATGTATCTCCACCAGTTGATCTTTTACTACTATCTCTTGATTCAGTTTTACCAATCTGTTGTAATGAGCTAACAGCACTTCTTGATACACTGAATGTTGGTTCTGCTGTAGTAATAGGCTCTGATTTTGTAGCAGAAGCATTTGTAATCTTCCAGAAAAGTGTTGAATCCTTTCTTTTTGGTTGTAAGCTTCTCATACTATTATTTTGTGTCAACTCGGGACGCTGAGCAGAATCTGCACTGAAAATGTTATTATCATAATCATCCATTAAATCAACAATTGAATTGATTTGTGATTTCACAACAGGATTTAAATGTTCCACTGTTACTGCACTTAACTCATTTTCCATGATACCCATCATCTGTAATTCGTAAATCTTAGTCTTTGGTATCCATTGACTCTCTCTAGAACTTCTATCACTCCAAAAGGAAATATCAATCCAGCCAGGAACACAATGATGTAAATTCCCATATTTATCTCTATACCTAAATAACGGGGTAACATGTAAAGCAGGTTGAGCTAAACAAATAATATCCACGGATATTTCAGTATTCAGCAATCTTTTACCGGTTTCAAGTAAGTCATCATATTCAACATCATAAATACCATTACCAGGACTAATAACTATGAAATGTGTTGTTGTATGTCTTAGATCAGGATCTCTAAATCTATCAATGACAAGAGTTGTTGATAAGTTAATTGTATTAAGTATATCAGCTTTTATTATAGGTAAAAATCTACTTCTTGATGATTTATCTTGTTTTAATTGATGTTCCATGACATATTTTTTAAAATTTGCAAATTCGTAACGTAATGAAATCATAATTTCATTCCAATGAACGATATTAACTTGATCAACCACTACTCTGTAAAAATCTCTTGAATTTTTAGCACATTCACCATCTTTCAGGTCAAGCCATGAATTTTCTGATGAGTCAACATTTGCAACAAATACAATTGTTATCAAATGATGTGTACCTTCTTCTCTCCATTTTTTGAAAATCTTTGGAAACAAAGAGTTAACAACTTTATGATACATCAATTCACCATCTTCTTCAAAATGATACATTTCCTCTGTGATTTGGATTAAAAATACCAGCTTAGCAGATTCTGATCTGAAAATAACTTTTGTGTTATCACCAATATAACCTGAAAATAATTTTTTACCATCATTATATAAGGCATTAACATTACACCGTACACCCTCGAAAAATGATAGCCTTTGATTTTTGTAAGCACAAGTCCCCACCATCAGTGAAGCAATTTCCCACATATCACCTCTTGTCAGTGAAATATCTCTGATATGAAGTTCTACTAAATCTAACTCAACTTGTTGTTTATCCTTCAATTTAACAGTAACTGGACTTCTTGATGATATATCTAATAAATTTTGTAATGTACCTGACAAAATTGACACTTGAAAATTTTTAGAACGTCTAATCATTTCATCGTTCATATTTTTCACAATAAATAACAATTTTTTCTTGTTTTCTCCACTTGTAATCAATTCTGCAACATCACCTTCTTTAGCACCTGGTAAAGATTGAACATCTATGCACACAGCATCAGTTGAAGATCTTGTATCATGAAACCCTGCAGCCAAGGGCACAGGCTGATCAAAGTATGAAGGGCCTATACTTGGAGTATGAACACTTTGACGTCTTTGATTTCTGAATTCATTTGACCTTTCACTTGAACGATGCTTCAAGTTATCACTTTCAATCGTAAGTACATTATTCCCGCCTCTTTTAACGGTTCTCAAAGTCAATTCACCCGAGTGCATTCGACTCATCCTCAACAAAATGTTATTCAAGGCCTAAACTCCACCAAACGACGCTCTAGTGCTCTGATATCACAAAACAATCTTCAAAGCATTTTGTTTATATGATGATGTTATTCATCAAATATGCTGAAAGGGCCAAAAACCAAAATCGGTTGGAGACACACAGAATTGATTTCCGCGAATTCTTGTTGATATTTTCAAAAATCTAATAAACCGCCACCGAAATTGGAACTGAATCCATCAACATCAAACATCAAACATCAACGAAACCAGACAATTGTATTCCATTGTCTTATATTCTCAGAGGAATATCAACAAAAGAAGAAAACTAACAGTTCACAATGGTGTTGGAAGCTACTATGATTGTCATTGACAACTCAGAATTCACCAGAAATGGGGATTATTTGACCAATAGATTCGAAGCACAATTAGATGGTGTTGATTTAATATTTCATGCAAAGACCAATTCAAATCCTGAAAACACTGTTGGGCTATTGGCTTCAGGTGGTGATGGTCCTCAAATCTTATCAACATTGACTGCTGATTTTGGTAAACTTCTAAGTGGTATCCATGAAACCAAAATTCATGGCTCATTACATTTTGCAACTAGTATTCAAGTTGCTGCATTAGCTTTAAAACATCGTCAAAATAAAGTTCAACATCAAAGAATTATTGCATTTGTTGGTTCTCCAATTAAAGAATCTGAAAAAGAATTGGAAAAATTAGCTAAAAAAATGAAGAAGAATAATATTGCCATAGATTTTATTAATTATGGTGAAGAAAGTGTCAATACATCAAAATTAGAAAAATTCATTTCAATAGTAAATTCTCATGATAATAGTCATTTAGTAACAGCACCACCAAGTGATAGATTACTTTATGAAGTGATAGGATCATCTCCAATCATTGTTGGTGAAGATGATGCATTTGGAGGCCAAGGAGGTTCTGGTGATGTTGGCGGTGATGGATTTGATTTTGGTGCTGATCCAAATATGGATCCAGATTTAGCCTTAGCATTACGTTTATCATTAGAAGAAGAACAAGCAAGACAAGCTAGAGAACAACAACAAAGAGATCAACCAGAAACTTTAGAAAGTATTAATGAAACCACTACTGGAGATAATGGTGATTCAAATGAAAATAACAATAATAATGATGGTGATACGAATATGGAAGATGCTAAATAGATTTTTGTTTTTATAAAATACACAAGATTTTCAAAGTTATGAATAAGATCAATGTAGGATTTAGGTATTTAGTTGTACAACGGTAGGCCTTTTTGATTTTGTTCTACAAAAAACAATTAAATTCATATCATATAATTGGCATTAAAATTATTAAAAGCAAGAAAACAATGATCATATTATATACTATAATTATAACCAGGTATATTTGTCCATGAAATCAATTCATAAGTTTTGTGATATATACTAAATTCAATTTAGATATTAATTAAACAGTTTCATTTTTAGCTGGAACATGTTCAACAATTTCCTTTTCATTACCAGAAGTTTGATCAGATTGAATTAAACCACCTTCATTATGTTGAACAGACAATTTTTCTTCCAATTGTTTATCAGATAATAATGGAACTCTTGGTTGCCATGAACCAGATCTCCAAGCTGGAACTTTATCTTCCCAAATTTGAGCAATTTCTTCCAATCTTCTACCTCTAGTTTCTGGGAATCCAAAGAAAACATGAACAAACATACAAGCACAAAATGTTGCATAAATACAATAAGTTTTCCATGTAATATTTTTAAAAGCTGATGGAGTAAACATTGCAATTGCAAAATTGAAAATCCAATTAGCAGAAGTAGCTAAAGCAGTACCTCTTTGTCTTGAAACATTATCACCCCACATTTCAGAAACATATAACCAAATACCAACACCCCATGAAGTAGCAAAAGAACAAACAAATAAATAACAACAAGCAATAACACCTTTAGCAGCACCACCTTCAGATTTTGGAATTCTAATTTTAACAGTATCAGAACCATTATAATTTGCAATTGGTTCAGAATAAGTTGCTAATAAACCAGCAACAGCAAATTGGAAAGCCATCATAGCAGCAGCACCAAATAATAAAACTGGTCTTCTACCTAATTTATCCAAGAAATATAAAGCAGGAACAGTGGTACAAGTGTTTAAAACATATTGAATTGATGAAGCAACTAAATTAGCATCACCTGAATAACCAGCCATTTCAAAAATATAAACGATATAATACATCATAACATTCATACCAGTTAATTGTTGCCAAATTTGAGCAAAAATTGCAGTAAAAGTTCTTTGAATATATTTTTTTTTAAATAAATCACCATAAGTGAAATCTTTAACATGTTCATCAATTAATAATTGTTCTTTAATTTCAGAAATTTCAATTTGAACATCAGCATCTTCACGATTACCTTTAGCTTGAATATTTGCAACAATAGTTTCACATTCATCCCATAAACCATTTTTAGCTAACCATCTTGGAGATTCTGGAATGAAAAAAACACCAATAAATAATAACAAACCTGGAACAATTTGAATACCCCAAGCAATTCTAAATGAAGCAGTACCATCAATTTTACCACAACCAAAACAGATATAAAACATAATCAAGATACCTAAAGTAACAGAAAATTGAAATAACCCACCAATAAAACCTCTAATTTTTCTTGGAGCTAATTCAGAACCATAAATTGGAGCAACTGAAGAACCAAATCCAACACCAAAACCTGAAATAATACGACCAATAATCAATTGTGCAACATTTTGAGATGATGATTGAATTGCAGCACCAACACACCAAAAGAATGCACAACATAATAAAGCAGCTCTTCTACCAAAAGGTTCAGAGACAAATGAAGAAGCTAAAGAACCGAAAAAGGAACCTAATGACATTGCAGCAGTGATAAAACCTTGTAAATCAGAATCTGGTGAATTGAAAAATTTCAAATAAGATTTATGAGAAAGGAAAGCACTCATGGACGATATATCCACACCAAACTATAGTATTGTTAGTATTGATTTCAAAATGAATTTAAATTGAAGTACACTCACCATTAAACCTGATATACATGAAATCATACAAATAACCACAACATTTGTTAAATTTGGGAACGCATCTAAGAAAGTTCTAAGTCTTAAAGCAGGCCCGTAGGCTTTTGATTCAATACCCATATTGTTGATGAATAAGAAATATAATACTTTGTTTTTATGAAGAAGGTAAACAAAGTAATATAACTGATGTACAACAAATTAGAGGATTTTCATCGATTTAAATACGCGTACAAGGTGAAAGATTATTACATGATTATAATTTATTATAAACTGGGGTGACTTGCCCAAAAATAATATAAAGTAAGAGTATTTACGTTTCATGCAACGCGGAGTAACAGATTTTCCAGCTATTTTAACTCTTTTTTAGGTAATTTTTAGTTAGATCAATACTATTTTACGGACAAAATTGTTTCAAATGATCATTTTCGTAAAAGTAGAACGGGGTACAGCTGGTAAAAAAAACTTTTGTAAAGGCTGGCCATTTAAAGCGATGGTATGTATTTTGATTTACCTAGTGGAGCACCGGAATAATAAAGTTGCTTGAAAAAACACTAGAATTACTTGGTGTCACTTGGCCACCGTTGAACAAGTTGATGTATATATCTAATACTAATAGATGATCCGTGAACCATATTGATATACCCTTTAACTATCAAATTCTTTGTTGATATGTTGTTTTGTGCTTCTTTGGTGTTTTCAACCGCTCGTATTACTTGAGTCATGATTTCATTTGTGGGGTGCTGTTTTTTTAAAAGAAGGGAATTGAAAACTGGTGGCGTAATCAAAATTTGTTGCCTATCGAGTTAGTTTGACCGGGAATGTTTTACCAAATTGTTCCGTGAGCCAATTAAAACAATAAAATTAAATTTTAGCTGGTGATTTTATTGTTTGTATAAGTTTTACTGTTTGTAATGTAGTGTGACGTATTCTTATTTGTCCAGGATGCATCGCTGTCCCGTGTCCATGGCTTGCTGCCGCTTGACGGTTCTAGATTTGGTGATTTTAATGCACTCCAGAATTCAGGTCAAAACCCGGAAGCGCCGAGTATTAAAGGTATAGCTAATATTATTATTGAAGATGCCATATTCTTTAGAGTATTGTTTGGTATTCACTTCCAAGACTATCTTTTGATTCATTAGTCGTATGATGTTTGAAATGTGGAACCATTTGGTATATTAGTCAGTCGACACGTTGTATAGTTACATCTTCATGGCCCATTACTGATCACATTCAGTATACACTATACGTCAATTTAATCATCATAATATAACAATAACATGATATTGTTTCTACAAGTTCATCTAGATATCAACAATCTCATACATTTATTAATTTATAATCTATACAGACATGAATAAACTTAAATCAAGAGTACACACATGATATTCTCATTATAATTCCACTATACAACTTCCTGTTGATGGTTTAGAAACTAAAATAGCATCTGATAATTCATCTTTAGTTAAGTTTGGTAAATGTTTGTTATAATAATTCTTTCTTAATGCTTCAATTAATCCTTCAACTTTATCACTTGTAGTTAAATGAACTATTGAACCACCAAATCCGGCACCTGTAACTCTTGAACCATATGAACCATTTTTAAGTGCAATTGAAACTAATTCATCACATTGTGGTTTAGAATTTTCCATTAAATATTGATTAGATTTTTGTGAAGCTTGAAACAATAATCCAATTTTATTTAAAAATTCTTCAGACGTTTGAGAATCTTCAATTGGTTTAGTATTTGCATCTTCTAAAATTTTCAAAGTATCTAAAACTCTTTTAGAATCTGCTAAAATATGATTTGTTCTTTGATAAATTTTTAATTTTTCATATTTAACTGGGAATTTGAATAAGAATTTTTGTTGAAATTCATCTAAAGTTAATCCAACAGCTGCTGCTGCTTCTTCAGTAGTAAAACCAATCTTTTCCTCTTTGGTAAATAAGTTTTCAATCAATTCTAATAATCCACCTAATCTTTCACTACCAACATATATGTCTTTACCATCCCATTTATCTTTTCCTTTAATTTTTTCAAAATAATCATCTAAAAATCCACGGATTGTACCAGTTTGTAAATTTGAATCAGGTGTTAAGTTAATTTTGAATTTAAATGCTAAAATCTCTGCACTAACTGCAGCTTCAACAGCTCTTAGATTATAATTAACAGGTGCAGTTTCATGTTTATTTGCTTCAACTAATGAATTTGTAACTAAAAAAACAAGATCATTTGGTTTTAAAATTGGTAATGAAAATTGGAAACCTCCTAATTGTGGTTTAAATTGAACTAATAATGCCTTGTTTTTACCACCATAAATTGAAGCACATTGATCCATACCACCTGTATTAACACCAACATAATGTTCAGAAACAACAGTGATTTTTGTTAAATCAGCTTTAGAGATTTGTTTTAAACCATTTGCTCTTAAGACAGCTAATGTAGAGGCAACACAAATTGCAGCAGATGATGATAACCCACCACCAGTTGGAACATTACCATCAAATAATAAATTTAAACCT